ATGGATTCTGGCTTGTCGAACTGGATTACGTACATGCAGAGCCAGCCAGAGCATGGGATAGCCTCAACGACATCGATAGGCGGGCGAATGTCTCCTTCTGGCGTCCAGTCTCAAGCCGAACAACCATACTATCAACAGTACTTAAATGCCAGCAACCCTGATGCACCGGTACAACGTGGAAGGGCTGCGAGTGGCAATTTGCAACAGATGTTTACAGGACAATCTGTGAGTAACTTTGGCTCATCCGGTGCTCAGGTTGGGACAAAGAGTAAGGAACTCTTACAGGCCGCAGGGGCATTTGGCAATAAGGGTGTGAAGTCGGGTATGAAACTATTCAACAAAGGCAAGAACAAACTTCGCGGAACAGGGGATAAGGGCTTTTTTCAATAGTAGCACCCTCTCTTCGTCGTGTTTACCTTTCTAGTAGGAAGGTCGTATGAAAACAACAGCCTTGCGTTGCGGCATTTCGCCTAAGAAAGACGTGGCGGAGGCTGTGATCAGAGGAGATTCTTATGCGATAGGCAGAGGCAATATTTCCCTGTCGTTCGTATATTCCAGTCTGGGCTTTTCATATGCACTGTATTAATTCACCTTGTGGGCATACGCGTTTCTTAATCGGGTTAAGCAAAGGAATTCAGGCGGCGGTGCGTAGGTTGTACGATTTACTGGGAGACTAGGAGCATGGATTTGGTCGAAGGATGGAAGTAATTCGATCTAAGATGCCATAATACTAAAATGATTTCTGTTATTCGCCTCATCTAGCAATGTCATGACAAGTCCCTTCTTATATGGGGCCATCCAATGGAATTTGTGGGAAAGCTGTCAGCTTGGCGCTGTTGGGCTGACTCCTAGAATTATGAAGATCTCGTATGTATCTCTATTCTAAAAGAGGCGAATTGATTAGATATTAGGTGTTATGTATTATTTTGTGGCGTGTTCGCGCAATTGTGTAACAAGTCTTGGATGTCCGTCTTTCTTGAATAGGTGTTCGGTCGGTAATTAACCTATCAAGGAACTGAGGCGTATGATGATCAATATGTTATCCGTATTCTGTGACGGCATGTTTATCTAGATATCTAGGGATATCTTCCAGCTGTCTTCTGACAGTATGTATGTCTACGGATTATAGAAGACACGATATGTTACTATTCTATGCTACCATCACCCCCGCCAGCCTCTCCGTGTTCATTCCGCTTGTTTAGCACTACTACCTTGCTACGTATGTGGAGACTTGACGTGCTACCACAAGGAAAAGTCGGGAACAGGTAGGGATACTAGAATAATTTCTAATTCTTTTATAAGATAGACTTATCGAATAGTTATATAGTCTTAGCAGGAATAAATCATAATTGTCATCATCACCATAGACTACTACTAGTAACCGTATACCTTAATAACTCTAAAAGCAGGAAACTATGAGAATATGCAGTACCCGTTAACCGTAGGATCTACCTGTAGGTAAGTAGCAATATTACTAGCATATCTTAAGCTTAACCATGTTCAACGGGGACGTCGACCGCGTTCGCACGTGTGGACAGGGGAGATGATCCTTCTCCTTAGCAATTTATGTAGATATTATCATTGTCGATATGAGTTTTGATTGGTTAGAAGAGAAGCAATAAGAAGAGAATGTTCAGCTTAACACAGCCACCCAAGCCGCGGACCAGCAGCAGAAACATTCTCCACAAATATAGGACTTGTTATTATTATTACGCCCCCAACATGAAAAGTTCAGTTGATACCTGTGTTACCTGTTGTTAATGTAGGTAGGTAATAGTAATAGTAGAGGCAAAAAAAACCCCCCTCAAAAAATGCCTTCCTTCGAGCCCCCAAATAGTGCTACCATCATCTTCTTCATCACCATCACCATCACCACCCGGGATCTTGGCTTGTGTTCCCTATTTTCAAGCTTGTAGCCCTATTTGAAGCCACTTAGACAAGGAGCTAAGCCGAGTCCAGCCCAAACAAGCCCTGAGAACCCATAGAAAAAAGCCTTATAGGCAACAAAAAAAAAAGGGTCGTACCGTGGTGCCGTGGTATCTATCATAAGATGCACTGGAACCTGACCAACTGGATCAAGAAAAGCTTCCCAGCCTGCCAGCCTGCCAACTTGTCCAGCTCCAGGTACCAGTAATAAAAATCGGATCCCACCAATCCAACCATTCACCATTCACCCCCAGTCCCCGTTCCATCCGCCGTCTATGTAGCTCCATCCCAGCCCTTTCAAGTATCCCAGCATCCTAGCATCCAAGCCATCCTAGCAATTTCAATTCCAGATTTCGCTACTTCGTTCAAGGGACGCGAACACGTTCGTCTCTCACCGTCGCTTCTACTCTTGTTGCTCTATTGCTCCAACTCCACCCTCCCACCCGACTTCCTCTCCTTATCGTCGTCATAGTCGACGTCGGACGCTCGCTCGCTTCACCCTTTCCGAGTCCTGGGTTGCTCACCGTAATTATTTATATTTAGGGTGGATTTGTATCTTGACCTTATAAAATACTTCTCTACCCTTGTCGTTCGCGTCTTCTACTCCATCTTAGTCGTCTATTTCGCAAACACACGGCCTTACTCGTTCGCCTAGAATTCGCATCTGACTATCTACGCTGCGACGTATATCCTTAATATTAATCAATTACACTTGGGTGCGTTTGTCAGTCAGCGAATTGTTTATTTGATATTATACCATATTCGTTCATATTCGTCAACCAGGATTGCGTTAGAGGAAAGGATATTTTTTAAAAAAGAGAAAGACTACAAGGAGGCCGACAGCCATTGCAGCGGGCTCTGCATCCATCACCCGAATCAAGATCTGTTTAAAAAAAATTATGTTGCGCATTTAATTTACCAATAGCAATATTAAATACCTAAATAACGGCGAAGTGACATCTCGGGGATTTATTATATCTAATTATTACCAATCCGATCGATTGCTCGCGTCAGACTATGACCGCTCTCATGGCCGCTGACAGGCCATATTCGCCAGGTCTCGGCGACTCCAACCCTTCAGGGAAAAAACAATCTTCTGGTTTTACCCCATTACCGCCCATTCGTCGCACATCAACATTCGACTTATTATCTAGAAAGAAACTTGGTGGAGAAGAAGACGACGGAACTCCATCTCCAGTTGGATCTTCAGATAATGAAATTCCTCCAGTACCTCCTATGAAGGACGACATCAATTATCAAAACGGTAATGGGTATATACCCGACCGGGGACAAGGCGGCCAGGCAACCGGCCAATTAAGTCAATCACAGGCCTTCACCCAACCACCACCGCCTCAGCATCACCCCGCGTTCGCCAACGGCTTCAACCCAGGTCCTAATGGATTTGCAGCTGGTAGAGGTATTAGTCAACCTAACGGGTTTCAACAGCAGGGACATATGGGAGGTCCTGTAGGTCCTCACCAATTTAGTCAGATACCCGGTCAATCCAGCGCATTACCTATGAATCAAGGTCATCCTTTCGCCTCACAAATGGAAGGTAACCCTATTCAAAAAATCCCTCCTGGTGGTCGATGGAAATTAGAGGAATCCCGCCTTACAGAACCTCTTATCCAACACAAAACCCGACCAGGGGCAAATAGTCCATCGCAACAACCGGGCTATTACGGATATGATAAGGAAACTGAAGAGCCCTCACCGCCAATGAGAGGGCAGGGTATACCACAGCGGTCGAGAAATAATAGCAACAGTATACCACCTGTCTCGGCAGAGAGATTCCGTAAGCACAATATCTTTGCTCCTCATGAACCCCAGCAATCGCAACCGTTAACCCCACCACAAGTTGGTCATCCTCCGCCAGGTCGAACTAACGATAACGTGGCTCAAGGGGAGCGGGAGGGTCGTGATGTAGGGTTTAATAAGGAGCCAGATGGTAAGTCTACGAGATCTAAAACTAGATGACGAGCTAATAGTGTTATCAACTAGTCCATGTTGATGAGGTGTCAGTTTCAAGCGCTGCCAGTGAGGGCCAAAATAGTACCCGGCGAGGTTCGGGATTTTTTAGTCTAACCCGCCGGACCACAGGTGCAGAACAAGAACAGCAAAACTCGAATCATAACGCATCTGCCAAGGACAAGGCAGTCTCGTTCCTCGGCATGGGAACCCATGCCCATGACAAGTATCAACCAGCTGTCAAATCTAACCTTGGGTCTACATTTGATCATGATGATAATCCAGAGCCTACGTCGATGAGGAAAAGATTGTCTGAGCTCACGGGAATGATGAAAGGTGTCGGGAATGCGAAAGACGGAACAAAAGATGACCAACCAGTTAAACCGAGTAGCAATACATATGCTCCAAGACCTATGCAGGGTCCAATGCAAGGTCCAGTACGAACACAAACCGGACCTCAGCCGTCTCAAGGGCAGGGGGGATTATATGCAGCCCCGTCTAATATAATTGGACGAAATAGTCCCAGTGGCCCTCGACCTCCTGAAGCTCAACGTCCTCAAACTGACGACGAGCGTGAAAAGAAACATGGGTTTTTAGGTGGACTTTTTAATAGACAAGGATTTAAGTCATCGGAGACGAAATCAGAGTCAAGACAACCGAATCAACAGACATCGATGCCCCTTCAGCCGCCACCGCAACAATTTCCCATGCAACCCATGCAGCAATTCCGGCCTGGTCAGATGCCACCACTTGGACAACAGTTTGGTCCGCATCCAATGTATTCCGGCCATCCCCCAATGCAGCCAGGCTTGCCGGGACAGCAAGGCGCACGAAGACCCACGGTTTCTGGTCCAGGCCAGCCAAATTCTTCGGAACATCTTCAGTCGCCTACTTCGCCCCAAGTTCTTGAGATTGCACAGTTAATTCAGATGCAACGCCCTTCCGAAATAACAGTCTCCCAAAGTCCATCAGGCGGGTCACCCCTTTCACCTAGTCAACGACCACCAACATCCCAAGGATCCCAGGCAGGTATACGACCCGGTACCGGACAGGATGCTAGTGGGAGAAATATATCTAAGCAAGCCGGAGTCAACGATCCATTTTCTATGTCTAGTCCACTTCCCAAGGACTTCCACGGTCCCCCACGTGCGGCCTCCTTTGATCTATCTAATACCAGCGGACCCTCGTCGATAGCACGAACCCCGAATAGAAAGCCTGTGGCCTCCGGTTTATCAAAGCAAGATGGTGTATCGGTTAATTCCACCCCTACGACGCAAAATTCTATTCAGCAGTCGCCCCCAAACCCGGCTAGGACCGATGATTCAACGCCTGGATCTGAAAGTCCGGATGATGAACAGAGGTTATCCAGCCATCTTCCATCTGGTCAACAGAGCCCTACACTTGGTAAGCTAGGCCACATCCGCCAGTCGTCTAATCCGTCCCCGGGACGTCCACCTCAGCCCGGTCAAGTAACTCCTCAATCAATCGGAAGTGCACAGTTCTCTCCCCAGGGGCCCCAACCTTCGCAGGATCGGCAGATACCAAACCAATTGCACGGGAACTCTCAAGGTAGGTTCTCGGCTGATGGTGGTTCTCCACATGATTCGCGGCAGAACTCACCTTGGAGTCCTAATGTCACCTTCGTTGATCAACCACGTGCAGGGTATCTACGAAGACCGCTAGCTACAACTCATGATCAAAGCCGAAGCACCCTAGAGAAGTTTTTCGGTGTCGATAACGGTATCGATTCCGAAGTTGGTAGTATTAATTCGGTAAAACCAATAAAGGAGCCGAAAGAAAAGAATGCTGCAGCAAGACTCCTAGACGCCTTTAGGAGAACCAATAAACCCGAATCTCAAAAGTTTCCCACCGGTCGTCAAACCCCTCCAGCACCACGACCAGGTCAACAAGCAAATGCGGCAAACGCACCGCGGCAGTCTCTCAACGCCCCCCCACGTGGACCCCTTAGCCCGGTCAGTAACCAACAGCCACCGCCTCAAGGAGCACCAGGCGCTGTCCGACAGCAGCCCCCGATGATGCACGGAGCTGGACGTGGGCAAGAACCTCGGTATGACCTAGTTCCTATTCCTCGTGGTTATGAGGCTGTACATGGTTATGGCCACGCGGGTATGATGGCCCCCTCTCCTTACAACATCGGACGCCCCGGCCCGCCGCCACCAAATCAACAATTTCAGGCCTTTCCACCTCTTGGTGTACCGCGTGGTCCTCCGCAAGGGTTTCCGCAGCAGTGGGATCCCCGAAATGGTCCTATCCCACAACCTATTCCATATGGCCCATTACCTCCTCATCTGCAGCCAAACCACCAGGGTCCTCCACAGCAGTTCCCACAAAGACAAGCCGACTCACAATCTACCACACCTACACCGTCCGACCAGGGTACTTTCTTAGATATGGCACCAACCCCACCACCTCAAAAGCCCCGTGAAGACACTGGATACGATCCCCAACCAGCTCAGGGTGTTCCGTCCCGTGCTATCGGCGGCCCGTCGTTCCAGCAACCACAAATCCGGCTTCAGTCCAACCTCCAACAAGTTCAGAACCCAGAAACCCAAACTCCTTCGAGTTCTAACTGGGGTAGCGCCCCGGACAGCGCTCGAACAGCGCAGTCTCCTAGACAACCAGGTCCTCAAATACCTAACGGTAGTCTCCACTCCAAACCGTCGGATCCGAATGTATCTCCTCCAAGTGACAATGACGATACACAACGATCGCCTAATCAACATATTGCTACAGCCATGATAAAAGGTGCACACATGCACCCTCCGGTACTTCAACCCGGTGCTCCGCAAAACGGACTTCCACCCAATGCGGCCCGTTCCTTTTCTCCTTCGACTACATCGACAAGGGTTCCCGGTTTCCCCAATCAGAACCAGTACCAGAACCAAAACCAGAGTCCACCTCCAATCCAGGAACCTGTAAACCAACCAACGCCCAACGGCGCGGGTCATCTCGTAAGCAAGATGTCGATAACTAACCTCAACGAGCCGCCTAAAAACACATCGCTCAGTCCCGACATCAATGCGATCCGTGCTACGAACGTCAGCCCAGAACCCTCTGCTCCGCCGAGGTCATCTCCGTACCATCAGGTATCGAACACCAGCTTGAATATCAATGTTGATCGTGCGAACGATCCCAAGGAAAATAGCGGAGGGGAGGACGATATTTACGATGCTACGCCTAGATTAAATAGCACTGCACAGAGCCAAGGCCAGCCTCAACCCCCAGTTCAGGAACCAGTCCACGTACACGAGAATACAAAGTACGCCGGCTCAGAGAAGAGTCGCACGGGTCTCACCAACGGCGGAATCGCAGCTACCGGTGCTGGAATTGCTGCCGGCGCAGTCGGCGTTGCAGTTGCAGCAGACGCGAGCAGCATTCAGGATTCCTTGCCAGAGGATCCATCACCGCCGCAACGGCCAATCGCAATGAATATACCTGCGGAGCCTGAGGAGAAGATTGCGGTGGACCATCCTGTAGAGCTCCCCGCCGTCAATGTCGACGACGACGACGGTATACCCGTGATGACGGCGACGTCGTACCCTGGACAGGAGTGGAATCCGTACGAGGCTGGGGAATTTGGAGACTTCGATATGTAAAAGTGGACGATATTACTCGATGATCTTCGATATGATATGGATTTAAGACGGAAGAAAGGAGAGGCAAAGAATGACGGTGGAGTATATCTACACCTAGCATTTGAGATGAAATGCTAATATGGAGAGTTGTCATGGATGCTGTTTTTTGTGTGTGTGTTGGAGCTGAGCGGATACATACCATATATATATATCATGTTTTCTATTCTCTTTCTTTACGATTTAGTTACATGGTACTTACCTACATACCCCGGCGGAAGGTGTCTGCTTTCCGAGATGGAATTATTAAAAAAGAGTCTTTGTCTTGAAAATGTTGGCTTGTTATATATATATATGTATAAAGCTACTTGTTATTTGCTTATAAGTAGCTACCTACCTAACCTAACCTAAGTTCAGTCAGGTAGTTAGCTACTTGACTTATGACGAAATAGATGATATCTGGTTAATATTAACTATACAATTATACTATTGCGGTTTCATTTATTTAATTAGTTTGCTGTGTACTAAGCTTTGATCATAAGTGTCGATAACCTCGATGTATTTATATATAAATTGGATGCATAAATAGATGCACAAAGTGTATGCACAAAAGTTGATGTCACATGTGACAGAAATAGAATAATGCCAAGATGATCTACATCACATCTACCTAGGTACCAAAGTATCTCCTAGCTGTAATACACGGAACGATGCACCGCCACCGATCAAGGCCGCGCGCCGCGTTTTGACCCTGTAATTTCTTAGAAGAAACACACTGGCCTCAGGAGAGTTTTAAGGCTGAAGATTACTGCCAAATTAAAGATAAGAAAGAACCAACAAAATGAACCAACAATCTCACCTGTAATAAATCGAGACACCACAAAACAAATCTCCCTGTCTACGCCCCATCAACCCCATCGAATACGGATATTACCTTAATCAGTCTCGACCGAAATCTCTAATCTACCGTCCATCGGTCTAGATAAGAAAATAATTATCAATTGTCGCCTAGAACACTCCGAATCCGACGCCGTGTCCTTTATCCGGGTTTCCCGAACCCTCGCCATCACCACGCCCTCTACCTGTGTTTAGTCTACAATCAAGACAGATTTCTACATTCAAACGATTCTATTCAAGTTTCTATACTTTTATACTACACTAGTTGCCGCAACTTAATTCATTCGCATACAACGGCCCGCTTTCATCCACGCGAAGAGCGTAAAACGGCGCTTCTTATAATCTATCTACCTAGCCGTCCCGACAACGTGTTAGGATGGCCGTCGCATCTATACAAGACCGCACGGCTGAGTTCCGGTCTGTGCTCACTCAAGTTCAAAGACGGCAAGCCTCGTCTAAGGTCGGCGCGCAGAGGAGGTCGCTTTTAACAGACTCGCAAAAAGCAGCCGCTAATGGCGATGCGCAACCGCATCGGAGATCCGAATTTGCTAGGCGCGCCGCTGAGATAGGGCGCGGGATCGCTGCCACGATGGTATTCCCTCACATTTTATTACGAAGAAGTCAGAGTGTATGTTACCCTCGCTAACGCACTTCAATAGGGTAAATTAGAGAAGCTGGCGCAGCTGGCGAAACGCAAGACATTATTTGACGACCGACCCATCGAGATTAACGAGCTCACTTTTATGTATAGACCCTCCCATCTTTACTACTACTAAACTACAATATCTAATATGGCTTTCGGTTAGAATAAAACAAGACTTATCTTCCCTAAACCAGCAGATTAGCGGACTACAGTCGTTAACGCGACAGCAACACCCTAAAGCGGATCAAGAAGGCGAACATAATAAGAATATCGTATTAATGCTACAAGGCAAACTTAGTGACGTTGGAGCCAACTTCAAGGACGTACTTGAGGTACGCACCAAGAATATCCAGGCATCGCGGTCGCGCACCGAAAACTTTATATCCTCTGTTTCGCAACACGCCCAATCGTCGTCTCTCCAGCAATCTGCGAGTCCCTTGTACGGAACACCGAACCGCGGCACGCCGTCGCCCGGCGCGGACTTATTGACACTAAACCCACCATCCGCGATAGGCGATCAACAGCTGCTTATGATGGAGGAGGCGGCACCGCAGAACTCATATATCCAGCAACGAGGCGAAGCCATCGAGGCTATAGAGAAAACCATCAGCGAGCTAGGGTCAATCTTTGGGCAACTAGCGCAGATGGTATCGGAGCAGAGCGAGATGATCCAGCGCATTGACGCCAACACCGAGGACGTTGTCGATAATGTTCAAGGCGCTCAGCGTGAATTGCTCAAATACTGGTCCCGTGTATCGAGTAATCGGTGGTTGATTGCTAAGATGTTTGGCGTACTGATGATATTCTTCCTGTGAGTCGCTCTCTTTCTACAATTCATTTTACTTCTATTATATATCCGCTCTCCCTTCACTCTTGAATTTTATGAGACCAGTTTTGCTGACGATAGATAAAGCTTATGGGTTCTTATTGCCGGTTAAGAAAAACCACACGAGACCATACGAGACAAGAAGAGATGAGGTACTCTTTAGTAGAGGCGCTGGTGTACTACTACTATCTTCACTTTGTACATTATTACGCCGCCTGCCCCCCTGGTCCGGGGACGGTGAGCAGTTGGACTACACTTAGTAGATTTATAATGACGTGCGTGGCGACGACTTGTTTAATGCATGCATACATAGTATATCCATCAAACCGAAGAGATGTCGTTTTGGTTCTTATAGGATTCTGAATCCGAATAGCTACGAGTACGGTCTTGGCCATATTTATGTTACTTTAGTGTATGATCGTGATTTTTAGTAGGTTCCTATTATTACCCTGATTGGAATTTAACAGGCTGGGTTAGTTTTGGGTTATGCGTTGGGTGGAAATGATGAATAGCAAATTCTGATATCATAATCTATTATAATTATTGTTATGCTGTGAAATCGGTGAAATCTACAGGGATATGAGTATACTCGGCCTTTAATCCAGCCGAGATTCGCTCCAATGTACAATTAGGTACAGTACCCCCACATGTATTAACAATGGATCAATGTTGTTTTTATTTTATTTTTATTTTTTTAAATATTCCAACACAATCTTAGTTAAGAACACGAAACTATTATATCTTTCTCATTTTAATAATTCGAGATTATTCCAATGGCTCATGTTCACGAAATTTCCCAATATTTCATAGGTTCCCGATCTATCGTCTCGTACCTTGCGGGCGGCGGGGTTCCCCCTACTTTAGTCCACGTGTAAGTCGCTGCGCTTGAATCGAATCACATCATCCCGAGCGCAATTCGAAAATTTGGACCAGTGACGTTTCTCGGTGACCGACTACCCCGACATCATCAGCGTAGTGGAGTGTAGCGGAGTAGGTACTTGTCTTTGTCTCTAGGTTGATAGATTCTCTAATAAATCAACTCTAGTCTCTATTTGTATCGAAGATTCTGTACTACTTATTTTAGTTGGTTGGATAGATAAATAATAATACATTGGATAGGTGCATATAGTTAAGAGAGTAGGCGATAGAAGATGTAGGTATTCTACTTCTACTCGTGGTTTATCATCAAAGCCATAAATGTTATAACTTCCCGATGTCTTTACCCGGTATCGTCTATAGATGTGTCTCTAACCATACAACTTACACCTATCCCATACCCAAGAGTAAAGGATAGAAAGATTGCTTCATTGTAATGAGCATGTGTCATCTATAATATTATTGTATTAAAGACCAGATAGGAATATATCCGAAAGCACCCCGCGGGACTCCCCAGTTACTTACTTACTATAGCATCGTGAGCGGAGTTCGCCCGTAGGTCATTCCGCAACTAGCCCCTCCCTATCTATACTACTTTGTACCATAGTTCCCTTGTTAGTTACATCTAGGCTCGCATCCTATTTTGCCGGATGTGCCATAATAAATACTGTTACGTAGCCGCCAAAAAGTATATTGAAGACGGATGAGAATATGCCACATAGAATATAAATCTCTTTTGTCTTTCTTAACTCGCAGTAACTTAAATTGAGATCTTTCTTGGACGTATAACTATTTAACTAGCAGCAGACATATCTATACTAACAGTATCACGATGGCGCCCTCGTCGTTTAAACTTAACACGGGCCAGGAGATCCCCGCTGTCGGATTCGGTACGTCTATTCGTTTATTCATCTGCGCCAACCCCTCCCCCTCTTCTCATATTCGCGACAGCACCAGACAAAAATCTTTTTTCTTCCTGTATTCTCATAATTCCTAATTGATATCAATCTTGGCTCTTCCCTCAACCCATACGGATTGTTAGCCGCCCAAATGAACAGCACTCTTTCGTATCACATACCCTTAGATGCTACTGTCCACTAACACGGTCCCCGCCGCAAAATAGGAACATGGCAAGCAGCACCGGGTGAAGTCGCCAAAGCCGTCGAGCTCGCGCTGAAACATGGATACAAGCTAGTCGACGCTGCTTACTGCTATGCGAATGAGGAAGAGGTCGGACAGGGCCTAAAGGCAGCCTTCGACGCTGGCTACGCCAAGCGCGAGGACATCTTCGTCATGACAAAAGTGTGGAATACATATAGCAGCCGCGTCGAGCTAGGCCTAGATAAATCTCTCAAGGCGCTTGGCCTCGATTACGTCGACCTTTTCCTCGTGCACTGGGCCGTCGGCATGAACCCTAACGGTAACGACGACCGCTTCCCCAAGCTACCTGACGGCAGCCGTGATATTCTCTGGGACCACGACCACGTCGCGACCTGGAAGCAGATGGAGGGTCTGCTCAAGACCGGCAAGACGAGGGGCATTGGTGTCTGCAACTACAGCAAGCCCTACCTAGAGCAGCTGCTCGCCAAGGCTGAAGTCGTGCCCGCCATCAACCAGATCGAAAACCACCCGGCCTTACCCCAGCAGGAGGTCGTCGACTTCTCCAAGGAGAAAGGCATCCACATTGTGGCATACAGCCCCTTAGGCAGCACAGGTGGACCGCTGTTGCAGAGCGAGCCCGTGGCCAAGGTCGCCCAGAGGAAGGGCGTCAGCCCGGGAACTATATTGTTGAGCTACCACGGTACATCATCCCATCCCATTCTCTCCTACTAACAATGGATCGGATCCTCGACGGCGCATAAGAAGATTACCTGGGTACCTAAGATATGTACTAACAGTCGTGACTCAAAAAAAAACAGTCGCCAGAGGCGCCACCGTGCTGGCTAAATCCGTAACCGAGTCGCGCATCAAGGCTAACCTCGAGATCGTCGACCTCGACTCCGAAGACTTGAAGATTCTGAACGATTACTCGGACGGCCTTGTCAAGGAGGGCAAGGTCCTGCGCTATGTGTATCCGCCGTTTGGAATCAACTTCGGCTTCCCGGATAAGAAGGAGGGTAGGAGTCTACCGAATGGCTTTGCGGGGTGAAGGGGAAGGGGTATGTGGTGTTGTCATTGCGATGTTATTGGCCCTGTGCTATAGCCGTGTAACGTAAAGGAGAGAAATAGTTCTCCTAATCTACGTACAAAATCCTTAAGCGGATGTGTTCCCTTAGCTACTTGTTGACAGCAAGACAAGGTATAATATTAGACATGCGAAAGATAATATCGGCCCCCTTATCTTACATGGCACTATGTGGATCGAGTTATTGATTGACTTCGCGTCATATCTGCCCCCTTAGATCTCTGAGGTGATGTTGACACCTTGTGGCGACTTTTCTGAACTGCATACAGTGATATTAAGCGTAAAATACAGGTATTGGTACTTCTGCGATATATTCCGTTCAGCTTCCGAATTATTTCGATGAGAGTTGTCCACTTGATGATGATGATGATGATAACGCTTACATCTCTTGGTAACTATATTTTACGTAAGATGCAGTTACAACGTACACATAGTTATTATATTATGGAAAGAGATAAAAGTTTATATTACTTTCAGGCCAAATTGAGGACAAGGTCGTTCCTTTCGAGACCCGCTCGACCATCTTGATCATCATAAGAGCATGCGCCGTAACATTTTTATTTCTTCTAACAAAACCCCCGATATAGATCGAATAGATACGATGGACATGTGCTAGGCAACCCTAATACTAAGGCCGACAAGAAAAGCAAAGCCATTATAGCATAAAAATACACAAAGCATATGATGTACCTGGGTAACTATCCTCTTATGACTCTTATGCTCTATTTTGTTAGTGGCATGTGGCTTTTTAATAAAACATTGAAGGCCCCTGGTGTTGTTGTAAAGAAGTCAGTTGCATGTGAGAATAATTCAGTACCATCCTCACCAGGAGCCAGATGAATATTGAAATACGTCAATAACAATGCGAGAGCCACACGAATTTCCATCATGCTGAGGTTCTTTCCTAAGCATGACATTTTACCTACTCATTTAGAGATGATTAGAATCAGTCCGTACATATGTCCTCGTCTTTCCACAGCTCAGTTCTTATGGTAGAATACTTACCGATACTCCAAGGGACGAAAGCATTCTTATTAAGAATAAGTTCTGCCTTTGTGGTGAATCGCTCTGGGATCCATTCATTCGGCTCAAGGAAACAGTCCTCGTCTATTCAAGGGTTAAGCATTATTCTACAAGTAATGACGTGTGTTATAACGTACCTCTATGCAAGCTGTATTGAGGTGTTACTAGAGTTGTGCCACCAGGAATAAAGACACCATTAATAGTAACTCCCTGCTCTGGTGCCATGCGTAAGCCTGCGGATGGGACAGCAGGATGGAGTCGTAATGTCTCGTAAATACATGCTGTCAAATGTTGAAGACTTTGTAAAGAGTTGTAGTCGAATATGTCGATAGACGATAATTCTTGCCTAACTTTGGCGAGATGTTCGGGGTTGCGCAAGAGATAATATACCGCATTTGAAAGTACCAAGCGCACAGGGTCGCTATGAGAATTAGAAAATATGAAATATAGGTCAAGGCAAATAAAGGAGTGCGCTAATTTACCTGCCCGCTGCAACAACAAGAACGAAGTCGCCTAAGACAAAATTCCAGTTCTTCTCGACACCGCCATGTTTCATAGCATAGCTGAGAACGAGACCGATGATGTTTTTGCGATCACAATTATTGTCCTGTGTATGAAGCTAGATGGCTATGTCAGTTTCTTCAAATGTTATATTGCTTGATAAACATTCTTGCCTTGATGTTTTCGTCGAGCTTGTCGTGCGCCCAGTAAAATATCGTAGTATGTCGAACGCCCACAATTAGATTCGGGCCCGTGGACTTTGTGATATGCATCGTACCCAAACAATGTAACTTCATTTGGACCTTGAAAAAGTTCATATTAATAAGGAGGTCGTATTATAAGGTAACAGGATTATTGATGGCTAATGACTGCTGCTATGAAAGATAACTTGAATGATCCTCATTTACTTACCCGTACGTACAACGTTGCCGTATTTTCTTCTTAGACGATGTAATTCATCAAAGTTCTGTTTCCTTGGATCCATCAAGGCCCACACGTGGGTGAGTTTTGAGATACGCATACCTAACGGGCCGGGAATGCCACATAAGGGTGATAGAAGTAAACGGTATATTGATATGCTGCTCAGATTTATCAACTCGTAAATAGCTTGTATAACTGGAAGACCTTCATATTGGTACTTGAGATACATTATTATGGCTCCTGCAAGGATATGTTTGCGTGCAATTGTAGCCGCTAGGAGATCCTTTTCGCCATGGATAAAGTAGGTCCAGTGCAGAACCAGACCTACCATGACAGGCACAAAGTACTGAAGTGTAGATATCATAGTAATCGAAAACTGACTTGGATTTTTGGTAGAGTATATGATGATAGGTGTATTGCTTGTAAGACTGAACTAATTATATGAAAACAATGAGCCCGTGGAAATAAATTAGGGGGAATGCTTGAATACAACCGGCAAGGAATTCATCTAGTCATTTAGATTCGAGCTATGCCACAAACTTTTCGAGAATGGGGGCTGTGAATCCATATTGTTGATAAGAAGTCCTAAGAAGGCTACGAGGCTTCAACGGTCGAAATCCTAGCCTGGTTGACTGTCTGAATTTGTAGGACAACAACTACGCTCACTCCCTACGGTTCATGTACCTATACATATGTATACAATACTTCCTTTAGTTTTATACGATACCTATCTGTGATGCATGCATGGCTTGACATCGAGCAGGGGCCATCCGTTAGTTATAAGACTGCGGTGTGTACGTGGCTTACTGTTGCGGTTTCTCTTTGATAGCTGCTCTATATAGATCTCTACTCCCTGAACGACCATCTTCCGATCTCAATACCGAGAACACATAACCGTTGCTGAAATTTGTGTATTTCCCAATCATGGCACCGATACCAAACTATGTTTTTACACGCGACTACATCGATAATAATCGGTTGGTGATTCTCAACGCTAGCCTCGAGTTATATGTTAAGTAGGACTAACATGAGTGGCCCGCTCTGCGGCCATAACAGGATTAATCTCCAACATCATCAATGGACAGAACTTTTTGGATACGTGCTACATCCTCAGATTCCTACAACCAACACCAACCTCCGTGTTGCAGACGTCGGCACTGGGACGGGGTGAGATTTGACGCCCCCAAACCCCCCCACCGATAATATGGCTTATCATTAAATAGAGCTTGGCTCACAAGCTTAGGCGCTAACTTGCCATCTACGGCGCAATTGGATGGTCTAGATGTGTCACTACAAGCCACCCCGCCGGTCGAGTGGTTACCGGGCAATATCCGCTTCCGGCGATGGGACATCCGAGACACTGTGCCCGAAGATCTTGTGGAGGCGTATGATGTCGTACATATACGCCTCCTCTCATTCGTTCTCCACGATGAAGATGGACAGTTGTGGGAATGAAACCTTTGGTTCCATAAGTTAGCCACTACGGGATGTTGGAAAGACGATGTTGCTATTCTAGTCTAACTAGAGTGTTTTTGTCTGAAAGATCTGTGATCTCCTTAGCTTATCTGAGTCTTATGGTCCATATTAGAATATTTAGTGGAAGCTCTAATCGGAGGCTATTCCCTGCTGTTTTCCTTAGCTGATAAGAATGCCTTATGCCTTAGATATTTGAGGCTCAAACCGGTCAGCTGCTTCATACCTACCTTTAGAGGCCAGCCGGTAATCGGCGACCTAATGGGACCCCAGCTAACACATTTTTCGCAAGCCACCCTCCGCCACCAACTGAATTCAGTAACATCCTACGAGTACGATTTTGTTGATGGCAATCACCCATGCCCCCCTCATCCGACGGTCACCAACATCTTTGGGATGCAACAGGAGTGTCTTTCGTATTTTGACGGATCGGCGGCGAGTGCTCTCACCGCCATTGATAATCTCGCCACTCATATACTAGAGAATGGTCCCTATGATGCTATCATGGGCTTCTCTATGGGTGGCGCAATGGCAGCAACGCTATTACTACAACCTCAAAATTCTGAAGCGGATAACCCAAGTTGGCTTGCGGCTCGCAAATTGATACGGAGTGCAATATTTATTTGCAGCACACTTCCTGTAGACACCATGGAGCTGCGGCACGGTAGAATGGGCTGGGTCAAGGCAGAGGATGTAGGACCAGTCGGAAAACTTCATCCAATTGGTGTCCCTACTGTACACGCCTGGAGCCCTAGAGACATACATAATTGCGCTGAAAGCAGGTCATTGGTCTCTATGTGTGTCGAGACACAACGTGTTGAGGTCCTGCATAATGCCGGCCATGGAATCCCTTCTGGTATAAGTGAGATTACTTCGATGTCTGGTGTGATACAAAGGATGATGAATGAAATTAGACAGTAACCACATGTATTTTTACACTTTGTTACCTGTTGTACGCCAAGTACACAAGACACTTGGTAGCGTACCTAATACAAGAGAGCCTTTTATAACATGTATAGAAGGTCTTTCTTGTTACATCTAGTTCATCCGAAATTGTTTCCTCCTTGTTCGTATTAAGTTAAATTCCATATTGTCTGGTTTTATTGTACCTATCCTTCAACATGACAACTGAGACATCTAAAGCTGTTGAAGATGACAAACTTGTTCCGCTGGCTGTCGTCGGGATGGCTTTTGAGTTTCCCCAAGAGGCCACTTCGGTTGAAAGCTTTTGGGAAATTATCCGTGAAGGGAGGTCTACAAGTTCAGAGTTTCCTCCAGATCATCTAAATATTGATGCCTTCTACCACCCAGACGGAAACCGTCCAAGTACACTACCTCTCCGTGGTGGACATTTTGTCAAAGAAGCCCTTGGGACTTTTGACGCACCTTTCTTTTCCATAACGCCAGGAGAAGCGGCATGTATGGATCCCCAACACCGGCGAATGCTTGAGATCGCATATCACGCTATAGAGGACGGTAAGTAAGATTAGATCTATGTTATAGTATAAATCTGACATTATATCAGCTGGTATCCCCGTTGAAAAATGTACTGGTTCGGATACATCAGTATACACTGGTTGCTTTACGAACGATTATCTAAGTATCTTACAACAAGATTATGACGCGGAGCAGAGACATGCCGCAATGGGCATCTCGCCCGCAATGTTAGCGAATCGTATAAGCTGGTTCTTCAATTTTAAAGGGACATCTATGAACCTAGACTCAGCCTGTTCTAGTAGTCTAATCGCTCTTCACCTTGCATGTCAAGAGTTGCGCCTTGGAAATTCATCTATGGTAAGTCCTCGGCAAATCATGTTTAGCCATCAAACTCACTGCTAAAACCTCGCATAGGCTCTTGTCGGGGGAGCTAATCTAGTTTACCATCCCAACTTTATGAAGATCATGTCGGATTTCAATTTTCTGTCCAGTGATAGCCGCTGCTGGAGCTTTGATGAGCGCGCCAATGGCTACGCACGTGGCGAAGGCATTGCTATGGTTGTGGTAAAAAGGCTAGATGACGCTTTGAGAGATGGAAATACCATTCGCGCCGTGATTCGTAACACTGGATCCAACCAAGACGGCAAGACTCAAAGTATCACCCAACCGAGTCAGGTTGCGCAAATCAATCTTATCACGAGGACCTACCAACAAGCCCATATTGACATGGAACCCACCCGATTCTTTGAAGCACATGCTACAGGTACCGCAGTCGGTGACCCCATTGAAGGAAATGCCATTGGAGAAGCGTTTAAGGAATATAGGAGCTCACATGATCCGTTATATATTGGTGCTATCAAGGCAAACATTGGCCATCTTGAAGGTTGCAGTGGCTTGGCTGGTATCATTAAGACGATACTGGTACTAGAACATGGAGTGATACCCCCAATCGCAGGGTTTAAAACTCTTAATAAGCGGATAGACTCAAAGCGCCTACATCTAGAAGTAAGTTAGCAGAAACTGGGGATCGGTCAGAAGAGCTAAAATTTGTAGTTTCCAACAGATCCCATTGCTTGGCCATTGGTCGACATCCGTCGGGCTTGCGTAAGTCATTATTATATCATGTATAATATTATTACTAATTGCTCTTTTGTGGCAGGTAAATTCGTTCGGCCTCGGCGGCACTAATGCGGTTGCTATCCTCGACGATGCTTACAACTATCTGAGGCTTAGGGGTCTTCGAGGAGATCATCGAACTCATCTCAGTAAGCTACCATACAATGGGGAGGACATTGCGAGTAACGCTCGTGGTGTGTCTTCCGGTATGCCTGGTCTTATCTTCAATGATGTTGCGGTAAATGGCTACGATAGAGACAGGGAGGAAATCCCAGCAACGATAAAGCCTTCTACTCTGAGGAGAGACACACTTAGAAACGGCAATATACTGGATAACCTTGGGATGATAATCCCTAAACTTCTGATTTGGTCCGCTCCTGACCGCCAAGGTGTGGAAAGGCTATCTAGAACTTATCATGAGTATCTCGTCAAGGATACAATTGAGTTGGATGATGTGGCTTATAACTTAGTTGTCAGAAGAAGTCACTTTCCTTGGAGAAGCTTTGCGGTTATCGATCCGGAAAAGTCTATCTCGTCTAAAGAAATCGAATCGCCCGAGCCAATAAAAGGTTCAATCAATAATCCCCAAATCACCTTCGTCTTCACAGGGCAAGGGTCTCAGTACCTGGGTATGGGCCGCCAACTTCTTGCCTATCCGGTTTACCGAGATAGTCTTGAGAACTGTGCAGAGTATTTGAAACAGATAGGCTGCCAATGGTCCCTCCTTGATACAGTCAATTGCGGGAAGGATGGCATACCAGTCGACTCTCCAGACTACAGCCAACCTCTAATCACATGCCTACAGATTGCTCTCGTGGATTTGTTGCAAAGCTTAGGCGTTATTCCCAAAATCGTCATGGGCCATTCTTCAGGTGAAATTGCCGCTGCATATTCATCGGGTGCTTTATCAAAATCATCTGCTGTAAAAGTAGCCTACTATAGGGGTCAACTATCGTCTCATCTGGTCGCCAGAGTACAAGGCCTCGGTATGATGGCTGTGGGCATGGCGAAACATGATGTGCAACAGTATATTGACCGCTTAGCTGGCATTGATGGAAGATCAGATGTTGAGATTGGCTGTATTAACAGCCCCAAAAACATTACATTGACCGGAAACGCTAAACAGCTCGCCGTCCTCGAAGAATGGCTTAAAGCCGATGGTTTCTTTGCGCGAGCTCTACCAATCCCAATGGCATATCACTCCCACTTCATGAACGGAATCAAGAGTGAATATACTCATGCTATTAAGGATCTTGATGCTGGCCAGAGCTCCGGGCATGTTCCTATGATTTCTTCAGTATCAGGAGATCTAGCGACGGCAACAGAACTCATCTCGGCTGAGTATTGGGTTCGTAATTTGACATCTCCTGTTAATTTTGAGGCCGCGTTTTCCAAACTTCTGACAATGATCAATCGAAAACCGCGCAAGCGGCTAGGAGAACGGACAGCCTTGGATTATACGGACGTGACACATGTTCTCGAAATTGGTCCACACCACGCTCTCCGCAGTTCTATACGCGAGAATATACAGGCTTTTATCGGCGTAAGGAAGCCAGCGTATATATCCTCACTTATTCGTGGCGAGGATGCCGTTATCTCTCTACTAAAGATGGCAGGTGGCTTGTATTGTGCTGGATATCCCGTGGATTTACTAAGCGTAAACGGGCTTGAGGAATGCCCTAGGCCCCTAACTCCTGGTTTGCCTCGATATACGTTCAACCATTCCCAGATTTACTGGCGGGAAAGTTCTTTAAGTCGAAATTTTCGATTTAGAGGAGCTCCCCGGCATGAACTACTCGGATCTCGCAGCTTGGACTGGAATCCAGATATAGCCCAGTGGCGTAACATTATCAGACTAGACGAGCTTCCTTGGCTTGAAGACCATAAAATTGGAGGCATGATAGTATTTCCCGCAGCTGGGATGATAGCCATGGCAATCGAAGGCCTCCGACAACTCATTGATCCACTCCACGGAATCCATGTAAAAAATGTTAATTTTTTGCACGCCATTAGCCTACCTCAAGAGGTTGCCAGTATTGAAACCCAATTAACAATATCACGACCACTCCAAGGCACTTCCACAATATGGTCTACATTCCGACTTTTTGTCCAAGAAAATGGCAGTTACATAGAATGCTGCAACGGAAAAATTCGAGCCGTTCTTGACGCAGAAGACCGAAGTCGAGTCATCTCCTCCGGGCCATGGAAACGCAATGGTATGCCGAGTGACTGGGCAAGGAATATTAAAATGGCTTGTGGAGGAGCCGAAGTAGATCCCTACAAAATGCCCGCCGGTATTGAAGTCCAATATGGGCCGACGTTCCAAAATCTTCGTCATTTGCGGCTAGGCAGCTTAGGCGAAGTTACGGCTGAAGTCGACACTGAGTCATGGAAGTCGAAGAATATAAGCTCGACTGCCCCGTCTTTTGCTGTTCATCCTACAACCCTAAACGCCCTCGCACAACCTTTACTACTAGCCCTACTAGCACAGCGGCGAGGGGACTTACCTACGATGGTGCCGGTCCACGTTTCTACAATATGGATTGACTGTTATACCGAAGGTCTACACCGAGGGAATATTGCAGTTGCCGCCAGGTGTAAGTTCTCTGGCTATCGTGGTGGCTATGCTGATGTGCTTGCATCTGCCATGGATGAGAGTAATCCACTTATCTATATGGAAGGATTGGAAACATCTTTCATCAGCGTAGGATCATCTAGCCAAAGCCAAGCTATACAGCCGCGTAGGCTTTGTGCAAGGTTGATCTGGAAACCAGATCACGATATGATGACTCCCGAGCAAATTCTAGCATATTGTACCCGAGATAGACCCAAGCAGGACGATGATGCAGTGAAATCATATCGCTCACTGATCCTCGCCATATTATGTTTCATAGAGGAGACCCTTGCAAAAGTTAGCCAGGATAAAAATCTGGTGTTGGAGCGACATCTGGACTCATACATCGATTGGATGCGGCACCAACAACGTCGGCTTCATACGGGGAAGTCGTTAGTAACATACGAATCAGTTTTGCAACTTCTGGATGATCGCGAAGCTCGAGATCAACTCAACCAGCAGATAGAAAATTCGGGGATAGATGGCTTCTTTTTTATTCAGATCGGCCGACAAGTTATTCAGATGCTCCATGGCCAGATTGACCCTCTTGACTTTATGTTTCGAGAAGGACTAGCCAACAAATACTACGAAAAGATGTTATCCAACCACCATCACGCCTATCCTGCCTCCCGGTACGTCGACCTTTTATGTTTTAAGAATGCGAGGATGAATATTCTGGAGGTTGGTGCGGGGACCGGAGGTCAAACGATGTGCATACTGGAATCAATGAGTAGCAACGGCGTGAACAAATGGGCAAAGTATGACTACACGGATATTTCGCCAGGATTTTTCAATCAAGCCAGAGAAAAGTTCCACTACCCAAACATGAATTTTCGAATCTGCGATATCTCGAAGGATCCAATTTCACAAAGCTTTGAGCCCGGTAGCTACGATTTAGTGATTGCTTCACACGTACTCCACGCAACAAACAAACTTGCTGAATCGATTCAAAACATTCGAAAACTCCTCAAACCTGGAGGCAAGCTGCTTCTCTTTGAAACAACACGTCCAGATGCGATCCCTGTCGGCTTTGCGTTTGGCCTCTTGAAGGGTTGGTGGGACCCGCTTGACTACGAGCCTCGGTCACCATACAGCCCATGCTTGACAGTTGAGCAGTGGGACATGCTCTTGAAGCAAGGAGGATTTTCCGGTGTAGATTTGAACATCCCAGGACAGGAAGAACCATACTGTCGAGATAGCAGTATTCTCATTTCGACTGCTGAGAGCCAGAACGACGAAATAAATCAGCCTCTGTGTGAGGTGAATCTTGTTGTGAACAACCATGTAGAGGCTCAATCCCTGATAGCAACGGCCCTCGAGACTGGGCTATCTAAAAGTGAACATCTCTTATGGAAACGATGCTCTCTGGCACAGCTTGCTAAAGCGAATATTCCTGAGTCCTCTTTGACAATATTCCTTGAAGAAATAGACGCGACCTTCCTTGAGGATATCTCGGAAATAGATTATGCTAGCTTTCAAGCTATTTTGGTACGGTCCAAAACAGTCCTATGGGTCACCAAAGCATTGCCACCTGGAAGAATTGAACCCAGACATCACCTTGCCCATGGGCTAGGCCGCACCCTAATGTCTGAAGATTCAGACTATAAATTTGTTACACTATGTTTGGAAGATTTCGAATATGATGTTACCCAGGTGACTGAAACCATCTACAAGATCGTGGGATACCTTCGTAACTTGCCGGTGGAAAAGGTCGAAACTAATTATGTTGCTACTCATAATACTCTCCAGATATGCCGCATTTCGGAAAATGTCGAAATGGATACTATCGTTCAACAGGCAAACCTACCATGGCAACTGAAAGAGTGTCAATTAACTGTTAACACAAGTATTCAGCTTTGCAAAGGTGAGCTTGGTCGCCTGGATTCGATCCAGTGGCTTGAAAGCGAAGAACAAGATGCTTCACGTAAACAGCCTTTAGATGATGACGAGGTTATGGTGCAAGTACGGGCCATAGGGTTAACATTCAGAGACTATCTAATAGTCAATGGCCAGCTTAACGAAGCTGACATAGGCACCGAGTGTGCCGGGTTGGTTATAGAGGCTGGAAGTAAATCCGGATTTCAGACCGGCGATCGGGTCTGCCTCATTTCGACAGCCTCAGCGCGGTCTATCATCAGAGGCAAAGCAGGTGCCATTGTCGCTATTCCGTCGCATATGAATTTCGCCGAGGCTGCATCATTGCCTACTGCAATGTGGGTATCCTACCAAGCCATTGTCAACCTAGCAAATTTACAGAGGGGTCAGACTGTGCTCATTCATCAAGGGGCAAGTTGTGTAGGACAGATGATGATCCAGACGGCAAAAAGGCTAGGTGCACGGGTGCTTGTTACTACCAGCTCAATGTTTGGGAGAAAGTTCATCTACGACGAATTTCAAATTCCGGAAGCGGATATTTTCTGTGCTAGCGACGCTACAATTGTTCTTGAGATAAACCGGTGTACTCAAGGACAGGGAGTTGACGCTATTGTTGGGGCGCTCTCGGCAAACGGCGCAGGTGAGACTGTGGATTTTATACCATGTCTGTCACCTTCCGGTCGACTTGTTGATACCAGTTCATTGAACAGATCCTCCGGTATTGCTATGCCATTGAATACGTCAAGGTCATTAGTCAATATGATTAGCCTACTGCAGGAGAGGCCGACCTTAGCTCACGATATCTTCCAACGGGCAATGAAAAAAGCCTTTGATGAACGACTTCGGCCACCACAGCCAATTCGAACTTTCTCAGCGGCCGACGCCGGAAAAGCCTTCCATCAGTTCCAAGTCTTAGATGCGCCAGGTAAAAATATTATCGAGATTAATTCGGATACTATTGTTATGGTAAGTTGAGAAATGCTGCTCGAGCAAATAATTAGCATTAATCTTTTGTTCTTAGGCCGATGTCAAGACAATTCCCCGGTGCAAGCTCTATCCCGATGCCACTTACGTTATTAGTGGAGGGTTAGGAGGACTTGGGAGGAGTATTACACGGTGGATGGTTGACCGCGGGGCACGAAACCTCATTCTCCTCTCACGATCTGGCGTAAAATCGCAAGAAGCCAAAAATCTTATCAGATACCTCGAGGGGAGGCAAATATGTGTTGTGACACCCGCCGTCGATATCAGCAACCTAGTTGCACTTAAGCATGTCCTTAAGCCTTTGGAAAAGACCATGCCTCCAATCCGGGGTTGCATCCAAGCAACGGTAGCTCTCAGGGTATGTATTCTTCACTTGGAATTTATTGTCGGGGTACCTACTAAACAATTAATATTCTAGGATAATCTTTTCCCTAACATGACATATTGTGACTGGATCGTTGGCACAAATTCTAAAGCGAAGGGTTCTTGGAATCTGCATTCTGTACTTCCTTGTGGCCTCGACTTCTTCGTACTCTTTGCTTCCTTGAATGGTATTTTGGGAGGACGTGCACAAGCCAATTATGCGGCTGGCAACACATTCAAAGACGCGCTCGCTCACTACCGCATTTCTCTCGGCGAGAAAGCAATATCCATCGATTTAGGGCTGATGGCCTCCGAAGGCATCGTCGCGGAAAATGCGGACCTACTTGCCAGCATGCGTCGCATTGGACATCTTATGGATATTAACCAGGAAGAACTGATTGCCCTGTTAGACTATTACTGTGACTCTGCGTTGCCGATATTATCGCATGATAAAGCGCAAATTCTGGTCGGACTTGAGACACCTGGCGCAATACGTGCAAAGGGCATAGATATTCATCATGCCATTCACCGACCATTATTCCAACAGCTGTTCAGCCTGGATTCGGGCAGTTTGCAATCACCGGGCCAGCAAACGACCATCAGCTATGCTATGGTACTGAAAGAGGCTACGTCGAGAGAGGAGGCCTCAGCAATGGTGACGGGGTGGTTACAGGCCAAGATCGCGCATACTCTAGGCCTACAAGAGGAAGACGTTGACCCAACAAAACCAATTCATACATATGGTATCGACTCCTTGGTGGCGATTGACTTGAAAAACTGGTTTTCAAAGGAGATAGGAGCGGACATAAAGGTATTCTTTATGCTAGGAAACCAAACCTTGGAAGCAGTAGCAAGAGAAGCGGTAAAGGGGAGTAAGTTTATGGTACAGTAACCTATCAAGGTTATGCAGACGCCCCATATCTTATATTAATTTTTTTAACCGTATAATAATATAGATAACTATTTTTAATAGCCATTATAACCTTAAATATTTTTTAAATTATATTAATTTGGTTTTAAAATTAGTAGTAATTATTATAAAACTTAAGAATTTACTTTTAAAATTAAAGCTTTTATGGTTAAGGTTATAACGAAAGATATAATAAAGATTATTATTATTAAAACATTTTATTATAAATATTAAACTATTATATAATAAATTAAACGTTTTAAAATAAATTATATCTTTTATTTTAAAAAATGTTAGATTAAAGATTATATTATTAAAGGCTATAAAAGTATTAAATTATATAATTTAGTTTATAAATAGCTTTATATAATATATTAAAAGATATAAAATTATAAAGCTATAATTACTAATAATTTTATAATATAATAATAGTTATAAAAGTAAAATTTAAAAAAATAAAAAGTTGTTAAATGTATTAAATTAACTTTTAAAAATGTTTATTAAAAATTAAATTTTATATGAAAATATTAATTTAAGGTTAAATTATAAGCCTTTTTACAGATTTTATTTTTAAATAAAATTATTATTAAAAATAACTTAGTTAATCTTAAGAAATGGGTAATATAATTATTGTTTAAACGTTATTAATATAATTTAATAAATAAAAAAAAATATATAAAAGCTAATATTTTAGTTATAGTTTAAAATATAATATAGTTATAATTTAATAAAGGAAGTATTAACTAATTAATAATATATAAAAGGGATTTTAAAATATTAAAGGGTAATATAATCTTAAAATTTTATTATAATATATTAAATAAAAGTTTTATTTTTTTTTATAAATCTAAGAATCTTTTTATTTAAAATAATATATTTATTTATAAATTTTGGGTTATTAAAAATTGATTAGAAAAATACAGTATTTACATAATTGAATAATTATTATATTTTTTTAATTTAAATTTTATTAAATATATTTAAAGAATTTTAAAAAGGAAAATATATAAAATAAAACTTTAATTTTAATATTTATAAATTATTAAAGACAATATTATATATATTATTAAATTATTAAAAGAAATGTGGCAATTAATAAACTTTAATTTTATTAAAAAATTAATTAAATTAATTTTTAAATATATATAAAATATACGTTGGGTATATAAATGGTATATTAAATATTAATTTTTAAAAATTATAAATTATAATAAAAATTTTTATTTTTATTTTATTTAAAAATTGGATTTATTATAATTATTTTAAAATAAATGGTTATTTAGGTGGTGGGATGAGGTTATATGGGGTATTTGCATAAGACTAATAGTTTATTATACGGTTTAACGCGAAATAATTTTATTGATAATAGGTACCTAAGGTATGTACAGCATGTGCGGTACCTAACCTAAGCCATTAAAAGGTTGACTGTACAGGCGAGGGAACCTTATACCTTAGGTACCTAGGTCGCTAAGATAAGATCACATTTCCGACGAATAGTCATACTATTTACTATTTATAGAGATAGGTACCTAGGTAGTTGATCAAATATTCTTCACGTCCATCAATCTCTTTTTTCAATATTAATTCATAGGCTTTCCTCAGGGCATCTAGGTAATGATGAAATAAGGTAATATTACACACTAAAAAGATAATGTCTAAACAGAGTATATTCTCATGTCCCTTATAACTTCCAACCTGCGCACTTTATATAATACTATTCATTAACAATGACGGGTTTCATCTTCCACATCTGAAGAAACTAGGAACCTAACTGTCTTTCCGTCAAACCGTCCCTGGACACGCTTGTTCAACCCTACTCCGGTTGGTATCAACATACGCCACTACACTAGATTTCTTCTTACGAATCAACGCAGGACAAAACTCTAGGTTGAGCAAGTTCAACACATGCTTCTTTTTTAGCGGCTTCGATTCTACCGAATGAGGCTATGTTTAACGATTCACAGCCGAGCTGAACGTGAATCGCCGCTAACGAACAATCTCAGCTGAACGCATGTGAGAGTACGCCAAGGGACCATGGGACTAGGCGTTTTTACAGTATACCTAGGTAGCATTAATATATCATCAGAATTCAATATATATATATGATAGTAAAGTCGTACAATTCCACTCGGTGTTAATCTTCCCATTTTAACCCCTTTACTACCTTCGAGGATAAGCCGATATGGATCCTCTCGCGTCGATCAACCCATATGTATCACTCAAAGAAGGACCGCAGTTGGGCCAAGTCTATCAGAAGCTGCCTGCCAAGAGTGCCCGTTTCCTACGATATAAGGGAACAGAGAAATCAGCGGACACTTCTGAGCAGCTGCTTGTATTTGATTTTGAGGTCCATCAGGTCCAAGATGTCAAGTCTCAGTACTCAGCCTTATCCTACACGTGGGGTCATCCCATACTCGATAAATTCGAAGATGACTACTCGCACGCGATAATTTGCAGCGGCCGACGTATGCCGATTGGTATGAATTTGAACGACGCCCTTCAGTATGCTTACTTGGAGTCGGATATTGCCCCGCCGCTGTTCTGGGTAGACGCCGTCTGTATTAACCAAAGCGACCTCGCGGAGCGGGCTCAGCAGGTTACCCTCATGACTAGTATCTACTTCAATGCCGATAATGTCGTTGTGTGGCTGGGGAAGGACGACGAGGATGCGCATGAGGCCCATTCGCTCTTGTCTGAATACACGCCTGCCCTTAGAAATATCGGATTGGACTTGATCTCGGCGAATCCCGATGGCGGGATAGAAGCGGGAGTAGTCAACTTGTACGACGACGAGAAGCTCCACGAAAAATATCACCTCACCCCAAGAAGTATGGATTCATGGAAGGCGCTTGTGAGGTTTCTGTCTCGAAGGTGGTTTGCTCGCATTTGGATCGTGCAAGAAATGGTATTCAACCAGTCGCATTTGGTCTGTTGCGGTCCCCTACGATTCAACTGGAAGGACTTGGATGGTTTCGTCGGCTTCGTCTTCGGCGCACAGTGGCATGGGATGAACTTCCACGGGCTTGAACGGGAAACGGCGAGGATTGCACGTACTTTCACATTCCATCGCGAGATTCGCTTATCGGGAACCGAGTACTTGAACGACGACCCAAAGTTCAGTCTCCTAAACCCTGAAGAAAAGCTATACGATTTTGCGCAGAGCTACCTCCTTTCATCCGCTTTCTTGGAAGCAACGGATCCCCGCGACAGAGTATTCGCGTTATCCGCATTTGTTAATTCATATGCGGTTAAGATAGACGTCAAGCCTATCTGGCTCAAGGCGGACTACTCTCTTCAGACGACGGAAGTCATGCTACGTACTGCACAGCTATTGTTGTGGAAGACGCGATCCCTGGACATGCTTTCGTATGTTTCGGATCTCAGCTGTCGAGTACAGTCCGACCTACCGTCTTGGATGCCACACTTCCACATCTCTGGGGCTGTTGCATCTGTAGAGTCTTTGCTTGATCTGCATCAGGGTAGGAAGTTCCACGCTGGTAGCCGGTCGTCGACAGTGCCCTCATTCTCAGACATATACCTACACTTAGAGTCGGCGGGCAATGAGCTAGAGTCTCAAGGGTGCCTCTTAGATACTGTAGAAGAAATTGTCCTCTTTGAATCGGGCCTCCTCTCTATCTTGGAAGTTTGTCTTAACTTACCGCATACATACGCAAACGGACAATCGCCGATTGAGGCGCTCTGGAGGACTCTCATCGCTGGAAGAACGGACACGGCGTTCCCTGCACCAGAAGAAACAGCACAAGACTTCGCCCAATTCGTCAAAGCCGGTCTCATAGGAATCGCTCTGGATGCGCTTAGGAACGAAAATAAAGAGTTGCTAACAAGGCTAATCTTGGTATTGGGGGGGATAGAAGCAAGATGCCCGCACTCCTCGATCCCAACGGTCGGAGAGTTCAACGACATATTGAGTAATGTTTTAGGAGATCTCAATGGCTGTATCAAAATGCTTATGGATCTACGTTCTAATTGCGCATATCGGACTATGATCTCCCCTACACATTGGGGCCAAAAAGGCAAAGCCTTATTTCGTAGTCATAATGGCCTTTTAGGATTGTCGCCACATTCGACTCAAAAGGGGGATGAGATATGGCTACTAAAAGGGGCGAGCTTGTTCCACGTGTTAAGAGGCGATGATGACACATCGGCAGCAAAGGTATTGCTAGGAGAAGGATATGTTCACGGCTTTATGGAAGGAGAAACTTTGGAGCTGGAAGGACTGGAGTATTCTCGAGTAATCATAAAGTGAGCTAGGTCTATCTGGTTTATAGATTGGTCGGTTATAGCGTGGTAAGCGGTGATTTAAGGAAGATAACATATCTAGCAATCGTATCATTAGCAATTTATTTACTTTTTATGATATTCGTAGTGGCAAAATATCTGACTATGATACGACATCGAAATGCGCTCCATATGAACTATAATTGGATTATTCCACTAGATAGATACATCAAACAGCGAAGTAGATGTGAAGTATCCTATAACTCGTCTATCCCCCTGACTGATATTCAACTACATATCCTTTATTAGTACACACGGATAGGCCATACAAGAGATGATGGCTTGTGCGATATTAGACTTACCAATGATATCTGCAGTTTGTAGTTTTAGAAACAACATTTTCCTATTATGTTAATGAATGAAGTTAAGTCTTATATTAGGGTACTGTACCGAATTGCAAGGACTGCCAGTCAAGACGGGAACTCGTGGTTGATAGATCCTGCAATCTTAGAAAGATAGTTCGTGGGTACGTGAGACATCGGTGTGCTACCCTCTAATAACTAATATTTTGCCCATATTCTATAAATTCCCTTGTAGTAACCCCCTAATAACCATCCAGTGTGCATGTTTTAGTGTTAAAATAGTTGTATGGTGGCGAATTTCGGTGAGATACTAAGAACTTTACCCTATCGAGTTAGGAATATGAGTAATCTTTTGTTTGTGTATCCCATCTGCTATTACGTGTCTAACACTTTTTACCAAGTCTATGACATATTACTCATAACTTTAAGGCTAATATATATTTGTCATTGAATAGAAAAGCAATGTCTTCTTACCTGCTTATAGCCTGGGTAAGCGATCGACGGGTGGAAAATAGAAGGGGGTACAGAAGAAGACAGTAGGACAGCATATATTTCTCTAGCTTTATGACAGTACTCTGCGATCACGCTTTAGAAAGATCGTGACCCTGTAGCTAATAAATACGTATTCTTAGATATAACTGGTAAATCATACACATCCAAATATCGGCTATGAGTAACACTGCCGCCGCAAGCTGAAACATATAAGCTTTATGATTATCTCTTGGCGATCGCCCTATCGACATCTTCACCGGTCGAATATCTCCTTCCAAACCCCGTAGCGTCTCGGATCTATGCCCAAGGTTGAATGCGTATGTGCAAAGAGGTGCGTTGCACGACGTAAGGCCTTCTAAAGTCGATATAAGAATAGGAGTGGATATGCATCTGAGATGGGGAAAGGAATCGATAGATACTGTCAAATAAATCATACTTCTCACCTTTGAAAAGCAAATTAGATCTTCAAACTTCACAATGCCTATTGAAGAGAACTTTGAATTCGAGTCGGACGCCTACCGACGGGAGGTCAAAACCTTCAACATTGCCAGGCTTAAGCAGCAAGAAAAAGCCATGGGGCGAAAGTGCTTAACGAGCGGCTTTGCTACGAGTTTTGGGGTAGGCAGCGCATGGTTTTCAGGGGGGCTAAGCTTGCTACTGGCTGGTTATAAAAGCCGAAGCACATACGTGGCTTACAAGAAGCGCGAAATTATCCAAGACGAGCTTCGTAGGCGTAACCAGGAAGTTGGCCATATCACCGGCAAAGACGCCGCCGTCTCGTGGTCGATCGGGGCATTGGCGGCTTTGGTCGGCATGGAGATAGGCGACTTCACTGCTGAAATCACTAACATCGAAGAAATGGGCAAGGGACTAGCACCTGGTGCGAACGATAGTACAGGCCTGCTGACCGATCCGGGCACGGCGGTAGACGGTATGGCCGGTCAAGTCCAACAACTCGCCGCACGCGCTCTAGGTGAGAATGCCGCGAGCGCTGCTACACAAGTAGCCGCTGCAGATGCCACTGCCTACCACGCAGGCATGATTCAAGCGAAAATCATAGAAGAGCACTTGGGAAACGAGGCGACAGAAGCTGCGTTGGTAGCTCTTACGGATCCACCCGAAGAACCGAAGCCCGGATGCCAGCGTACAAGAATTGGACAACTAAGTTGTGATAGATGCAGAACATCTATAGGAGTAGGGCATTGTTACTGGCGTAAGTTTTTCATATGAGAGTATATACCTAGGTAGGTACCTAAGGTACCGAACGTGTCTTGACTAAATTCATTCTTATGACTTTTAGACTGTTGCGACTGCGACCGCGACAATTACGATATCTGCCTCAAGTGCAAAACAAAAGATATCGGCTGCAGGAATCGAAGTCATACTTTGAGGAAGCTCCAGGTCCCAACATAATCGAAGTATGGACGTGCGTCGTCTCAATCGATGTAGTCCGATGTTACTACGTCTTATTTATTGGTTGTCTTGGGATTACGCAGTATATCTTTGAATATCTTTTTGGGTAATGGCTGTATGAGTTTAGTATAAATTTTGCATAATGGGCATATACGTATGAACATATGCAGGTTTCTGTGGGCTCATAATGGGCAGCTCCTTGTTAAGGAACGGGAGTGTAGACCAGTACAGGTTGTAGACGGCATCAAGCTCTATGGGATCCAGCCCCTGACCATTAGGAGATATATATTCTCGAGGGCTTATGTGTTGGAAGGCATTCCGCTCATTTATCTTGAATAAAAATGTTTATCTACTTCGCCATATCTACCATGACCTTGATAACCAAACCTCCCTTTTCATCTTTTACTTTGGCGGCCGTGTCAAAAGCGCCGGGAACGTCGCTAAGGCCTCGAAATCGGTGAGTAACAAGTTTTAGAACGTCGGGCAGCACCTTGTTCCCGCTAGCAAGTAGCTCGATGGCTTCGCGATATGCGTTGGCGTACCGGAACACTCCGACTAAGTCAACTTCCTTGAGAGACGCAGCCATTATGGGTAGCGTTTGAACCGGCATACCCATACCGATAATCATCACCTTTCCCCCGGGTTTCGTCGCCTTCAATCCTCATTAGCTGTGCTATAGAAGAGATCGTGTAGAAAAGTAGAAATCTTACATATATAGCCGCCTGCATGCACGACTCAACACCTGTGCACTCAAAGGTTACATTTGCTTCACCAACGGCATCAGCTCCATCTTTAATCTTCAGTGACTTCAACTTCTCGGCTAGATATTGCGCATATGACAATTGATCTTCAATAGCTTCAGGTCTTGGAGTTGTCGGCACCGTGAATGCGGCATCGGCGAATCCGTTATCGACGGCGAACTTGACGCGGTCCTCGAGTATATCCGCTATCACAACGGTCTTGGCTCCAGCTACCTTGCTAACGGCTGCGCAGAGCAGTCCTACGGTACCAGCGCCCAATATCAGAACGGTTGATCCGGATTTCAGCCCGGCACGGTTCCGGGCGTGTATTGCAACAGACAGGGGTTCTACAAGAGCCCCGTGCTCTAATGATAGAGTATCTGGTAGTCTAAAAAAAGGAATACAATATTAGAAATCTAAATAAAGGCTCGACGCTATAAGAGTGTAGGATTATCATTGTAATTAGGTAGGTATCATATAGTAGCTTCAACATACTTATGGCACCATCTTGCCGGGTGGTTAATCCTATCTTGGAGCGTCCCTTGAGCATGCGGGAAAGCCTTCGCGGAGCTGCGGAAGCTCATGCCGCGGCAGATGTTGTAACGGCCTCCGCGACATAGATCGCAGACTTCACAGGGTAGACCGACTTCGAGAGCGACACGGTCACCGACCTTTATAGATTGTGCAGAGGAATAACCCTCGCCCACGGCAACGACGGTACCAGCCGATTCGTGACCTAAGGTTATCGGCTCACGCACCTCGATCGGACCATTCCGAAAATGTCGGAAGTAGTGCAGGTCCGAGCCGCAAAGGCCGGTCATCTGTACGGCTACTTGGACTTCATCGGAGGCCGGTTCAGAAAGCTGTCGGGCTTCCTGTTACACTCGTTAATGGGGCTTTTTCGACTTCCCATCTTGCTTCGGGCCTGTTCCGAAAATAGAGCTTACAACTCGGAGATCTCTCGCCCCATGGAGGACGGATGCTTTGATATCACTGGTCATCGTCCCTGTGTTGCGTTTTTGTTCGGTATTTCAAATATATATATATTTTAAAAGAAACTGAATGGACTTCAACGAATTGTTCTAGGATTCTAGCTGGTCAGAGCTGGTTTAATTAAAGAAACACCGTAGAAGAACACGAGGAATTATGAAGAATACATTAACAAGTACGTAGTCATCACCAGCCTTGAAAATTGCTATGCCCAATCATACACTTACAGGAGGTACTTAACCCGACCCTAGTCTACATAACTTCGGTGTGGTCGTGGGAAGAACCGTGACTATACAGAATACCCCTTAGCGGCGGAAGAGACATGTAGGACATGCAGATATTGTGACCCCGGTCCATGTAATAGAAAGCATGCTGAGCGTGCATCGTCGGTCCACTGTGGGGAGAACCCGCAAAAAGGTCGCCTTCGTTTTGTCCAAAGCCGGCGATGTATACTAGGTTCGGGGGAAATAGTCGTTTCTGGCCAAACGGTGTTCGTGGGAAATATTTCTTACCCCAATCTTCATCTCTAGGTACCTATTTACCCCGCCTAAACATTCTCAGGTGAAAGATGAGGGGGAAGTATAAGGGGCCGAGTTATCACCGACTAACATCATGAGATCGGAGAAATTGTATCGAGGCGATTCATAAAATGTCGTATCTAGTTTATTTACATAGTTTTAATCGTTGTTTTTCGCTAGGTTTAACCGAATCGGTTAGCTAGAATGAGATGTAGGAATATGTAGAGCAGTCGTAAATCAAATTGTCATCAGGGGATCGCCCTAACGTATAAGCCTTAGGGGGTCTCCTAGATAACCTATAGCTCCGAATACGGAAAGGGAATAAAGTCCCCTATGTATTCTTGTATGAGAGGGGTAATTACTTTATTTTAAATATAATCTTAAACTTACAAAGATACTAGGGTAGTTATCACTTATTGGTAGTATATGAGATAAGGTAGTAAAGCTATTTTTGGCCTATTGTGACATGATCTCTTGAACTTCTTAGCACAATATATAGCAAGCTAAGCTTCCCCCAACATGACAGACGCGTTGTTCTCGCTCAAGGGCGAGATAGCTCTTATTACCGGCGGCACGAGAGGTATTGGACAGGCTGTAGCCGTTGGGCTTGCTGAAGCGGGCGCAGATATAATCTTAATCCAAGTATGTAATTGACAGAGTAACTGTCATCTCGATCAAAGCTAATTTCAAAAAAGCGATCTACTGCGTCGACAGAGACTAAGAATGCCGTCGAAGCCGTCGGCCGTAAAGCCCATATCTATACGGCGGATCTCGCGAACGCAGAAGACGTAGCAGGCTTGGTCCCGCGGATTCTAGCGGATGGACATACGATACGCATCTTGGTAAACTGCGCTGGTATTCAGATTCGCCATGCACCCGAAGCCTTCCCCGACGCCGACTATCGCGCAGTAATGGGGGTAAACGCGGACACCGTATTCACATTAACACGCGACGCGGGCGCCCATATGCTAGGTCTCGAACCCTCCCCAGTCACAGGCCGTCGTGGTAGCATAATTAACTTCGCGAGCCTGCTCTCGTTCCAAGGCGGGCTGAATGTACCCGCGTACGCAGCAAGCAAGGGCGCCGTAACACAGATGACCAAGGCTTTTGCGAATTCGTGGACGGAGAAGGGTATTAATGTTAATGCTGTGGCACCTGGGTATATCGCGACGGATATGAATACGGCTCTGATCAACGATCAAGAGAGAGCGGCAAGCATTAGCGCAAGGATTCCGGCTGGGCGTTGGGGAGATCCGGATGATTTCAAGGGGAGCGCTGTGTTTCTAGCTGGTAAAGCGAGTTCGTATGTGAGTGGACATACACTGGTTGTTGATGGCGGATGGATGGGACGGTAGAGAAGGGGGTCACGCAGAGTAAGAGAATACATAATGGATTGCCCGAATATATTTTATTTTTACAATAGTCATACTATCACAGCAGTCATAAATATTGAACCCCCCTAGAACCCCAGAAACCCCGAATACATACCAAACTACCCAACGACACAAAATGCAAATAAATATAACATCACTTCGCAGAAGCCATCACTTGTTCCATCCAAGGATATACCGACGAATTCGCCATGGGATATCCCATATGTAAAGCACCGGTGAAGAAACGTGCCTCCTTAGGCGACCCATACTCGAACAAAAGCATTGAATCCTCAATTGGCATGAGCCCGTCATGCGTCCCCTATCACAACTGTCAGTACCCCACGTTCATGTTCACTATTAAAAATCCAAAGGTAAAAGAAAAAAAGGACAAGCATACGTTAACAAGAAGTAACCTCGTACTCGGCATCCCCAAGATCCCCGTCTCCAATAGCGAAAACCTCCCCTGCGAGCCCTCCAGATACGCCTCGACATCGTCGCCGTATCCGTACTTCATAGCCAGTGCTGGAGTAAGCTTGAACGGGTACTCATGACCATTAGCTTTGGCAAGCCATTCGCGAGCGAAGAAATGGTGCGTGCCGGCACCGTGCGCGACGACTCCTAGTAGTTTGTCGCGGTGCGTGTGTGCCGCCCGCACTGCATAGTATCCTCCGCTGCTTAGTCCCCAGCACAACACGCGCCCTAAGTCAAAGCGCCCGTCAGAGGCTAACCACGCGAACAGGCTATCGAGTAGTCGGTCCGGCGAGTTCGGATCCGCTGGATCTGCTGGACAATCGGCCGTGCCTGGAATTTCGAGCACGACAGCGGCCCACCCGCGCGAGAGGAACTCGTCGCATCGCGCTGTGTTGTCGGGGCGATAGCCATCAAGACCCGTGAAGAGGATGACTGCGGGGTGCTTCGAGTCGCCATTGGATAGAGAGGGCGGTACTCGGATATATGCTGGGATAGTGTTACGGTCACGTCCCTTAGCGAACGTATGTGGGATCGAGACCTCGGATAGAGGGGATGGTGACCATAGAGATCCGGCTTTGCGGTATATCGCTTTCTGTAGCTCCCAAGCCTCCCACTTGACGGGATCGTTGGGGTGCGGGAAGCCTGTGATGTACGGAAATCGAGCGATACGTAAGATACAAGCGGCGCGTAGGTACAGCCGCGACGCCTCTTTCTTCCCCTCCTCGCCTCCTTGAGCAGCATCTTCGTCGCCGCGTTGCTCAAGAGCCCGTGCGGTAGGAATGAATGCTTGCGTGTACTCGGCCGAAGTCCCATCGTTGATGTCTCGAGCAATTAGATCTAGAAATACAGGCTCGAAATCCTCGAAGGCGCCGTCATGGAAAGGGTACACCGACCGCCGACAGGGCTCGCGCCACTTAGTCTCCCACAGCGCACGGATTCCGTTATGATGCGGCATGTGACGCTCGAAAGCCTCTGCACCCATGAGCCATTGCGGCGGCGCGGGTCGGGACTTAGCAATAGCATCTAGCGCCATTGCGCAGGGGAGGGGCGCGAAAGGGATTAGTAGTTGGAGCTGAAGCTCGCTGATCGCGAGGATAGCGTCTCGTCGATTAGCGTGAAGCTGCTATCTTGGGAATCCTCCTCGAATTCTAGAGGAATGTACTCGGTTTGTTTCCGCGAGCCAAGCCGTGAAAGGTGGATGCGGCCGTTGCGCTTCCGGACTACGACACGACGACTGGTATACCAATCCTTTTTCTCGCGGACCCTGTTTTTGCTTGTTAACTGGCTATATTTCTTGAGAGTATATATATAATGTAAGTATACGGCACATGGAGCTTGAAGGATGCTGAAACATTCCATAGGGTTTCCCGTCTTAGAATGTCTTCAGTTTCTATAATTGGGATCTAGAGTCACTTGACGCTAAGTAGGTAGGTAGGTAGCTACACTTTCTCGAGTAGAATCATTAGGGATTGGAGGAAAGCTTAGCTAAAACTTACTCTCGTTGAAGTAGGGCTATATTGGCTCTGATTAGAGCGTTGCGAAGGTCATGATCAACAATCATGTTCGTGTTACTAGGGCAAGACATTGCTTATTTAACAATATGGAAGACGGAGAGGGGCCGATGGGGATATCCGAGTGAGTCCGGTCTTGTGTAGTACTAGGTAAATAGGATGGCCAGAACGAGAATTATAATACTCAAATATATAACGGATATAGGGAGGAAATGAACATAAAATAATGCAAGGGAGATCGAATCGAAATATATTTATCGAAGTTCAGTGTTTCTAGGAGGGCGGACGAGGTGAGACGGCATGACTTTATAGCCATCAGTCTTATAAGCTGGAGAAATGCCGAAAGCATAGCAGCTGAACGAATCTGGAAGTCGGATATGATATTCACGTGCTGCTATGCGGAGCAAGAGGAATATATCCGTGTATGTATTTGGTCGTTCCTACGTTTTGTTGTATCTGAGTAAGCCCCGGTCAACTCGTATGAGCGCATTGCAGTAAGATGCCAAGGTCAGTTTGGATTGGGCGTGGGGCCAACTTGAGTCTCGGCGATACTCAGCAAGTGCTTGTTAAGTGGTTGTCATAACGTCCGACCAGCTCGTTACCGGACCACCCACCAACCCGAATGAGAAGGCCACATTGGGGGCTTAGTGCAGGAGTAGTATTGTCAAGTTTGGTCGACTAAGCTTCCTCACTCCATGACGAAATCGAAGTCTCCTGTTGGCTGCTTTCTCTCTCATATATTATGTTTCACATGTCTTTAAATTTAGACTCTATACTCTATCCAGCAAACAACCTTCCCAAAAAGCAGAACGTTGTTTATCTGTTAGTATCCGAACTTTACAACCTTGCTCTAGTTTATTATATCCCATCCCTTTTGTGATTCGTGCCCTCTTCCGAAAGGACCATCTGATTAACCTAGATCTTCGACTCTACCAGACATCTCGGAGTCAGCCGAGGTATTAAGAGCAAGAACAAGCGCGAGTGTATATATTATGTTCACTGTTGCTAGTCCTCTTCTCACTGGGCCTTACTCTTATCACTGTTATAGTAATGGGCCATTTCCAAACCAGCCCTTCGGAATCCACATTTTACGTAGAACCCTTCGTTTGCTTCGCTGCAGTCGAGGATAGTCTTATAGCAACCGACCTTCTCGGCGATGAAGTCGAGCGCTTGGATTAAACGAAGGCCGAGCTTCTTCCCTTGTTGATCCTTGGCGACGGCGATATCTTCGATATGACCGACTAGGCCAAGGCTATGGATACTATTAAAGGGGAATTTATCGTATTAGCAGTTGCTCTTCATTACCTAAGGGAAACTAGCTGGCCCTTGACCATTTGCCGGCCAAATTGTACGTTCCCGATTGGGGGCGGGGTAGGGAACTTCTTACAATTTCCTTTCTACAAGTAGAGCTCCAGTTCCTACAATCTTTCCCCTCGATGTATCCTCGATGACAAGGACGTAGTACGTGTCTTGCGATGACATCCATTGGTATCTTTCGGCAAACTGCTCTTTGCTAATTTCGCCTACGGTCGTCAAAACACGTAGACAGTCGAGGAAACCCGCATCGTAATCGGACAATCGCAGGGAACGGGCCGTGTAGCCTTCTGGGAGAGCAGCAGAAACGCTAGGAGAGATGAGGTCGGACGAGAAAAGGCCTTGTTCAGCCATTGTGAATGAATTGTGAACAGCAAACAGCGGGTCTGTATTCCGTGTGTCGTCTCGAGTTGGTAGAAAACAAATGTATAAACAACGAGCGAAGTCAAAACGAATAGGTGCGATTATGAAGTAGAATCAATTGATGATAAATAGGTAAAGAAGGGAGGTTGGAGATAACTTCTCTCTGCTTACTTGGCGTTAAGTTGGTAATAAAAATAATATGGCTGTCGACGATGAAGAATACGAAGAAATCGGAATCTGGGCTGAGCCTAGGAATTCCCTCTAAGCTCTAAGACCCCTGATTAGGTACTTGATTAGGTACATGTTCTAAGCTAGGGGACTTTTCAGGGTGCTTAGCCTCAATTGATTGGTCCGAATAGGAGCTGAACACCCGGTACCTCTTACGAAAAGCTTGAGAGCACTAAGAATAGAAGCCTCGGGTGTTAGCCTTAACCAGGTACGGGAATGAGATACAGGTACATACAGATGGCCTGCAGCTACATATGCACATTAGGTACCCTTTGGATGTAGATTCATGATTGCCCAGCTGACATCATTCCACTCATTTGAGTTCAAGGCTTGCAAACTCAATCTAGCACTGAAGTTACCTCTAGGAATGAATCAACTAATCCATTCTAATAAAATACACAAAACGTTGGGTGTCCGTATTTGTGTAACTTAGTTAACTTAAATATTATCTTTTTCAAAATTCGAGCGAAGATTCCCCCTTTTCATATTCCTTGACCACATATACCCTACCCTTCATTTAGTCTGACCATATTTATCCAATCAACCCGTTAAGTCTAGTTCGCGGGATATACACCATAACGAGGTATTGACACGTTCGAGGATGATGAAATCGCGATTTCGTCCTTGTATTTAACTTGTTCTAGACTATTTTCACTTTATTTGCGGACAGATGACTCGACATGACTCGATTGACGCGACCTTTGAGATGACGTGGACAAAGCCTCGGTCCCCTGGTTCCTGCATCTTCTCTACTATCGTTTCGCTTCCTAGGTATAATGGAAGATATCGGGAAACTGACCGGGTTGACGGAAGAAAGACGCCTAAGATGCAAACACGTTTCCATCTGTTCGGCGTCGAATGTGCCTAAGTACAGTACACATGCAATCATAAAACCATAAAATCTCTTATCGTGTTAAGAAATCGTTGGGAACGAATAAGGAATAAGTTCCCCGTTTAGCCTAGCTCGCCTAGTTCGAAACTATGAAGGGTTAGCTCAGTGACAACACCCAAGCGTGGCCAATAACATCTAATCCCAACTACAGAATAGGTACATATGTACCTTGAAAAGGTAATCCCAGCGTCAGGTACTAAAGGACTAAATGCTAAATGGGTTGTATTATCACATGTAAGTTTACACTAATAACTCGATATTACTAACGTCAACACTTTTCCATAGCTCCTTATTCGCTTCAAGTTTTGTTAAGAACTATTAGGACCGTGGCCAATCTTTTATATTCAAATTTATATATTTAATTCGTCTCAACCTCTGGCAGGCCTATAATCAATGAGAGGAGTCTACGATTGATGTACCGTACATATGTGCTGTTTTCGTTGTCATATCGTCAAATTTTATTAATTTTAACACTAATTCACCATCACTTTCATAACCTTAACACAAAACCCAAGACAATTCCCTGCTTCAGCACAATACTACGATATATGCAGCCTATTTATTTTAACTCATTTTTTCTTCTTACATGTCAACATGTCGTCAAGCACGGAAGCGGACCAAAATGAAGACGAGAGTCAATCCTCCGAAGCTCTCATACCCTCTTCCACTGAGCTACTACCGCCTTCTTCGGGGAGAACTCTCTTACCTAGTCCGATAGCAAGCGCCGTTAGCTTTGCTGCGCGATCAACCTCCTTTGCTCTCCGCGTCGGTACTTTCATCGGTGGTTATGGCTTAGGTGCTGCAAAGTTCACGACACTTTCTAGCTTAGAGCTCGGTCGCGGTATTCTAGAGGGGATATTGAGTAGAGCCGGGAGGGATGTAATGACAAGGGCCCAGTCCGAGTTGGGTAGAACAGATGCCGAGTCTATACTGGAAAGTAGTCTAGAAGGTTTACATCAGACAATGTCCCAAATTGTCTTTTGGACTGCGACCAGTTTTCACGTCACCGGCACAACCGTATCAACCGCTTCCCAAATATCACAGTTGTTTCTGTCTGTTTTAGATCAATTTTTTGGCTCCACCGATTCCTCCAGAGCTATTGCAAGCATCATCACATTGATCCGTCGGGAATTTCAGAATCCCGCTACGGGCGTACAGGGGGAAAAAGTGGGTGTAATTGACCTTATACTTGGTTTATGCGGCCTCGCATATCTACAAAATTGGTGTAGAAAGATGATACAAGATGAATCACGTCGCCTTGGTCAAGAAGAGATTATTTGGGATGTTGTCCTCCTCGATGATGGCGAACGAGTTGATATTGACGGCGAAGACCTACATATCAATAAACATAACGGAGAACCTGATATAGACAGCCATGAAAACTTGATCGAAGCAGTCGAGCAGCACGGTGTCAGGTGGAATAGTGACGACGAAGATGAAATGCCTGAAGTCCAACTTAAGCGGCAAATTTTAAGATCACTCCCTAAAGATGCCAAAGTGTCTATTACTACCTCAACAACCACGACGAAGACGATCACTGTTGATATAAAAGGTAGTCCGCGAGTACCAATTTTATCACTACCTGGGGTTGATGTTGTAAAGAGCGAAGTCAATGGTTTTGGAGATATCTCCGGAAATCGAGAGGCGGGGCCCGGCTATAGGGTTGTTTACAAGATAAGCCGGAATAAGGTGAGGAATATGGCTGCTGATAGCGATGCTGAAGACGATACCCAGTCTAGGGTTGAATTAATTGACGATGGAGAGCTACAGTCACCTAATAACATTGATACTCGTCAGTCTGACCAGCCTCCTCCTGTCCCCCCAAAAGCTGCACGTTCAACTTTCGCTTCGTCAGCGAAGGGAAAGAGTAATGCTGGTAGCGATCATTTGGGCTATCAACCCAAGTCTGCTTCTAATAACTCGGTCGGGTCGAGTTTTGATTCAACTAAGGATCGTGTATCCTCAACTGTTTCTCCTAAGCAGAGTGCCGAGCATTCCGCGAATCAGAAACGCACCAGAAAGCCGTTAGATGATGCTCGACAAAGTTCTCGTAGCACCCTTCCCGTCCCAACCTCGCCAACTAGCAGTAAACATTCGACCAAGAAGCTCGACTCGCCACCAAACTTGAAGGGTAATGAGAAGAGGAGTGGCATTCGAGATGTCCTTAGAAAGGGATCAGTTTTATTGAACAGGGATTCGAGCTCGGATAATCTCCAAACAAATAACAAATCAAAAGCAATAATGAAACCTCCTTGGGGTAGCAACAAGCCTTCGCAAAGTAGTAAGGTGTCGGCATCACATAGAAGAGACTATCCAGAAAGAAGTTCAAATCTAATACCGCATCGCGAGCTTCCTCAATCACCGCGCCGAGGGAGCCCGAACCACTTTTCCTCGAGAGACCTAGGCGATGGCGAGGGTGCCTTCACTTTACATGGATCACCATTGCGAGCAAAATACGTATCATCGCAAGGCAGAAGGCGTAATTCGATTGTTTCTCTAGCTGATACTTTCTCGGTACACTCGTTTGAAAGCCGGCCATCGTCTCCTTTATTTCAACGAAACGATCCCAGAGGCCATAGTAGCATATCGTACTCTGAAACCGGACACAATATGGGTACGCAGCATCTTCGCTCGCCGTCAAGGGGTCATAAAAGGACGACGTCAGAACATCGTGGTTTTCACAGCCCAAGCATATATACTCTTAAGACTAGAGATTCACAAATGTCCCTAGCCCTATCCACGTTTCAGCAAAGAAGCGCATACAGCGATTCAGAGGCTGTCGATACTCTGCGACGTACGGGAACAGTTGAGGGAATGTTCCCTGACTTTCATATCCTGAGAAACATTACCCGATATAGTCGTTATGCGTCTGCTTCGTATGGGTCCAACTTTCTAAAAATGATGGGCATTGGAAAAGAGCTTCCCATCTTAAAAGCGTTGGACGAAACACATCAAGATGTGCGCTCATTCGCACATCATACCGAGCTCCCCCCGGACAGCATCCTCCTGTCGTCATTTATTGACCCACAAGGCGGATCTGATTCCACTGGGTCTACAGACACAGGAGTACCCCTCGTACATACAATTGCAATCGATGAAGAGTCCAAAGCTGTCGTCTTGTCCTGCCGCGGTACATTGGGGTTTGAAGATGTTTTAGCAGATATGATGTGCGAGTACGATGACCTGTTCTGGCGTGGGAAGCCGTATAAAGTGCATAAGGGGATCCATGCGTCTGCCCGTCGACTTCTATATGGGGGTGATGGAAGGGTACTCGCAACACTGAAAGAAGCTCTCGAGGAATTTTCAGACTATGGTTTAGTGCTTTGTGGCCATTCACTTGGTGGTGCCGTAACTGCGCTACTTGGAGCCATGCTCGCTGAGCCTGCTTCTAGTGGAACAGCATTTATTACTTCAGCTGAACCCCATCAGAGACTACTTGCGAGCGGGCAGTCCCACCAAACCGCCTCCCATATATGTCTCCCGCCCGGTAGGCCCATTCATGTATACGCATATGGCCCACCTTCTACCATGTCACCATCTTTACAAAAAGCGACAAGGGGATTAATCACTAGTACGGTACACGGAAACGACCTTGTTCCATACTTATCGCTTGGTGTCCTGCATGACTTCCAGGCCGTGGCGCTAGCTTTTAAGACTGATAATAGTGAGGCGAAGGCAGAAGTACGGCGGCGAATCTGGGAGGGACTACAATCGGGTTTAGTTGATAAGTGGTACAACAACGGTTCAAAGCGGTCGCACGAAGAAGAAGATAAATGGGCATATGCTGCGCTTAAGACATTACGCGCCAGTATGATGAGTTCCAAACTGCTACCTCCTGGTGAGGTCTTCTCTATTGAGAGCACGCCAGCCCTTAGGAGAGACGCTTTCCTCCAGGCTGGTACTGGTCAGATCGGGCGACCTGCAACCCGAGTCGTGTTTAAATATATCAGAGATGTGGAGGCTCGGTTTAGAGAAGTTAGATTTGGTTCCAGTATGTTGCTGGATCACAGCCCTGGACGGTATGAAGATACTCTTCGCCGGCTCACATTGGGTGTTATGGATGCATGAAACGTCGTGGTTAGTTAGAGTGAGCATATAAAATACCTCCTAGATCAGATAAAGACGGTACCAGATCTTACGTGTCAAGGTACAAACAACTTATCTAAATATATACATGTCTACGCAACACTCACATGAAAAATAAAAAATAAATTATAAAATACAGTCGCCTGTTTTTCGGTCCAAATCTCCGAATGCCTGTCTATGATAGATAGGATCTGGTTCGGCAAGCTAACCCAAGTAATCCGAACTAGAGCCTCGGCGTTCAATTACATCTAAATAGTATGGCTACGAAGAAGTATGTCGTATACAGTAAGTGGGACGGAGCTAAAGTAGGCGGACGGGCGGTTAAATAGGGATAAATTGGAAGAAGGCGGACGTCCATTCCGCCGGGATGAGAGAAGAGCGATCGTCACTAGGCCTTATATGTTCTTTAGTGGGTGTATAAGTCGCCTAATACCATGAACTTGAATGAAACAGAGCGGTATAAAACAAGATAATTATAAGTTCATCTGTATTATAGATTCATATCTATATAATCTTAGATCGTAAACCTATGAATAGTTCAAAGACGAACCCCTCAACACCAAGAATCCCCTCCACTTCCCCATCCTTCTCGGGGTATCAGAACCCCGCAGAGCATCGTGAATAGGTAGAGTGTGGTCAAGTATTAAAGGCCAACTACTTGCATAATAGCTTTACATACCTATCTCCCTAGCTAATCAGCTCGAGTTGAACACGGGGAAGATATAAGTTAAAAGATATCTACAGAACCAAAAATGTCGCCGCCCTTAATAACACATCTTTACACTGCGGATCCTTCCGCCCACGTCTTTGACGGAAAGCTATACATCTACCCGTCGCATGACCGTGAGACTGATATACAATTCAACGACAATGGCGACCAGTATGACATGGCCGACTACCACGTCTTCTCGCTCGACTCTCTCGACGCCTACGCATCATCCCCCTCTTCCGCCTCCGCAGAGCCACCTAAAGTAACTGACCATGGTGTCGTACTACGTACGGAAGACGTCCCATGGGTTAGTAAACAATTATGGGCTCCCGACGCAGCCCGTCGCAAGGGCAAATACTACTTGTACTTCCCAGCGCGCGATAAGAATTCGGTATTCCGTATTGGCGTCGCCAGCGGCAATACCCCTATTGGGCCTTTCGTCCCGGAACCAGAACCTATCCCGGGCAGTTTTAGCATCGACCCTGCGTCTTTCGTGGACGACGATGCGGACGAGTCTGCATATTTGTACTTTGGTGGCCTATGGGGCGGACAGCTACAATGCTATCAGAAGGGCAACGGACCCGCGCACTTCGACGCAGCATGGCTCGGACCAAAAGAGCCCTCAGGACCAGGGGCCAAGGCGCTGTTCCCCAAGGTAGCGAAACTGGCGGACGACATGCGATCGTTCGAGGGACCGGTACAGGATCTCGTCATTCTGGCGCCGGAAACCGGCGAGCCAATCGACGCAGACGACCACGACCGACGGTTTTTCGAGGCTGCGTGGATGCATAAGCGCGGGCACGTTTACTACTTTAGCTATTCGACAGGAGATACGCACTACCTGGCGTACGCGACGGGGTCAAGCCCCCTCGGACCATTCACATACGCGGGGCGCCTGCTGGAGCCGGTGCTAGGCTGGACGACGCACCATTCGGTGGTCGAGTTTCAGGGCCGCTGGTGGCTGTTCCACCACGACTGCGAGCTTAGCAAGGGCGTGAATCACTTGCGGTCTGTGAAGGTGAAGGAGATCTTTTATGATAGGGATGGGAAGATAGTAGGGGAGAAGCCTGCGGAGTGAGTGAGCTTTGGAAGGTTGGGTTTTGATTTTATAGCGAAGTTGGGAAGCTGGGAAACTACATAGGTATTTACCTAGGTAGGTGAGGTAACTACCTATATAGTAATAACTACTTGAGGGAGTCGATATGAGCTATGTAACTACCTACCTACCTCTCAATATGCAGTGATAACAGCCCTTGTTAAGAATTGATTGTTCGACCTGTTTTATTACTGTGGTGGTTGTCAACCTCTTTAAACGGAATAGTACTACACCCTCTTGCCAGCCACGGTGAATATGAGATAGAGATGCGTCAGCACTGAGCTCAAATGTCGTAGGCACTGATTTAATTTCTTTGAATTGAATTCCACTTATAGGTGTTTTCTTTACCGTGTGTCTGTGTAAGTGACCCTCCCTAAGTAAGTAGAGATAGCAATCGATTATCTTCATCATGCTCCTCTACAATATATATCCGGCCATGTTATACTTTACGCTCAGTTAAAGTTGCCTTTGAGAATAATTCCCATAAAAACAAGACGTTGTGGACACTTCTACGTTCTCGTAGTACAGTGAAGGAGGCAGTTCACCCCTCATGACGACGGAGGCGATCTACCGATATTGGAGATGATATCTATCCCCAAAACATTCCAAGTACCGGTAAGGATTACAATGAGGGGCAGGTTTCCTTGCCAATATACGTCCTTGGCTGCGAATCGCATTGATTGATTTTATAATAGATGCTATGGATGTGACCTAGATACATACCTGTCTTTAGGCGGGGGTTAGAGGCTGGATTCAAGTCGTAAACACGTATAGCAACTACTTAGAACGGGTGAGAGCGTCTATTTAAGTTATAGCACCTATCGCTTCACATAATGGCTAGGTTAGGGAGTCACTATTATTGAAATTAGTATTTCCAATTCCTTCTATACCATAGGCGAAATCATGGGCATCAGTAGTCAGCGCAACAATGGCTTCAGAGAAAACTGGAAATGTGCTCTCATCTGTTTGGGCATGGCCTTCGCGACCGCCCAATATGGCTTTGACGTGTCCGCTATAGGAACATGCCAGACCATGCCTGGCTTCTTGATGACTTTCGGATATCGTGATCCAGAGTTGAAAGGGGGTTGGGGCATCTCTACGACTGACCAGCAGTTAATTGCATCATTCCTGAACGTGGGAACTATAATCGGCGTTTTCTTCATTACGCCGTTTGGTCGCTATTTTGGTCGCAGACATGGGATATGGATGGGCGCCATTATCGCTTTCGCCGGATGTGCTACTCAGATAGTGGCTACCTCAATTGCCACCTTGTGTGTTGGGAGGGCGTTGATGGGAGCTTCAAATGCTTTCTTCATCACCTTTTCAAATGCGTATATCGTCGAGTGCGCGCCTCCACGGCTACGTGCAGTTTGCTCCGCTATGTTCGCCGTCACTATCAACATTGGAACTATCCTTGGGGCTATCGTCGACGAAAGGACATCTCATATTATGGGCAAGCTTTCTTACCAGATCCCCCTCGCTTGTCTATTCATATTTCCTACATTGTTGAGTATTTTCATCTTTTTTATTCCCGAATCTCCTCGGTGGTTAGTACTCCATGAGCGCCGCGAAGAGGCCGAGAAGTCGCTCGCTTTTCTTCGTGGCGATTCTCTCGACCCAGTGTTTCTCCAGGAGGAGTTCGTTGAGATCATCCGGGGGGTAGAGGAAGAGAAGTCGAACGCGTCTGGATCTAGCATAATCGATATTTTCAAGGGCACTAATCTACGTCGCACGATGCTATGCGTTGCCGTCGCGGTTTCACGCGCTTCTTCAGGCGTATGGGTATTCTTGTCTTACGGTGTAAGCCCCCTGTCTCCCGGATGCGCTGCTCGCCTCGCGTCGTCTAACGTTGCTCCAAGACCTACTTTTACCAGCAAGCCGGAGTCGATGATGTCTTTAAAATTGGTATCTACTCTATGGTTGTTCAGCTTGTCGGTGTCACGGCTGGCTTGTACTGCGCATACAAAGTCTGGGGTCGTCGTACCATGCTTCTTATAGGGACCGGTTCGGCAGTCATAGCCATGGTTGGACCAGCAATAGGAGCCACAATCGCGCCCGGTACACCAGAAGCTGCAAGAGTATTTCTCGCCTTTAACTTCTTTTACGTTATTACATACAGCGGCTTCGCTGGTTCAATGACGTGGCCTATATCGGCGGAAGTGGTGAACTCAAGATTGCGGGTGCTCACGTTATCCTTTGCCACCGGTGTAGATTATGTATTTGCTTGTAAGTCGTCTTGCCTCGTGGTGTAGTGTTACATAGCATTTCGGATTGTAGAACATGAGGCTGACCGAAAATCTAGGGTTGATCTCGTTTTGCTCGCCATACTTCATTAATCCCACCGCCTTAAATTGGGGTGCCAAGTATTGCTGGATATGGGCGGCGTCTAATGTCTTAACCTTCGGTGAGGATCCTAAAATATTTGAGGCTTAAGATATTTACTTGCTAATTGGCTATTTAGTCTTCTTCTGGCTATTTTTACCAGATATGAAAGGTAGATCCTTAGAGGAGATTGACGAATTATTTGAGAGACGAGTGTCCACTCGGAACTTTCCTACCTTTGAGTGCCAGTCTTCCTCTCAAGCTCACGATATCGCATTGCATAATATAGAAGAAGCAAAGGTAGCGGTTGCGCAAGTTGAGAGAATTAACTAGAGACAATAATATGATGAGCTATTTTTTTTTTTTGCGTTGAGAAATATAAACCTATTTCTTTGAATATATAACCAACTATTCAAGTTACCTTACCAGGTATCATATATGTATACGGCATTGCTTCTTCCTACCTTAGGTACCCAGATAAGTTATCTGCCTCTATATATCAACATAAAACTCCGGTATAGTTAAGGCTTTCTAATTAAAATCCTTGGTAGACATAGTCATATAAGAGCTGAGGGATATAATCATAGTATATACTTGATGACTATAGTAAGTAATCCTTTTAGTCGTCAAAGAGTAGAATTATAGACAACAACTCTGAGAAGAATTTCACCGCATATAGTACGGCTACGAAGCGGGAGAAACCAACACATATGCAAGCAATGCAGCTTTTCGGTGTGTAGTCCTGATTTAAGGCGAGGATTGCATGTCCTCATGGCCATTCCATGTGATAGGGTTAATATACCAGGGGCTTGACCCCAAATGTAACCCACCCAGAAGAATTAGAACAAATGGTATTTTCCAAGATCGGGCTTCGCATTATCTATAACCTACCTACATATAACCTAACCTACATAACAACCCACATACATACCTAAGGTACAGCCTACATACAGCCTACATCTGCAGGTGATTTGCATTAGTGGCAGTCGAATGTCGCACCCGCTAGAAGGGTGTAATGCCTGTATCCGCCTAGATGCCGAGCCGTTGGCAATCCAACCGCATGTAGGCTGGCACCTATCACGATAAGGCAGCGGAAGCGTCATATGAGTTGAACCAATGTCAGATGACGATGCGATCTAAGTCTACTGCATATGGATTGGTGTGGGATGTTCCAACGTGTCGTAGACGGACAGGTTAACATACGCGGGGCTGTTCCCGTATGACGGGTCGTCGATAAAATCCCTAGCGATCGCCCTCCTTGGGATCCAGTTCCAAAGTAATGCTTCTCCAGGACTGGATCGTGATTCTTGGATCCGATTCGTGATACCAAAGTCTGGTCCATCTTTATACTTCCGAAATGTCCGTGAACTCTACAACATTGGTAGTTACCGCAGGCCCAGAGTATTCGAGTGTCATAAGGAGACAGGTCACGTTGACGCAGACTATAACATACCCGGATGCGACATCTACCGCCGTTGTAACTCTCGACCGAAGTGCCACACCGACCGACACACCGGCTCCAAGTTGGAATGCAGGCGCTGCTTCATCCGACGGTCTCAGTCAACAACAGATTGGTATCATAGTAGGGTGTTGCATCGGGGCCGCCGTTCTCGGGATAATCTTATGGTGCTGTTGCACAAATAGATGTGGTTGTAGGCCTTATAGCGTCTATAACAACGGCGAGAACGATATAATCTACTTTTCGGATGACATGGAAGAGGTTACTATTGGCGAGCCGCAAAGAAGTTACTGGCCAGGATTCCCGAGATCGATATCCCCACCGGCTAACCCGACTTATATCGCAACGGATACGAGTCCTCAGTGGACGGCATATGAGGCGTCGGGAAGATATCGCCCAAACTATTACGAGGGCTAAAGAACACCATAAAATATGGAAGACTCTATCGCCATTGTTAATGCTCAACTGGTTGCCTATCATAATGTTTCTACACAAAGTAAAGAACCTAAGAGGTACTTATGGCCTCTGGTCTGCTTTACTGGTGGACTATCACGACACAAATCTTTTTAGTACAGCTCCCGGGCGAACATAGCTAAGGTAAGCAACCTGCAGCCCCCCCTAAACTCTTCTTCTTACGCCAGAGAGCTGACACGATGTGAGTGCTAGTGTGAACGCTATGGATTTTAAATAATTTGGATTTTAATTTGTTGGTGGAGGATGATACCCTTTTCAAAACTTGTTGATGCTATTGTAAACATCTATGACTATCAGAAAAGCCTCTGTATGAGCTTACATGCAACATATATAGGGGCTACGGATACAAACCTTTCCTAGACAAATATATACTTATATTCCTGAATTTATTGTATAGGAGGTACTTACTCCTCTAGAAGCACGTTAAAGGTTGTTCAGACGTGTCATTTCATTCGTGTTAATAGTAAGGATAGTCCTATAATATCACACCCATATAATTTACCTACTGTTTACTTTCTGAGAAGAACTTCGCTACAGAGCAAATAACTTAGTAATGGTACGAAAATATGGTTACCGTTACCTACTATGTAGTATTCTCGGTTTCTTCGTACTTATACTCGTATTCGTACAACGGGCCGGATTATAATATTCGTATATAATATTCGTATATACTCCATGTAACCCCCGCAACTAAACATTGCATTCAATATGGGTCGACATCTATGTTATACTAATATGGGATCGTCTGGTTCCCCGCGTGAGGAGGATAACTTCAGGTAACATTAAACAAGTTTTTTAGAACTGAATAGGAAATTTCTTCATGCCCAGGAAATAATCCTTATAATTACAATTTACGAGGTCGGCAGGCCGCAAGCTCTCCACGCGGGCAATGAAAATTTAGGATATAAAAGGTAATCACTTATAGCTCTTTGAACTTCCGTTGATTTCTACCATTAACTATTAAGCTAATGATGCAATTATTTGGTCAACGCCCTATTATGGCTTTAGTAACTGGGGTTGGGACTATATCCGACGTGTTTGCAACCACAACACAAGCCTCAACCAACAATGTATTGTCTACAGCTTTTCCATGGCCCCCTTATGCAGACTTAGAGTACGCCACGGCTTTGCCAAAGCCGTCTAAAACGGTAACGTACGCGCGACCTTACTCGGAACTTGGATCGCTCGCCGGTCCTCAGAGAACTACAACGTGGGCGAGCGTAGCTAATCCACTCGACCCAGACGATGAGTTCGGCAACGTCGCTTGGTCATCTCTTTGGGCCCCCTTTTCCGTGGATCCCCCTCCATTTACAACAACAGCTACGCCAACACCGGTCCCGAGCTCTCAGCTCATAAAGCCTACGCCTCTACCTTTCTCAATAGGCAAGGGCGAAACGGATGAGTTCAAGTTTCCGAACGACTTCGACTGGGGGTTTGCCGGGGCCGCCATGCAAGTCGAAGGTGCGACTAAGACTGAAGGAAGAGGTCCCTCGATTAATGAGCTCATACTCGGCCGTGGACGACCAGGGGTCGTCGGTTCTGGCCCACCGGATATTGCAGTGTTGAATTATTATTTATATAAGCAAGACATCGCAAGACTCGCTGCCCTAGGAGTTAAGTCCTACAGCTTCAGTATCGCTTGGTCGAGAATCCTCCCGTTTGGGTATCCTGGCTCTCCGGTAAATCAAGAAGCGATTTCCCACTATGACGACCTTATCAATACGATCCTAGAATACGGCATGGAACCGATTGTCACCTTAAATCACTTCGATACGCCGTTACATTACTTCAATACTTCTTCCTGGCAGTTAGTTGCATCAACCTACGCCGGCCTCGATTCTGTATACGTGCTAACTTAACATCTAGGGGATATGACCATCCCGAATTTGTCGAAGGATTCTTCAACTACGCGAAGATTGTATTGACGCACTATTCTGATCGAGTTGGTACTTGGATAACTTTTAACGAGCCGAATGTGGATTCCGCTGTAGTCAAGAATTGGAATGCAAGCTACAATATTGTCATGGCCCACGCTAAAACAGTTCATTTCTATCGAGACCAAATTAAAGGGGGTGCCAAATGGAGTATTAAGTTGGCTTTTCCTTCTGGATTTCCACTTCCACTGGACCCCCAAAACCCGGACGATGTTGCACTCACTGAGAGACAGCTTGGTTTTTCTATCGGTTATATCGCGAACCCAATATACTTGGGACTCCAAACTCCTTCCAGCGTCATCGAAGCGTTGAAATCCCGTGCGCCTAGCTATACCGAAGAGGAACTACAGTATGTCAATGGTACTGCAGACTTCTTTGCCACGGACATATACACCGCGAGATATATCACTGCCTTAGATGAAGGGACAGAGGCGTGCATTGAATATAGCTCGCACCCGAATTTCCCGGCCTGTACAAATATTACCTCGGTACGAGGAAACTGGCAAATAGGAGCAGGAAGTAATGGCGATGCCAATGTAAGCAAAAATATCTTTATAAGATGAAAGACATATTAACAATTTTCTCTTAGACGTGGTACCAGCATGCCCGTACTATATTCAAGTACTTGCATACAAAATATCCGACTGCTGATGGCATCACCATTGCTGAATTTGGGTGGTCTACTTTTCACGAAGCCGAGATGACTCAAGACCAAGCGCGAACGGAATTCGCGTCAACACTTTTCTATCTACCAATTTTAAACGAGATATTAAAGTCGATTTCCCAGGATGGCGTGAAGTTTAAAGGAGCATTCGGTTGGGCTTATGTCGATAATTGGGAATGGGGCCAATATAACGATCACTTTGGGGTCCAAGCATTCGACAACGTAACACTTGAGCGTACATATAAACGCTCTATATTCGATTTCGTCGACTTTATCAAGGCACATAGTGAGTCTTGACATATAGAGAAATTAAGGTAGACCAAATGTATGACCTTCACTATCTCTTGATGCAATATACTAGGGTATTTAGTGTTTTATAAGACAATAACTACCTATTACAAGCTTGATGCTGAACATAAACAACAGTCTACACCAGTGAGATAATTATAATAGGTGCATACTTTGCATGTTTAGGTTTTCCAGTATAGTTATCTTTACTAAGTCTTCAACTTTTATAAGCCTAGGTTCAGGTCTAGTATCGACTGTACAGTGTCCCTAACACATTTTTCCAAAGACGTGTACTCCAATTCCAGAACTCTCTTAGACTTGCCGTTATCGAAGCCAAAGACATCATCAGGGAAGTCATCTGGTATGTCTCTGGGCGGAAGAAGTGCTTCAAATGCCGGATATGACTTACGTATCAATTCCACAATCCGCTTATTCGAGAAATGACCGCCCACGATGTAAATACGGTTTCCACCAGCCTCTGGCGCAGTTACGGCCTTGAGGTGCGCACGAGCTACATCGCGGACATCAACGAAGGTCAAGACTGGTGTTACAGCAGACATATCTTTCTTCATCTTTCCCTGTAGCATATCCCGGATACGGTGGTTAGATGTGTTCATGACGTCTAAACTCGGCAGGTTGCGTTGCACGGGGCCGAACGTGTAGGTACAGTTAATGACAACGAGGTCAAATTTCGGCCTCTCGGTTTCCATAAATGCCCATGCGGCTTTTTCGGAAAGCGTCTGAATTCGATTTAGTGAATGAACTCGACGATAATGGCAAGTCTATATACAATACCTTGCTAACCACATAAGCTCTGTTGGGATCCTTGGCGTCCTCCAAAGTCCATGGGGCCCAACATGTCTCATCATATACCTTTGGGTGGTTAAGAGGGTTGATCATGGCTGCGCTAGAAGACGTGATCACTACGCGCTTTACAGTAGGCGCATACGCCGCAATTGACTTGAGGATTCCTATTGTCCCCTTAATTGCCGGGTCTAAAAAGTCCTTAATCGGATCTTGAACATTGAGATGGAAAGGGGATGCAGTATGGACAACGTAGTCGAAGACTGTTCCTTGAGTAAACGCCTATAGTGGACTAGTTAGTTATTAGATGTTTCTTTTCTACTTTGATTTGGGTTCTCTCAAAACATACAGAGTCAAAGGCGTTCTCCTTTGCAACATCCCCTACAATGATATAGGAGAGCTTGTTACGCTGAGCAGGACTGGCTGATTCTACAATCCTGCGACCCTTTTCATCCGATCTAGCTGTTGTGACAACTTTGAATCTGTATAACTAATGAGTAAGAGGTATGTAAGATATTAGAGTGGGAAAGAGATAATACCCATTATCTAAAAGTTCGTCGATGATATGGGATGCAATAAACCCGCTTCCCCCTACACCCAAGTAATCTGTCAGATTATCTATAACTACACCTTAGGTACGTAGGTATTCAACGATGAAAGATGGTAGTTAGGTTAACTTACCCGTCACCAGTACTACTCCTTTCGTTAACTTAGCAGAATCGGCCATTTCCTTTACACCTAGGGTATAGTTAGATATTAATTAAAAACGACTCTTCTTATAATTAATTAGTTAGCCTTACGGCGATATACAATGCCTCCAAAGTGATTATTAAAGGGGGAGATATATCTGCCTTCCGTCACACCCCCCTTCGGTGTTCCGACGCATCTACCCCAATCAACGCCGAAAGATGCAATGTGACATTGGAGCTCGTAGCAAACTAGGTGCCTATGATAATTATTAGCGCAGTGTAGCGGTTTTGAGGATGGGTAGCACATATTCTTGGTACCTAATGAATGACATCGACTAGTCAAGCCTCCTATTCCTTTATTGGATACTGAGGATTGGAACTGGCGGTATTCCCTATCTCAAGTCCGGTTATATTTCTCCCCCCTCATAGAGCTCACATCATTAAACAATCGTATACAAACTTTATCAATAGACCGTTTTCGCAATGTCAGCACCAGGAGACGCGAAGCGCATCCACGTTGCCATAATTGGGGGTGGCATCACCGGGGTTATATTAGCACTGGGCCTGCAGAAACGAGGTGTTGACTACATCCTTTATGAGAGATCCTCAGCGTTCACAGAGATTGGAGCCGGCATCGGCTTCAGTCCTAATGCAGAGCGTGCTTTGAAAATCGTTGACCCCGAGATACACCGCGTCTACAAACAAGTCACGCCACCAACTGAAGGCGAGGAATACTTCCAATGGGTTGATGGCAAAACGAATGAGTTCGCAGTAAGACTATTGATCGGTGTTGACTGTTTTCATGGAGGTCGACGTTTTGACTTCCTGGAGGCATGGTCCGCCTTGATTGATAAACGTAGGGTCAAGTTTGGGAAGTCGATAGTATCAACTACCCAAAATGATAACGGGGAGGTATCGTTGAAATTCGGAGATGGAACTGTCGAGAAAGCTGACATCGGTAACGACTTTCTAATCAATGCCCTAAAGATTAATGCTAATAAGAATACGTAGTTATTGGTTGCGATGGCATCCATTCACGGGTCCGCCAGCTCATATTGGGGGAAGAAAACCCCACATCCTACTCTTCGTATACAAATAAATATTGTTTCCGGGCTCTGGTTCCTATGGACAAGGTCCGGGCAGTATTAGGGGAGGAGAGGACTATAGGAAGAGCGACCTCGTTGAATAGGCTCATGTATAACGGCCCAGGAGCGCATGTTATTAACTACCCCGTTGCGAAAGGGCAGTTCATGAATATATTGCTCGTGATGACTGACCCAAACCCTTGGCATACTAGCGACGGAAAACACACAGCTTCGGGAGATAAGTCGGACGCTATACGTGCATATGCGGACTGGCATCCGTTTGTAAGAGCAATAATAGACCTGCTACCTGACGAGTTACAGAAGTGGGCTATCTTCGATATGTTTGAGAATCCAGCACCACACTATAATCTCGGTTGCATAGCTATTGCAGGGGACGCGGCTCACGCCGCTGGACCTCATCTCGGCTCGGGTGCTGGCTTCGGAATAGAGGATTCCCTAGTTCTAGCAAGCCTGCTAGAAGCCGTCGACACGAAGCTTGAGGGCCAGACCAACAAGACAAAGGCCGAGCTATGCCATGCTGCCCTCGTGGCATATAATAAGGCTAGATACGATCGTACGCAGTGGCTCGTCGGCGCTACCCGGGAGGCTTGTGCTTTGTTTCACTGGCAGTACGAGAACGTAGGCGACGACTTTGAGAAGTTCCTCCCCGAGATAAGCAAACGATTTCATAAAATATGGGATAACGATATTGTCGAGATGGTCAGAGAAGCACTGGCGAAATTTGATCAAGCAATAGGTGAAAAGCCAAATGGGAAAACATTGCTACCCAACTGAAGCGGAATCAAGAAGGCTATAAATTCACCGTCAAACTACACATAGTAGAAGGCTTAGTTACTCTCACTACAATTCAGCGATTAAGTTAACTTGAAATTTTCCAATTCATCCACCGTATCTCTCTATAACTGGGGTATCTCAAAGTATAGTTCTAATATAAATATTACAACTCGGTAAATCATATGCTACGTGCCTCTCACATATTTCGTGAGAATCTCCCAAGATCGTAACTTGCTGAACCTGCTGTAAAGTTGCTAACATAGCGATATTCCCCCAGTTGGTAGACCTTTTTTTCTTTTTTCACGACAGCGTCGTCTTTAAGACGCGTATAGGTACTATATCCATGTATATAGTTCCAATATGTATCTTGTAGGTTGATGTCGAGGCTTATCTAAAGTAGAAGAGCCAAGTATCTGATATAAGTAATCATGGGCGAGATTGTGACGTTGGATAAATATTATCGTTATCGAATATCGCGGTAGTAAATGGTGGTGTCGGATTATATTGCACACCGGGCGCAGTCCTTGCAAGGGCGATCTCCTCGTCCATCTTTATCCAAGAGTCTCTTTCTAGACGCGAGGGCCGACTTAGCGGCTCACCACTGGCATAACCAGGTGTACTTCTATGTCCAGACCTCTTCCGTTGAGCAACACGCAGAGAGCCGTATATAGTCGGTGCATTTGCAACGAAACACGAGACGAACATTTGAACCGACGCCCATAAACTCCGCGTGGTTTGAGATGAATCCTCGTTGAATATCAGGACCACTCTTATTATGGTGATAACAATACAGAATGTGCCAAGCGCAAATAAGGAGTAAAGGGAAATATATTCTGATAAAGACCGCTTCCTTAGGCAAACTAAGGGGTACGCGATGAAAAGTAGCAACAGGTCGATGACGATGTTGGCTATTCCTTGGATAAGCAACTGGACGTAGGCTCGCACACATTGCCCTGGGTTGGGTTCAATTTGCCAGTATAAGCTGATCGGACGGCATTCCAGGAATGTTGCTAGCACAACGGCGATAAAGGTTACGACCACTGTGATCCAAGCTGTCTTGGTAAGACGATCTGCCCATGTTATTCCCGAAGTTATTCTTGAATAGAACAAGAGCAGAAGGCAAATCTGAAACCACAGTGCTGCCGTAAGAAGAACTCTGGCTAACAAGACGAGAATGCTGCCAGTTTTTAAGCGACTCGTATCGTAATAATCAGAGACGTGCGGATCTTTCAAAACTTCGTTGGTCGTTCCAAATCTCAGATAAAAGTTGTTGGCGATGACCCTCCCAATAATCATTAATATCGACAGTACGACAAAGACGAAACTGAGGTCGACAGGTTCGCGTCGCCATCGAGATATGATTACTCGACTGACTAAGATGATAACCGACAGCGCCGCGCACGCATAACCGACATCCTGGGCTTCGTACGAATCGTACCGCATCGTGTCATGTTTTCGGGAAGCAGTTGCTCTAAAGCAGCTTAATTATTATGAATACATTATATTGGTAAAGGTGCCACGTTCCTGGGGGCGAAGATGTATGATGAACAGTTGAAAAATAATCCCGGATTCAGACGTAGAATTGCTTGGAGGTAAGACGGTAAGATAAATACCTACACTCGTCCATAAACCCTGGACCTCTCCGCATGAATAATAACGAACTAAAGCTATTGACGGTGTTAAAACTCGAGCCATTCTGACTAATTTTTGTCAAGCCTAGTCGAATTCATCTCCACACTCAAGAGGACCGTTCTCAAGGCTAACTATTAGTCTTATTAGTAGTATGCGTACTATGTATGTATTGGTGCAACTGAATGCTACCGAAGCAACATATGATAGAGAATAGAGACGGGTACCCTTGTTCGGTCCATAGTGTCGGGGTCCGGGGGCGAAAGGATCTACAAGGTATTCTGCGACTCACATGTACGCCATCGAGGATCACGGAAGTCATCGTGGGTGTGGAGAAGATGATGAATACTACCTCTAATAGTAGAATACGGTAACGCGCGCTGACATCTAAGGATGCTGTTAATTATTCGCAAACGCTGATTGGAATACAATATATTCTTCTTACCGCTAGAGACGGTCTATAAGCTTATGTACCTAGGTAGGTAGATTCTAGCAATCTTAGGTCATCCTAGCGATACATGAAAGAAAAACTTTTCATAAGCATTCGTCCTCTACCAGTCCGTTAATCTGGCAGGTCGGGGGAAGAGCCGAGGAAAGATGGTGGTGGCTGGGCAAGCCTAAAAAAAATGCAAATACGACACTGGTCAGGGGTGAACAGCCCCTGACGCTGTACATCATTTATTCCCCAAAGCCCAACTATGCCTGCTAGCCTCATGCTCGGGGAACGCAGCCGAAATACTGGGCTCGCTAACTAAGTTAGATTTTTACCACTTACCAAAAACTTGGATACGCACATGGGAAGATTTCCTAACAACGTGATATTAACTTTCGATGTCCTCACTTGACACCTTTTATAAAAAAATCAATAGCCTTAAGAGTTTTGCAAGTGTTTTATGTATTGAAGTAACGGCTAACCTCCTCTTAGGGCCCGTAAGCCTTATTATAAAAGCAAATCGGCTCGTGGACCAGCCTCCAGGTGTTAGTTCGTTCAAAGCCCAAGGATGTCCTTATGACCAAAGACGAACAAGAATTAACGTTCGTCTCATCGTATGTCACTTCGAATAGCTCTAGAATTTGACTACAAGGTCTAAATTTTAGATCATTTTGCATAACCCCAGCGATTTCGGAGTCCGCTCCGAACTCCAAGCAATACACATGCCGCTCCACCTCAGCCCAACGCTCTTGATGCCTTATCGAAATGTGCCACTATTTTGTGTTTTAACACGCAATATAATCTAATATGCAAATTTATGGTTTAAATACCCCAGGGTAAAGGGGCAATATGGATTTATTCTCTAACTACCTTTAGAAATGATACACTACTTGTGGCGAAGAACTACCTATTTATCTGTATAATAATCCCCGTTGCCAAACGATATAGTCTCAGTAAGCTATTAGGAGTACGTGTGTCAGAGTTATCAGTGGCAAATATCAGCCTAAGGCTACTATTCTCAAGATAGTCGATTCTTTTTATGGCTCCCTTTCTAGGAGCCAACTTAGCGAGTGTTGTCGAAGTGGACTGAAACTATATGATATTCTAGGGCTGGGAAGCACATAGTAAATCCATCCTACACTATAGATCTACTCTAGGGATCTACGCGGGTTACGTTAATTTGCCTTATTGAGGCAGGATTTAATACAGAAATCACATGGCTTGACACCCCCTTTGACAAAATGATACGTACAACCGCACTTACAACTACACTGAAACAGCGGGCTACAATAACCACATCGGCGATGCCCGCAGCCATGAGGTCCATCGCACATCATATTGGTACCAGGTGTGGAAAGCATGCGAGAGCACTTATGGCAGCGCCAGTGGAGTATTGGCATAGACCTACGAGGTCGTAGATAAGGAACCGTTTGCGGGACCGGATCACATTCCGCTTGGCACTTATTACAAAGTGCACTACCCGGCTTTCCATAGGTAAGTTCGAGGCAGTTGTGCTTGCGACAACCGCACTCGATGAACACTTTCGTGTCGGGGTCTCGTATACACTTACACCGCGAGCAGATCCATCCGACTTGTTTGGAGGCGCCGCAGCCACTACACTGAAATGGTCTGGTCAGGCACAGCAGACCACAACTCTCTTCGAGGTCGGGTGGGATTTGTTTACTCTTGTGCCCGTCACAAGGAACAGGTGGCCCTCGCTTAAGGATATTTTTAGCTTTTGCCTTGTTACAATACTCCCATGTTAATCGTCTGTGGGAACATGGGTAGATGGAAAATAACTCGGTACACATATTGGCCTCTTTTGATAGATACTCAGCGCCAGCTAGTATCTTGATAAAAGTTCGGCGGTTGGGGATGAGGTTTGGCGGCTTGGATTCGACGATTTATTTAATTATAAAAAGGACAACGATTTCGACGACCTTATATAAGCAATGTCTGAGCCGTATTGTTCTAGAATCATTGGGAATGTTTAGGAACAAGTTCTTATTCAAGAACAATCAACCCTAAGACCTATCTCTTTGTATCATAAGCGTCACCCTTGATTTACTAGGCTATATTTCCTAAGATATATCACCGCCCTTTATTGGTTAATGATATTAGGCCATCATTTTCTTAAACAGCTTGTTTACAATTGAAGTCAATGCTAAGTAACCTTTGTTTCATTCCCTAATTTCCATGATAAGGAGAGAATACTTACGCTGTGATGAAATCTGAACCTAGCTGGGGTGGAGCTCTATTGCCAGTAGCTAAAACAAAGAAAGAAAATAATTGAAATGGAATGTTACAATAAAATGTAGTAAGGCACCTCTTAAGCATTCCTCGATTGCCCTAGGAATAAGAATAGCTTAAAAATTGACTTTATCAAGCAAGGAAAAGATGTCCGAGACTATTTCGTCAATTTAAGATATATAGAGTAAGCGTCAAATTTACAATGTTACATAATATATTCTCCTTTATTACTGAAGGTGACGGACCAGTTTAGGGAACTAGCTAGGTACCTCCTCTATAACATCTTGAATCTACCATCTACCACGGCTGGATAGTACCCGACCTAAGACCTGACCTAATAGCCTTCCCAGCATCTTCGTCCCGCTTCCCTTGTATAACGTCCCTGACGAACTGACCACCGACGGATGGATCAAGCGCACCCATCTACGACACTGGTTAGCAACACGAGATTTATACCAAGTTTAGCGGAATAAAGAACCATAAGGCTCCTACGGTAAGCGACTTACCTTCTTTAAGCTCTCAGAGCCGATCCCTCCTAACCCCGTAGCAAGGAATCCAGGGGATACAGCCCATACCTTGACGCCGTCGTTCTTGAGAATGCGATGCCATTCACGCATCAACACTGTACAAACATAAATTAGTAGCAACTTTCTCGGGGTAGAGAAGAATTTCTACCATGTCATAATCGCTGGGAGCTACTGATTAGGGAGAAAAGAAATAAGTTTGACGGTACTTACTATTCAGACCCGTTTTAGTGGAACGGTACGCCGTCAAAGCCATTCCAACCTTCGGTTTCGGCCATCCGGCAGGCGGGCCAGCGTTGAGGCGCGCAAGATTGGGATGAGTTGTGTTCTCGGTCTCTGTGAGCGTGCTTGTGCCGCTGGTGATAAACAAGATGCGAGGATCAGTAGACTTGAGTAGCAGAGGGACCGCGAGAGTGGTAAGCACGTGGGTACCAGACACGTTGAGATCCCAGGTAGCGTTGAAGCCCTCGCGTAGCGTCATTTTACCTTCCTGTATATCCGCGTCGAAACTACCGCCACCATTATTGACCAGTGAGTCTAGTCTTCCATGCTGAGAGCTGATGGTCTCGATGGCCTTCTCAAGTGACGCGTCGGAGTTGAGGTCCACTTGTACAACGCTGAGCGAGGAGGCAGACTGCGGGATTTCCTTGCGTAGTGCTGCGATGGCATCCTCGCCCTTGGATATAGTCCGGGTCCCGATGATGATCTCGTAGGGAATTTCAGACTGGTACAAAGCCTTCGCAATTTCGAAGCCGAGACCAGTGTTACCTGATGTGAATTATAAATACATCTACTGAAGAATGGGATATGTTATCTTACCACCCGTAACTAGAACAACCTTCTTATCTGATGTCATAGTTAATAGTTGTGATTAGAGCTGGTTTGGTTAGGGATTTTCGTATGAGTTTTAGATATGGATGTCTTTAGATGTATTGATAAAGATCTATTGACTTTACTTGTGTGTAACCGACTATTGTCACTTTTATATTAAAATGCCATCTTGGATATACCACCTTAGGTTAGGTACCTAGGTAGGTATCCTGCTTGTATTCGCCAACTTTGGAACATGGATTCAGTACCGAATCGCACTCGTAAAACAACCTATTAGCGTTCGTTGACATAGGGTGCTCAATCAATGCTATACTTTATCTCCGAAGAGCGAATCGCGATTAAAATCAATTGTCACTGACTATACGTAAACAATTTGTCGCCTTCTCCAATAATATTCTAATAATAGCAGGCTCAGTATGTGTGAATGGTGTAGTGAATCATGTAGCTTGGCCCTCCATCTCCTCGCTGTTTCAGGCCAATACTAGTAAACTCCCATTAGTCTCTTGGAAAGAGTATCGATTTAAATCAACCGGTTAACAAGTAATTAATGCCTGTCCTATTACGTTACTCTTAGAAACGATTACTGATATTATTGTTGTTGTAGAGACCGGATTACAAGGTTACCTCCGGCAATACCGGTATTATCGGATATAGCGAAGCCTCCACAACATGACAACTTTACGGAAATACAACTTTACTTAACTAGCAGACCAAACTCGAATAAAGCCCGTTGGAGCATAAATCATTACTGTAGTTTGGACACCAGGAATAATAAAAACCAGTCTCATTCAACAGTTGTAAAGCCAATACTCTAACGACAGCATGCAATAATGCTCTCCTTTTGACCAATCAACCTAAGAACATTCAAGATAAAGAGCACCGTGCAGCGAAACTTAAGGCTAGGTAGAGAGTAGAGACCCTACACTTGGCAAAGGAACATTGTCTCCTATAGGTGGAATCTCGTAAAATTTAATAACTACCTCCTTGACTTCCTCCCCTATGGGCTTTACCGACCATCTCGAGTATCCGTATCCGACTGATTTGATGGTGCGTGAAACGGTCCTTTGTTCTCCTAACTCCAGAATGATTCCGAGAAATATTTTTGGGTATGTTGGCACAATTTTAACGCAGTGGAATGCAATCATAGCCCCGACCACGGTGGGTCGGTATGGCATAGGGCCCTGTGAATGGATGCGAATTAGAGGATGCGGAAAGGAAAATGCAAGTCGTAAGCGTCGTGAGAATCCATGACTGGTCTTCGTAGCAAGAAAAACAGAGCGAGACGGTGCAAAATGCTATATTGAGTGATCGACTAGAATAGGTCTAAACTTGGTGTTGTTGCAATTGTAGGTATTAACCAAATTACGTGGTAGCGCGCGAGTCCCGTACAGAGGTACTCCCAGGTGTCGGCGTCGTTGACGGCCCGGGGTGTGTGTGTGAATGGGTTTGTGAATGCGAAGTATGGATACGTCCACGCTTCGTGTGTGACAAGGTTCCAACATCATGTTTCCCTGCGCTCAAGTTAGTACATGCAACCTGGAAGGAACACTTCGTTAAACTTACCATCACAACAAGCTCTAACATTCTCGAGCCTGTCAGACGCTCGGTCCTGTTCCTCGATTATTTGCCTTAGATCCTCAGCGCTGTCAGGGACCTCGCTTGCTTCATATATAGCGCCCTCTTGAGGGATATGGGTTTTGCTTCTCAGGCTACTAAACGTGCTGTTTATCGAACTTGATTTCCAATACCCGCTCAATCTTCCTAGAGTACCGTTTCGAGAGGCTTCTCTCTCACGTGTGGGAGTAAGTGTCGGGATACTCATGGACACTTCAACCCGTGGTGAACCAGCACGCGTAGCCCCCGAATTGTATGAAGACAAGGATGGAGGGGGTCGCGGGCGGTTGCCGTTAGCTGGTCGTCGGTTAATGGAAGGATTGAATTCGTCAACATCTTCTTGTGTGATTTGGCCGGCTACGTCTTCGGCATCCGCCTGACTTTCGTCGCCTGTTCGAAGTAGGAGGTACGACAGTGCATTGAACCAAGTCTCATGTCGCTGACCAGTAGTGCATGTGAACTTTACCGTCCGGCCGGGAGAAACGATAATTAGACTCTTTCTGTGAAGCCCGGGCGGCATTGGGTTGTCATCACCAACTATGCGTACAGCCTCGATCGGAATACTCTTCGCCTTTAATTCGGTTCGGCCGCTGGCAGACGGGTCACGATCACTCCAGTATAATGTCCTAGTGTAGGGATGTACCCAGAAATATCGCCTATGTCTGTTCTCGGACATTTCTCCGCGACCAGTCTTGCGCGTGTACTTCCAAAGATACTCGCCGATCATGGTCTGTGTGATGGCTTGGATCATGCGAGGATCGGTACTTGGACCAAAAGCTGAAGGATCCATACCCATTTCACCACGGATATTGAATCTTGTATCGATCTCGGATGCAAAAGACGACACGGATGACTGCCTGCTGCGAAGGAGCATCCTTGGTACGGAGTGGACATCTGCATAACCTGAGGTTGAACTTCGGCCTGCTTTGGGTGTTGGTGTGCCTTTGACAATAGAGCTTGGGGACAATGGACGCCTGCTACTTGGTGTTTCCGGTCTCGAGCCTGAATTACTGTATGCGGATGCTGGGAGTGCTGGAGGTCCCATTGGCCCTTTGCTACCGCTGGATGAGTGTGTACGTGCGGCTTCGATTGCTTCTCGGTGATTAGGAGGTAAAGGCAACCTAGGCGAAGCGGAAGCTTGAGCACTAGCTGGTCTGTCTGTCTGTCGCGCGGCCACTGGGTCTGTGGCGGAAATAACGCTAGAATCACCAGCTCTCTGCCTGGCCTCTGCTTCATCGAAGGGTGTTACGATGACCTCGCCCCGAGATGTGGTAATTGTGAACGAATCGGGAGATATATAACCTTGCTGCTTCAGTAATTGATCTAGCCCGTCTGAAGTTAGAGTAGTCTGGCAACCTTGGTTGGAGGTATGGAATGCTGGCTTCTGCGAAGGGCGAACATCTGTGTTGGTAGATAACTCCTTAAACGGTCTCTTTGATTCTGGCGTCTCGGGAACAAGTGTAGCACTCGGAGACTGACGAGTATCGTCTTCTGCAATCTCTGGTGTCGAAGCTCTCTCACCTCTACGCCCAAGCAATCCGAGTCCAGTATCAGATGATGTATGTGCCGAGCGATCTTCATGGGGAATAATAAACGCGTCGCGTTTGGGGCTTCTGAGTTCGGATATTTCAACCGGTTCGGTTTCAGTCGAGTTGATTGTAGAGAAACCCAGGCTAGGAGGTGTGATTTGGAGAGAATTGCGTAAAGCTTCGAGTTCTGCGGCGTGATCGGCCAAAAGTCTCTCTTTTTCTGCAGCGTTGTCATTCTGGTACAACTCAAGGGAGCTTGCATGATCAGCATTGAGAGCCGCCAGTTCCCTAGTGAGTGCGGCGTCGGCATCGTTCTTCAACCGAGTTAACTCTAGGGAGTGGCTTGCACGAAGAGCTTCAAGAGCTTCGGCCTGGGCGACGTCATGTTGCTTCTTAAGTTGCTCAAGCTCATTGGAATGGTCGTTCTTAAGAGTTTCCAATGCATTGCCAAGAGTAGATTGATGCTCAGCATGTTGAGTCTCCAGTGCTTTGATATGTGCAGCTTTGAGATCTTCTAATTCTTGCACGCGTGTTGCTTCATTCTCGTGTTTAAGTGACTCCAACTCAGATGCATGAGTTGCCGCTAAAACTGCTAATGCTTTGGATTTCTCACTGTCGCTTTCGTTTCGAATATGCTCCAACTCGCGAGCATGGCTTTCTGTCAACTCTTGCAACTTCTGGGATTGCGTATCGCCATGAACCTCCTTGAGTTTTTCTATCTCACCCGCGTGAGTTGCCGCTAAGGCTGACAATGCTTCGGACTTCGCATGATCACTGGTCTGACGAAGATTTTCCAATTCATGCAAATGAGCGTTTGTCAATTCTTGCAGCTTCCGTGCCTCAGTTGCATCACGCTCAGTCTTGAGATTTTCTAACATTTGAGAGTGCACATCGGTCAGCTCCTGTAGTTTTTGGGACTCCGCTGTTCCGTGCTCGATCTTGAGTATGTCCAGGGCCTTTGCGTGACTGTTACTTAGCGCGGCTATTTCAGAAGCCTTAGATGATTTAAGGTTTTGACGAAGCTCGACAAGTTCCTCTGAATGTGCGCTAGCTAGTTCTTCTTCGAGCTTGGCCTTAGAGGACTCGTGCTGAGAATTCAACACTGCCAATTGATCGAGGTGACTCTGGCGAAGGTTCTCCAACTGCTGCGAATGAGTAGCGGCGAGATCTTCAAGAGCTTTGGTCTTAGAAGACTCGAGTTCTTGCCTCAACACATCCAACTCCTTCAGATGACCCGAAGTAACATCTTCCAGTTCCTTTGACCTTGCAGTTGCATTTTCACTCATCAGAGTCTCGATATTCCTTTCGTGAGAGGCCTTTAGGGATTCCAAGGCTTGTGACTGAGACTTTTCGATATCGCGTCTTTGAGCTTCAAGGACCTCCGCATGGGCAGCATTGAGGGCTTCGATCTGTTGAGAGTGCGCCGCATTGCCTTCGGTCTTGGATGACTCGACTTGCTTGTCGATAGCTGCCTTGAAAGTTTCTAGCTCCTTAGTACGAGTAGCAGCATGCTGACTGTTTAGATTGTCGATCTCCTCTGCATGAACTTCCTTTAGAGCCGTGAGTTCCTTCACCAATGTAGCTTGACTCTCAGCCCTAATTGAATCAATTTGTTTCTCATGAGATGCCACAAGCGTGGCAATTTCTGCACCGCGCTGGGCGTCAGCAGCATTCTTAAGGTCTTCAACGTGCTTCGTATGCGCTGCCTCGACGAGATCCAATTCTTTGCCATGCGCCACTACTAATGCGTTCTTTACTTCCTCTAGTTGTGCCAAATGGCCTGCCTTCAATGATGCAAGCTCTTCCGCATGGGCTGCATCGGATTGCTGTTTCGCTTTCTCAAGTTCCTCGGCGTATTCGGTTTGGAGGGTTTGTACTTGTTTTGAATGCGCGTCGAATAGTTCATTCTTCAGCTGGTTGATCTGGCTTGAATGTGCTGCAACCAAAGTAGCGATTTCTGCTGCATGACGGTTGTCATTCTCGAGCTTCATATTCTTCAACTCATCAGCATGCTTAGCTTTCAGGCTGTCCAATTCAGTAGCATGTGTAGCCATAATCTCGGCCTCTCTTGCCATCATCTGCTCCAAATGAGAAGATTTGAGAGCTTCTAATTCAGCATCATGAGCTGCCTTGCTAGCCAGGTCTTTCTGGGATGCCTCGCTGGCGAAAGAAGCCTTCAAGGCATCAATTTCTTGAGCATGGGTAGTTTGGCCTTCGGCTGCTTCCTTAGCGGCTTGGTCGGTATAGCTTGATCGAAGCTCATCGAGTTGCTGTGTGTGAGATGTACGGAGGTCGGCAAGAGCTCTGTCAACCTCCTCGGCATGGCTAGACTTGAGCATCTCCAATTCGCGAGAATGGGTATTTTGAGTGTGAGAGACGGCTTTACTTATCTCTTCAACATGACTGGACTTGAGAGCTTCCAGCTCTCGAGTGTGAGCCGCATGCGTCTCAGCAATAGCTTCGTTAATCTCCTTGGCATGATTAGACTTTAGCACATCAAGCTCTTTAGCGTAGGTACTCTGGGCATTAGCAAGAGTCTTCGCCAGCTCATCCGCATGACTTGATCTTAAAGCCTCGAGTTCCTGTCCATGTACAGATTTAACTTCTATGATTGACTTGTTGATCTCATCCACATGACTTGATTTCAAAGTTTCAAGCTCATGTGTATGAGCGAGGCTGGCGTCATGCTGCATCTTGCTCAGTTGTTCTTCATGTTTGCTCTTCAGCTCATCCAAAGCTGTTGCGTACGCAAATGCCTTTTCGTCGCTAATTTCCTTGAGAGCCTTTTCATGTTCGGCTTGAAGAACCGCCAGATCGGCGGCATGAGTATGTGTGTCCGGCATCTCATCTGTCATTGTACTACAATCAATCATAATAGCCCTCGGCAGAGAAGGAACCGGTGGTGGAGGTGATACGGTCCGGCCCCTAATGGACCTCCTGCTAGGAGTTGCAGATAGATACGATTCGTTGTCACTGCCATCGAACTCGCCCAGTTCAGCAGCCAGATTTTTGATAGGTTGGTGAGGAGTGCCTGCTACACTGCTGCTCGCAATACTTGGGGGGCTGCTGGGGAAAGCGGGCTCCTCACTAGGCTGTCTCGAACGACGGTAAGCACCGCGACTAACTCGGAGAGGGAATTTAGCCTGTAAGGGCGGTAAGGTGACAGGCGCTCCCGCGTCGTAGCCAAAGGGAAAATCTTCATCTTCGGTCGAGGCTGTACTATGCATAGATCCGCTCCGTGGACGACCCTGGAAGGCAGATATGCTATTTCTAGGCGTACGGCGCCTCGAGGGGCTTTCGGTTTCAGTCTCGGCATCATCATCGCTCGAAAATTCTTCAGCACCTGTGTGGAAGTCGTCCGTCTCAGTCGCCGGCTCGTGCGCGGTTTCGAACGCAGCGTCGCTCGTCTCGTTGGCTGTTTCAAACTGCTCGTATGGTTCTTCCGCTACAGATTCAAACTTACTGGATCGCGAAGCTAATGTCGAATGACCTGGGCTTGTAGAATCGGGCTGGTCCTCCCAATTCGAGTCTTCAGAGAAAACTTCGCTTCGAACAGTACGCAGGCCTCCCAGTAGTCCCCGCAACGGCTTTCTTTGTTCTTTCACCTCGGCTTTGCGTGTGCGTTTAGGTGGCGGCGGGGGCTCGTTTCGTAATTTCTCTAGTTCGTCGCGAGCTTCTTGTAGCATGCGCCTAAGTTCAAGCTTTTCGGTCTTCTCCCTGTGCACATTGCTCCTTAGTCCTTGAATTGTGCGATGAGCATGGCCTAAAGATGTCTTGAGCGTTTCTGATTCTAACAAAGAGTGCCGCGGTGTTCCTTTCACAGGCGAAGGAGGAGGCGAGTGTTCCGGCGTCGTCTTGTCGTGCGCAGATTCGGAATCTTCTTGGTTCATACCAAGGATTGATTCGCGCTCGATCACTCTCGCTCTCTGCGAAGCAGACACTGCTTTGGCGAGCTCTTGATTCTGTCCGGTCAATTCATCTATCCTCTTCCGCAGAGCCGCTCGTTCGGTGTCGGCAATGACTATATTACGTTTCGCAGAACCAAGTTCTATATCGTGATGCTTGACTACCGCAGCATACTCCTCGCTCAGTTTCGAGTGATTCAGTTTGACCTCGTCCAATTCCTTTTGGGTGGAATTCTTCTCGGCTTGAAGAGCAGTCAGAGTCTGTTGCAACTTTTTGTACCGATCCTCGGCCTCTCTCTCTTTGGCAAGGAGGTCATGGACCTGAGTCTCGAGACTCCAGTTCTCATCCTTGTAGCGATGCTCGCTCTCATCCAGCGTCTTAACTCGCTGTTGGAAACCCTCTGCTTCATATTCGAGCTTAGACTTCTCAACTCTGATCTCCTTCAACTCTTCTTCCTTCTCGGCAAGCAGGCCTTGCAAATTGCGCACCTGAGCAATTAGAGATGTGCTAATTTCCGCCGCAAACTCGATATCGTGGATTCGATTGGCAGGTTGATTTCGGACTTTTCGGTTGGGAACACTGAATTTGGTTGGGGATGCAGTTGCCTGGTCTTCGAACTTGGAAGGGCTCACAGAACGCTGCATGAACAATTAGTTGATTGATACTTGCTAAGTTTCATATTAGAAATTCTTACTCTGCCTCCTTTGCTTTCCGGCGCGAATGGCGATCCAGCAGAAGCTTCATTACTAGGGATTCTCTGCTTTGGTAGAAATGCACGTGCGCTTTCCCTGGCGACATCATTATAATCCTTTTCAATCTCGGCTAGTCTTTGTCGCAGATCATCGGAGAGTTCCCCTTCAGCCTTCTGCTTCTCAACTTCCATTAATCTTTGACTCAGCTCCTTACGCTGTTGTAACAAAGCTGTGCCGAGTTTCCCAGCTTCTTCCATTCTTCGATCCGTCTCGGCCAAATGAGCCTCTAATGCACGCTTCGCCTGCGTCGGCGACGCATTGGGACTTAGCGAAAAAAGTTGAGAGTCGAAAGTGGACAATCGGTGACGACTCGCACTTGGAGGTGATGCCGGTACTACGAAAGGATCATGTCGGGAATCAATGGCAGGCGAAGGCGATGAAGCCCCGCCTCTATTACCAAATGAAGCCATCACGCTGCCGATTGCAGGTGTCCAAGGAGAAGGCGATTTCCCCTTGGATTAAAATTGCGGCATGCAGCCTGATAAAGACGCGAAGGCCGCACGTGAATCACGAAAATATGGTGAATAGAGAGGATGTTCTTGACGTGGCGGGAGCTAACGAATACTGCCCCTGGGCCAAGAGCCAAAGAGATGCAGCCTAGTGAATCGAAAGTGATTGAGTGGTAAACCGAAGGCCCAGCGAGTGAAGTACACGTCCAATTAAGATTCGAACAGTGTGGCGTGGATTTTGACAGCGCCCAACTTTTGACGTGAGATGACTTGGATGATCCTGATGACGGCGAAAAATATGGCAAACAGAACAGCTAATGGCCAAAAATTTTTCTATTGATTTGCTGTCAATCGAAATTGAATGCCTCGGATGACGTTCCTCGATCAAAGTCTCAGGTCAATTCGAATGCGCTGGAATTTTTAGTAACAGGGGTATTGCAAATGTTACTGGTAGAATTTATAAACTCAAGGACGCGGTGTCTGTCCGAGTTTGAAGTTTTGACAGGTCGATTCCACCAATCCAATGTTATGAGGTACGAAGTACAGTGCGCGGGTCGAAAACATGCAGGTGCAATTGCGATTGTACAACGCGAAGGGCGAAGGCACAACCTAAACAAATCGTTGCACAGGAAATAACGCGACGCAGGTGCCCGCCCAGGAAGAAAAATTAGCACGTCCTAAGGTTTTTAAGACAGGTACCTTAAAGTACGTTTGATTATTCAAATTTGTGCTGGCCTGTCCTTAACCCGTCTAGGATAATCGAAATGATAGGTATTTGTCGACTGCAGGTAATTGTCGGGGAAAATAAAGCAGGAGAAAATCGGTCGTCTTGTTAAACAGTCGGGATTAAAGGTAACGTAAGGTAACGATGGTAACGATGGTAGGTATTAACAATTGATTAAACAGAACAAGGTCCCTACGAGAAGGAAAAAAAGAAACAAAAAGGCGTCGCGGATAATTTAGTTTTGGTTTAAAAAAAAAAATAGAAAAAATTCAGGTGATACAATTAGAAGAGTGTACAGCAGATGAGCGAATGACGAGATAAGTGACTAAATGAGTGTGTAGGTTTGTTAGGTAGAATGCAGGTACGGCGCGAGCATGCGGTTGACCGTTGACCGGTGCCGTGTAAGACGACGCGTCCTGCTCAAGAAGAAACAATGAGCTCCAAAACGGGATCCGGAGGCTGAGAATTTGGAGACTTGGAAAATCCGTCTAAGAAACGGTCGGATTCCTAAATTGGCTAAAGGTTGTCTCACAAATAATAAGAACGGACCCGGACGGAAAGAAGGGAGGCCGGGAGAAACAACAGAGGGAAGGGAGAGAAAGGGGGGGGACAAGAGTCAACAAAGATGCCGATGTTGAAGATAGGAAGAACGGAAAATCTGTATTAAACAATTGAATGCAGCTGGAGGTGGCCTGTGGATTTGCGGCGACTGGAAGTGTGGATGAGCTACGGTAGGGATCAATGCAATATCCCGTAGACAGTGTGAAAATATTAAGTATTAGCTTCTAACACGTGGCGGGCCGCAAGTGCTTAAAGTGCGCCTATTACTGTATATACGGTTGAAATGTCCAATAATAGGTACCTCATATACGGAATATAGGTACCTAAATACTTCAGGTACCGATGCAGTAGGTACAAGTAATCTCCATCGCCAACTCAAATTTTATAGGTACCTAATAATACCTAGGTACCTAGGTATGAGCTACTCTCCCCACATCTACACCTAACAATATTAAACTTAGAAGATACCTAGGAGGTAGGTACCTAACGTGCCTATATATTTCAACTTCTCTGGCCGTAAAAGATCAATCTGTGTTCTCCCAGATTATCAACATATCAACCTAAAATCCGGTAAAGCTTAATCTCAAAACACGTCATACAACTTGCCGGCAGCCTATCTGCTGGATCGAAGCAGGAAATCATTGGATCACAGGAAATTATTGTGTTACGCGTGTTACGCATAAAGCATTGAGGAGAAACCAATCTTAGAGCTCCCCACTGCTTGAGGGGTTCCCTGCTAATTTTAACTCCCGCTAGTCGAAACAATGCAAGGCTGAGACCTGAAGAGACAATTACTGGGTACATTATGGTCGCACTGTAGGAAGGTTTCGACCAATCAAGCTAGCTCAGGTAATAATATGCTGTACTATGTACACTACCTGGAACATTCATACGCTAAATCTTGGCGATTGATGTTGATAGCCCGTACGATAAGGCTCAGTGTTTCTAGAAGCTTTTGATTAGAAAAACATTACAAGTTAGGTGCATGACGCAAAACTTAACCATTTCCTCAATATCAACCAAACCGACATCCAACCTCGTCGCTACATTATAAAATCTTTCGATATAAATTCCCGAAATAATAATACATAATGGCCGATGATAGTACGTCGAGTATTCAAGCAGCGACAGACACTCCTATCGCTCCAGTTGCCATCTTTAAAAAACGAGGCGCAAAGGGGAAAGCCAATATCCGAAAACGCCCAGCGACACCGCCGCCTGCCGATAGCGACAGTGACGATTACACATCATCTGAAGATGAATCAGGACAACGGGTCAAACGAAGGAAGAAGAATACCGCAGTAGTGACAGCTTCATCCAAAGATAACGTATCACGAACCGACCGAAATCACGGCGCCACCGTCTTCGAAGCCGACCGCAGTGTACCTATCACAAGCACAAACGATGCTACAAAACAAACGAATTGGTTTGATGAAGACGCAAATCTGCTAGGAAAGACGCGACCTCTCCCTAAATCCAAAGATGCAGCAGCAGATCCTTCTATACAACCGGATGGTACCTACAAAGGCCTCGCCAACCAAACCAAATTCATACAGAAGAATCCGAATGCGCCCAATCGGACGGTTGGGCCTATTAAGGCTGCCACCAATATCAGGACCATCACAGTTACCGACTTCGCGCCCGATGTATGCAAAGACTACAAGCAGACAGGCTTCTGTGGTTTTGGAGATAACTGCAAGTTCCTGCATGCTCGTGAGGACTACAAACAAGGCTGGCAGCTAGATAAAGAGTGGGAAAACGTAAATAAGGGGAAGAAGAACCCGGGTGGAAAAGTAATGGCCAGCGCCAATCGCGGCGCAAATGCCGACGAAGGTGACGTTGACGCAGCCGAAGAAGCTTTACTGGAGAAGATACCGTTCGCCTGTATCATCTGCAAGGGGCCGTATAAAGAGCCTATTGTGACTAGATGTCAACACTACTTCTGCTTGCCGTGCGCATTACAGAGGTATAGAAAAGATCCGAGCTGTGCTGCCTGCGGCGCGGGTACGGGAGGTGTTTTCAATACTGCGAAGACGCTAGCCAAATTATTAGAGAAGAAAAAGGAACGACAAACGAAAAAGCGACAGAAAGCTATTGAAGCAGGAGAAGACGTATCCGACGAGGAAGAGGTGCCGGGGAAGTAATTAGTTACCTGTTATGGTTCCATAACGAGATCAGTACAAGATACCCTTGAAGCTACTCAAAGCTAAGATATTGGCAAGCTAAAGCTATAGCACCCAAATAGTCAAAAGATCCAGCCTGAGGCTGCTTTCGGTAATATATATTACCTTGAATGTTTGAGTGGCTGAGAACATTGACGTTTGGCTTGGATGCTATATAGATGGGCAAATATCACCCATCCCTTACTTCGTAGCTCGTCACTATATGTTAGACATTGATATTTGAGTAATCACTCAAAGGGGCACGTAGGGAATATATATCATTTAAACAAGTCGTATGGAAATCTAGAATTTACCTAAATACTTTTAGGGAGACGTTGTGTTATCTTGGATATCACTTCCCATAGCCTTCTATTTTGCCTCTTGCCTACGATATTCCTTGCTTGTCAGAATTGATGATATTAAGTTAAAGTCTACGTCAAGTATTCGAAAACCTAGTTTGCTAGTCAGGATATAGGGCGTAGCACGCTTTGAACGTGCGTTTAATAATCATGACACTCAAATTTCATACTACACCCGTCTCTAATAATCCGACCATATCAAAGTAGGAGATTCGTACAAGGTCAACCTACTATACGAGACATATTAGTTAAGTATCTCCTAGAGAATAAGAGTAAAACACGTTATGATCTTTAATCAATTTTCATGATCTTCAGAGCATTTTTGCGTCAGAGCCAAAATGATCAAGCAAGCAGCGAGAAAATAACTTTATTATCGCTTAGAGAGCTATAAGCTTTCTATGGACCGATTACTCTAAGCTCTCAAGTAATACCGAGGTAGACCTTACAGCAAGGTTTACTTTCAAGTAGTTATTTTTTCCGTATCGAGAGTTGCAATAGCAAAAGCAGCTAACAAGCACGCGTAATAGTACCATCGTTACAATTTTGTATCGACCATAAGAAGAAGTTAAAGTATTACCTACCGAGGTACTATGGGTAACCTAGTATCTGGGAGGTAGATATTGCGTTATCACCCAATTATTACATCACGACTGAGAATGTAGAAATTGAGGTTACTGAAAATGATAGGCAGGTTGAGTACCAACCATGGTATACTTATACTAAAGCATATAGCACAGTGGAATGTATATTCAGAGTGCGTCTATCTCATTCTGTTGCTGGATGCACTTGTATACCTATAGTGATTAGAGTAGAGATAATGTTGTTAGAAGTGATTGAACCGTATAAGTATTGGTTCTTGATATTGGCGGGTGAAGGGCAACCTGTTTAGACGAAGAAGGTAACCCTCCCCTATCTTTGAGTAGTCATAGATTACAATTACACTTATATACTAGAAGCTGAGCTCTTTTCATCTCTACCTAATAACATGACCTCCTTAGCACTTGACAAACATATTATAAGAATCCAACCATCTACGAATTTCAAAAACTATATTAAGTAGAATCACTGTGTTAACTAGATGATATCTCAATATACGTACTAGGTAATATAACTAACTTGAACTCGCAACCTCAAGGAACACTATTGAATACACTTAGCGCCTCCTCGTATAACTAATCGCATCTATCAGAGTCGATATAATTGCTACTAAGGTCAGAAGTCCTCCGGTAACGGCGTTTCGAAGATACATGTTTGCGGGAAAATGCTAAAATGCCATCGGGATTTAAAGATGCACTCCGATTCCGTTACAAAGATCACAAGATCCGATCGCCGTCGTAAACTACGGAAAGTAGCTTCTGTGTTAATATCCACGTTTAAACACATGACATGATCTAATGCTTTGTCAGTTGTTTAATAAAATGTTTTATTTAATATAGTTATATTATGTAACGTATTAACCGGTAGCTAACTAGTTGTAGTAGCTCTTTAAGTTTTGTAATTACGTAATCTCTAGACCTCTACGATTAGGTACAATTAATAGTCTTTCGACTTCGAGTTGAATGGTAAAGTTATAGCTAAGACTTTAAATGTTAACTTAACTACTTACTTAGCCTTTAATATTAACTAGCTTAACATAGTACCTTAAGTTCATCATAAGACATTCGTGTTGGTTAATAGATCTCATCATTTTACGTGTATACTGACTACCCCTATATACAATGAAAAGTATCTATTCTACATGAATGGAATAAGACATGAGACAATACTAGAGAGGGTGTATGAAACCAGGGTTTAGATCAAGTTCTTTATGGTTGCTGCACATGAAGGCAGTATACATATTGATAATGCTTCACTCAGTGGTTGGAATGGTGTTGTTTGTCATAACGCGAACTTCGGCTTATATAGCGAAAATCGGCCGTGACGCGAATCTCGCTTAGTGGACCTGCAACATGGCGTAGGCGGCGACAGCGAAAGAATAGAACATTGCCGGGCGGCCGAGGGAGTGGCTGTGCGTTGTACATATGAAATGCGAGGTTCGGGTTGTCACGACTAAATCGCTGCTCTGCTATTGGTGATGTATGGGGAAATTGACCGGATTTGGGTTGGACGAAGCGCAACACGCCTCTGTATTATAAGAATAAGTAGTGAGCCGTATAACTAACTTATTACCCCTTTTATTTGCCAACTCTATCTCATATCTGTTTTATCCAACTACGCAAGTAATATTCAACACTCTATACCCTTCATTTCTGTCCCTGAAATCTACCTAACCCAATCAGAAACCTTCCAAAATGTCAGCCGTAATCAATAACCAGTTCGATGATGCCGAGGGGGCGTCGACACCTCTATGCAATATTATTACCCCAGTAGGCATGCTCGGCTATGGCCTCAACGAGGAGGAGAACGCAGTCGCCTTAAGACATCTTCTCGCGACGGGTATTCCGACCGCTCTAATCTTAGACTCCGGCTCGACCGATAGTGGTCCAGACAGGCTTGCTCAGAAAGTAATGGGTTGTCCCCGAACAGCTTACCTCCGGGACCTTAGGAAGCTGCTTAAGTTAGTCAATGAGTTCCGGGTTCCGCTGATTTTCAGCTCGGCCGGAGGAGACGGGATCGACGAACACGTTCGAGAGATTGTAAAGGTTATCGAAGAAATTGCTGCCGAGAAGGGAAATGAGGATTATTCCTTGAAGACCGTCGCCATATTTTCCGATATCGAGAAGGAGACGGTCCGGGAACGCCTCAAGGCAGGAGGTGTGCGTGGATGCGGCCCATGTGTTCCGGATTTAACCGAAGAGGATATCGATGAATCGTCAGTGGTTGTTGCACAGATGGGACCCGAGCCGTTTATCGATGCGATGAAGGCAAATCCAGACTTTAACGTTATAGTCGGCGGTCGTGCCTACGACCCAGCCCCGTACGTCGCCTATTGCGCTTATTTGGCCGGATTAGATACGAACGACGTGAATTCGGCCGCGGTCCAACGCCAAATGGGTGGATTTACGCACATGGGCAAGATTCTAGAGTGCGGAGGGACATGTGCTGTGCCAAAATCACACGGTGCTATTGCAACAGTATATAAGGACGGAGGGTTTACCATCTCGCCTTTATCGCCGGCGGCCCATTGTACTCCGGTGTCAGTGGCTGCGCACACAATGTACGAGAAATCGCGCCCTGACATTTTGCATGGTCCGGGTGGATATTTTGATCTCAACTCTGCAACTTACGAACAGCTGCCCGATCAGAGGACGATCAAAGTCCGCGGCAGCAAGTTCCATTTCTCGAAAGAGAGCGGTCCGTATCAAGTAAAATTAGAGGCTGCTAGTATTATTGGATACCGATCGCTGTTCTTTGGTAGCTTCCGAGACCGTAAGTTCACTGAATAAGTCTCATTTGCCATCATTTGCTAACATTAAAGTAGCAATTCTAATTAGCCAACTCGATGCATTACTCAAGCTTGTCAAGCGATATGCTGCTGAACAGCATAGCCATGTGACTGAGAAATGGGACTTTGATTTCCATATCTATGGGAAGCCAGAGGAAGGTGTAGAGAATGCAACTCCTGAGGTATTCCTCATTGGTGAGGCACTGGCTCCTACGCAGGAATTAGCAACCAGCATCGCAGCCACAGCTAGAATAGGTGTTATTGTAAGTTGAATTGCTATCTGCATCTCAGGCGATCATTCGTTAACTTCTTCCAGCATGGAAGTTATCCAGGACAGAAAGCCACTTCGGGAAACTTTGCTTTCGGTATCGGTGGCAAGTCTGTTATCGAGTTGGGTCCATGCTCACGATTTACCATGTACCATCTCATGGACCTTGAAGAAGGCGAGGAGGGTTTATTACTGGGAGACAGCATCTCAACTCCTGCTACCAATGGTGTAAACGGTAACGGAACCCATAAGCAACGAAAGCCTCTGTTTACCCAATCTGCCTCTCTAATCGGCAATGGAGAGAGACCATCAGCAAAAGCTCCTATATCGACTACTAACGGCTCTGCAAATGGAGTCAAGTCAAGCAGCGAGGAGGGCTTCGCGACGGCTGAACTTATCAATGGCTTAAAATCAAAAGCATATACCAAGCCTACCAAACTTGGAGACTTAGCCCAAGTTGTAAGGTCCAAGAACTCAGGTCCGTATGAGATCACATTCGACCTCATCTTCGAGTCCCGAGAAACTTATCTTAAAGTTAAGGACTCCGGCCTCCTATCTGTTAAAACGGTAGCTTCCGTCTTTAAGCTACCAGAGAGCGACATATTATGGTGTGGATTCTTCGACCCGGCCCAGGCGTTTAAAGCCACAATCCCCCGTATTCGAGCTGGCAAGCGTATGCCGGGTGGAGGATTCATGGAGAATGATGTTCACGGATCTCAGCAACATCTTCCGCTTGTAAACTTGAAGTTGCCAGAAGAACTGCTTGCTTCCCTTTCCAAGGCTTAGTAGTATAAAGGAGGTACTGATACTACTGTATTATATATTTTGTATTTATGTGTAGGTAGTTTATGATCATTATGTTCAAGTTATTATTATCTAAATATTTATGTGATGTGATGCCTTTATATGCAATTACTACCCCGCTGTAACCCACCGCTATAACCCATGTCCTGAATGGAACTGTGATGTGTCAGTAGGAAGATTGAAAATATCCCACGAAGGATCCCCCCAAAACATGTTAGCGAAGGCGAGATCAGACGACCAGGGTTCCTCCACCTGAGGGTTAGTAGCGAAGACGTCTGCTTGTGGGATGTTGTTCTCGCTGGGTAGAGCTTCCGTAGTAACTGCGATCTCAGGTACCGAAGGATTTAGAGGAAAGCCGCGTAGCTCACGGGCTGTATCGATTGCGTCTAGTACTATTGATACCCCCATTCGATCTGGAAGATTGGGCCTGCTAGTATCGGCAGAAACGGGTGCTTGCTTGCAGAGGGTTTCGAATAGACTAGCAGCCCTATCATATTCATCTCGATGACGTGTAGCTAGTGTTTTGAATATCGTGTGAGCCATAATGACATGGTTTGCTGCTAACTGTTGTTCTTCGGCGTTGGCATTATTATTGAGACTAAAGTATCGGAGGAGAAATATAGTCGCAAAAGCGAGACCCCTATAATAATCTTTGGGTAGCGTCTTTTCGCGTTGCGCTGCTGTCAACGTTTGATTCTTATCTAGCCTCTCATGGAACCGCGAGTTCGCTAGGTGAATGATTCGAAGAGCGGTGGCTAGCCCTAATTTGAGTAATATTTCCTTCGCACCGGTACCTGATCGGGCTCGGGTTATCACCAGAGTGTAAACGTGCATTTTCACGACCAGGACACCAAGGTCAGTCATGCTTGTCCATCCATCAGGAAAAGTTATTTTTAGTGTATCTAGCTCGCCGTCAAGAAGCTGAATGACCGAAGAATCGACTACGCCGTCGTTCGCATTATGTACAAGGACATTGGTAAACCCCGCCAAAGTGAGCAGTACTCTAACCTGAATAGCGAACTCGCGAGGAAGCGTGTTTTCACTAAGAGTTGCACGGATAGCGGCAAGGTCGGAAGGAGTATTGATCATTGGGGGAAGTCCGAGATGCATACTAAGACTGAAAGATAATTAGCTAGCTGATATATCTTATACAAGATCGAATGACTTACGATGTGCTAACATAGAAGCAACCCAACCATGTGTTTGTTCTTTCGCGGGCACTTCCACCTACGGGACCAACGCTATGGAGAGAAGGAATAACCCCTGATCTTGGGCTCGATCTATGAAGACTCATATAAAGGGCAGCATTCACTGCGATCCCACAGTATAGCCAGCTGGGATCATCCCTTTGGTGAGGTACTGGCAACGGCCACATGCAAAGAATCAAAAGCGCCTGGATCTTGCTTAGCGGCATTGGAGCCCTTAGAATCTCCTCCCTGAGCATTCTCATGTACGGCTCATGGAGTCGATCGAATAAGGTCTCATCCGAGGTTGTGGGTAAACGTAGTGAGACGACAACAATTATCGTCCAAAATAAGAACGGATGAGAATGATGAATGGTTTTAAGCGATACCGGTCCCAGTATTGGGAGATTTGGGAGGAAGTAGGCAGTAAAACTTGCAAGATCTGTTAATTTAGATTGTCTTATTTGATAATAAAAATAGGTACTTACTGCTTGAATGCCGTGATAACTGTTTGGTTATCAATTATAACACCACCAAGATCGAAAGATTCTAAGCCCATAAGTTCGAAGTCATCCATCATAATAGTGACAGACGGCTGCGATGCATTGATGGATGAATCTTGCGATCGTGTAGTATCCGGATCTGGACTCGTAGTAGAACCAGCGCGTGCTTCTGATATTCTCTGGTCTCGAAGCTCTCGTAGCTCTTTTGACATGGCCTCAAGCCGTCTGTTCGCCTTCATTAGTAGCTATACGAGGAAAATCCCTACGCAGATATTTCGGCGCCAAAGAGTCTGAAAACATACTTTCTAGCTGGCGTTCTCCGAAAAGACGGATCAACCGTACAAGTGAGGTTTCTTGCGTGACATCTTGTACAAGGATTCGGGAACCTATCCTTAGAGTCACATCGAAGCTGTCTCAACGTTAGTTGAGTCTATCCTAATATGCGAGGATGGGTTTACGCACCTTTGATTGCTTGCATTCTGTGCACGTCTTGACGGGACGCACGCCTGGCCAACTTGGTGCGCTCGACGCCATTGGGATCGGCATTTGATCTCGCTTGATACCTTTTTTTTGTGACTAAATTCGCTCTTGTAAAAGCCTAAATTCGCATCTATATGCTAGATTATATGCTAGATAAAGTAGGTACCCATGCAGAAGCAAGTAATCATCTAGAGCTGACCGACGGTAGTTGAGCGATTGGAGATTGATAGGGGGGAATATTAATAAGATATGAAAAAAGAAGATGTCGACTATCTTGCCAAGCGTGATTCACATCGAATTTGATTCGCTACATACTATCCCTAAACCCATCCTGCCAAACGGCACAGGCTTTTAGCGTACGTATTTAATTCGGGTTGGTAGTAGATATACACTACCTTAGGTAGGTAGAGTAACATAGTGAAGGGGGGGGGGAATAGAATGCCCCTGTGCGTTTCCAGAAGTTCTGAATAGTCTTTGACAACCGTGGGGTTCAAGAGTATAGGTCAACAATACGACGAGTTGAGGCGGAGCATTCTTAGATTCAGGGGACTAGGGGGACATTGCATAAAGTCCCATAAAGTCCCATAGTTCCATAATCATGACTTTATGTGGCACGGAAAATCCCGAAAACCCCGGTTCAAAGAATCCGTATAAAATCAGCCCTACAAGCCATATTTAATGACGCGTCGCCGGGACTTCTCAAAACACTGCCCCCCTAAGTGTTCCCACAGCAAGCTGCCGAGGCTTTACTACATGGAGATACTACATGGACATCTGCTAGCAGCATCTGAAATTAGATCATCCTCGTCTTGTTCTCGTCTTAGTCTCGTCCCATCGACTTCCTTCGCTCCTCTCACTGGCTTGGATCTCATTGAACAGCTGCAAGGGTTCCAGTATGCTCTGTGCCATATGCGTCAACTTTGATGTGAGAGAACTATTGGTGAAAGCTACTGCTCAACTACCAAAAGGCTTTAATGATCCCACTGCGCCGGAAACATTCGAATGTCTCCGGCCGGCAATCCCTCACTTTTTCGAACATCATCCCAACTTGCTTTCGTTACAGTCCTCGATCGATGAATGTGATCTCTGCGCTTGCATATGGCAGTCGTATGCTAGTAAAGCCCACCCTAACGAACTTGTTCATGATGAGTTACTTAAAGGCATGAATACGCGGCAGATATTTATAGGGACGACCGCCTGGGACGCTACTCTTAACGGGTTACCTCATGTTGCTATCATTCAAAACGGAGAAAGGGGAGCTGTACGCACTCTGGCCTCATTTGAGGTATGCGCCCTAAGAGGTAAGTCACGATTTGTTCTAATGGTACAGTAATGAGTAAACAAAGTTGTAGGTCACGAGCCATTAGACCACCAAGATCTTCTTGCTAGGTCCATATATAGAAATTCGGGTTCGCAAAAGTGTTTACAACTTGCAGCTAGATTTCTAGGCGACTGTGTTAATAAACATAAGTCCTGTTCTTCTCAATATCCGACTTCTTCTAAACTTCCGACGAGAATTATCGATACGGAGGGAGTGAATCCTAAGCTTGTTGATGGTGATGGTCAATGTGGAATATTTGCGGCACTGTCATATTGTTGGGGCGGTGATTCTACTTTCATACTTACAGCAGCAACTGAGCAATTATTTCGCGAGGGTCGGCCAATTGGCGAGTTTCCTCCTACTATCCGTGATGCCATAAACATCACCAAAACTCTCGGTATCCGTTACATCTGGATCGATGCGTTATGCATTATTCAGGACTCGGATGAGGATTGGGCCCAGGAGGCTAGTCGGATGCGCGAAGTTTACAGAGGAGCAGTTGTCACGATAGCGGCAGCATGTGCTTCCAAAACTAGCGAAGGGATCTTTCAAGAAAGAGTAGTGTCGAATCTCCCTAGGTGTTGGCTTGACTGGAGGAACGGAGATAAAAATCCATCTAAAGTATTCCTACGCATAGGGTCTGAACTATGGGATGAAAGAATGCACCAAAGCATTCTGAACACTAGAGGTTGGGTTTTGCAGGAAACCCTCTTGGCGCCACGAACATTGTGGTTCGGTCAACAGCAGTTGTGTTTTGAGTGTCCGAAAGGGAGTGTGGATGAAGCAGGGCGGACTATTAGGATAATGGAGGTATATCGCAGTAAAGAATTTATTCAGTCACTCCGTCAGGAGATAATTCCTAGTTGGAGGAGACATTTGATCGCTCTTCTTCGAGAGATGCATATTCCCCCGGCTGCCACAGTTCCATGGATATCACTAACAAATCTCCTCCGAGCACGAGATCTAGAAACTATACGTCATAGAGTTATTGTCCGGAAACCATTCACATTGCAGGGATACTTTAAGCCGCCTGTGGGTAGCTTTGGAATGTCGCATTTTAATTTTTGGCTCACGATCATCGAGAACTATTCATCTAGGCAACTCACCAAGCCAACTGACACTCTTCCAGCATTATCGGGGCTCGCAAGGGAGTTTCACCAAGCTACGGGTGACACGTATGTCGCCGGACTTTGGAAAATGGATATAATACAAGGCCTCACCTGGGTAAGCAAGTTATAAAACTAAAAACTACCCCCTCGTTCAACAGATTCGTCAATGTATGACACTACCTTCGAATGTCTGAGATACACTACCCCTGGTTTAGACGTGCAGGAATTAGTCTGAGACTAACATTGGAACGTAATAGACAAGAAACTCACTCAGAAAGAAGTCACCCAGTGGCTATGTCGAAAAGGGGCCAATTTTACTTGACCAATATCTTGCACCATCATGGAGTTGGGCAAGTACACTAGGCCGAAAAGTTTTGTTCATGGCCGACAGGCAATTCGATCACGTCAAACGCTTCGCCGAAGTTATAGATATCAATATCCAGCTTGCTACCCATGACCCTTTTGGTGCCGTAAAGGGGGGAAGTATCACTCTTCGTGCTCCTTTTCTAGAACTACACTCTCAGGACTTACTCAACGCTCCTCATCCATCATCGCCGTATCCGAAGTTAATGGCAAAAATTTCCAAGGTGTTGAAAGGTGCGATAAGTAGTGAATATGGACAAAAGCATAGAGCCTATATAGGACAAAAGTTTGCAGTCTTAAAGCTGATCCAGTGGCGGCGCCTCCTTGAGACTACCGAGCGCGTATGCTTCTTAATACTAGAAAGTGTTGAAGACGGCAATGATTGGAGGCGGATAGAGCGCCTCGACCTTACTGCTAGAGAAACCGTGCTTTGGGACAGTGAGGAAGTAATTGATTCGCTAGCTATCCTTGAGGAGATTAAACATGCTTTGAGAACGCATATCGTGAGGATCATCTAACTTATCACTATCAACTACTATCGAGTGTAGACTAGATCGACGATATTAGGAACTTATTCAACAATAGGTACCTTTATAACATCTGGTCATTAAAGCATAGCTTTGGTATCAGTATGCCATTAGAAATTCTATGTTACGAAGTAGTCTACGGCACCATCGAGGTGTTGGCCTAGGCCCGCCTCTCCCCCCTTTTTTATAACAAGAAAAAAAAGACTTTACATGATTATTGGTAGTCATGTAAATTTGCGACTATTCGGTACCTAAGCAAAAGATAGAATTTTGTTATATCCAGCCGCAGCGAAAGTATCATGAGCTATCCTAGTAAATATAGCATTCAATCATTCTCACCATAGCCTCTACCTATAGGATGACTATCGTGGTTATACCTTGTAGGTATCACGTTGAATAGCGCAACTATAATACCCTTGTATTCCTATATGAAAAGGCGTGGCGCACAGACAATGTATCACCACCGATTCGTGCACTCTAGGAATGGCGTATTAGCAGAACTCTACTAGACACAGCTGTGAAGTACTTACGCCGTTAGTAGCGAATCTTCTTGGGTAATATCGAGTATAAAGGGCACAATATTGCCCAGCAGGCCGGCCATTCCTAAGGAGTAGATAGGTCGTGAAGAAACGACATATCTGCGGCTGACCCTGCTCAGGAGGGTTGGCAAGGTTATTTCGATTCTGAGCATCGCACGCGGCAGCGCCTGTTCATTAAACCATATTGTGTCAGTTTCGAACCTCTTTAATTTGCGTTTCGTTGCCAATTTGCTGTTCAGGTCGAAGCAAGGTAGCAAAATAGGATTGTAGGATATGTAAAAGTTATGTCACTCACTTCTAAAAGTTAGTTGTTATAATTCGAGAAATAGGGGGCTCATGAATTGAAAGTGCGGGTATTGTACGTACCAAAGGCCTGGGTCGAAGAAAGTATTGGTGAAGATCCTTGAACCAATGTAGGTGCCTCCTTGCGCCGTATTGGTAGGACTAGACGTGGTAGATGTACCTGTAGTCCTCGTTCCCGTCCTCGTCCTTGCCGTCGTAGTAGGTGTGGGATCCATGTCGTCGGGCGGTACATCGCTGACATGGGTTAATAATCATCTCTTCAATGTGAGGGCTGAGACGATATTTATGAGGCTATAGGTATTCTACTCTCCTTAACTAAGGAATTCTGGTCCCTTGTAGAGTCGTAGAGACTTGAAAAGGAGTAGAGGGCCTTCGATTTTACGTACATAGTGTCGTTTCCGGTGGGCTCGCCATCGTACCCGGGGACGGTAGGGATGGCATTTTTCATGTATCCATTTGACCCTGCGATAACCACGTGGAAGTCTGCTATATACTGTCCAGTATTAATAGCTGTCTCTACAGAGACAAGACCGCCCCAGAAAATGCATTTAATGTTAGTAGTCGAAGGGGGATTCGTGCAGCCAGTGCCTGGCGCGAGAGAAGGATCTCTTTCAAAGAAGATATTAAAACCTTGGCAGCCACGCCAGACATCATCACATTGGTCGGCGCAAGTTTGAGTGTCATAGGAGTCCACGGTTATAAAGCCTAGATATCCGTAGGATACACTCCTAGCATGTATATTAACATAAGTTACGTTATATCCAGATGGTGTAGGTGCTTGGGTCGAGATTCTAGTAAATGCCCTTAACCCAAGAAAAGCACTATCGGTATCGCGATTTGGCGTAGGGCCTGCACCGGTAGGGTTAGGCTGGCATGCTGTTTGACGCGCGACAAGCTCTGGTGTTGTGGCGGGTTCAGTTCCTACGGGCAGAGGACTCTCTGTGGCAGATTCCGTAGCCTCGCTTAAGTTGTAGGTTGTTGAATCGGCAGTAGGCCCAACTGGTATAGAAACTGATGTTACGCTTGGTGCAGAATCGACAAGCGATGTGTCAATGGCCTGTCTCGGTTCATGCGGAGAGGCCATAGCCAGAGTCACGAGGACCTGAAAGACTGATAGAACTGACTTCATATTGCGAGATTAAAACAGTCTCAACCCTTTTGCGTATAAGTTAGAATAAAGGTAGGACGAGCTGATACTAGGAGATAAGCGGGCATAGGTATGAAGGCGATGATGGGCGTCAAAGGAAGATAAGTCTATTTGATACCATTAGTACATCGCACTGAATACCTGGGTATATAAAACTTATATGAATTAATTTGCAGGACGGCCATTGATTATTTCATAACTACAAATATTTTACTTCAGTTCATCGTCACTCGATTTACCATCACATTGACCATGGTTTTACTTCATTTTTCCTCTGGATTGATTGCCAAGAATTCTGCCCGAGTCATTTTCCCATAAATCGTGTCACATATATCCCTACCAACGGGGCTAGATGGTCCATTATCCTAGTGTGAAAATATGGGATCTCACTCAACATTTCAGTTTACATATTTGTACTGTGTGTGAGGGGATTGTTTTCAGATGAGATGGGTTCAGACGACTATTCTGTTACCTCACTCGGCTTGTTCATAGTTTCTCGCCCTGCACCTAGATCAGTTCATCCAGAGGTCTAGTAGTTGCCCTTTACCTATCTTAGAACATAAAACTTCTAGCATCAATAATACCCCGCGTCGTAAAAAGAAGCTTGCCCATTCTTAAAGCTGCTATGAGTCATGTATCATATACGGAAATAATTTTTACCGTCTTGCACTACGTGATAATATTAAGCTTAAGAACTTGAGCTACTTAAATAATACAACTCTATGCTTGGTTAACCGTCCCTTCATAACGATAAAATAGTTTTGTACAACTTATGTAGGTTGGTAAAAATACATTAGTCGTAGAGCGGATGTCTATCTTAAAATTATATCTTAAAGCCTTAAGGAATGACGAAAGTTTAGGTACGTTTAACCTTGAGTAGGATTCTATCGGCTACAAGGTGTACGTTATGATTTTTCTGCTATTCAAGTACTCTTTCTATGTAAAGATATAGTAGATTTCAAATACCAATTAATTACTATGTGACCTATTTACCGATATTTTTAACTACCTACATAAATAAAGACGAGAAATCCAAGTTTATTCTTTTACTATGTATGTCCTATTATGGGCGAAGGACGAATGCTGGGTGTATAATTACCATCAAGGCGGTAGCAATGGTAACCATGAATCCATCCAAACCAACAAACAACCATTGGTTAGTAGCAAGAGAACTCGAAAGGCCTTGTGAAAGCTCGGCAACACGGTAGCAAGACCGAATGAGGATCAATATCGTCGCAAGGAGGAGCATGAAGATAAACACCACTAGCGATCTCTGGATGTGATATCTAAGTTCTATCGACGTAGCAGCCATATCTAAACCATCAGGCGATGACTTCTTAGAGTTCGTACCACGGTGGTTTCGATGCGGGTATAAAATTATACCGAGGAAGAGGATAAGGAACATGCATAGTGAGAAAACCTGCAATGCAAGACCAGCGATGGTAATCTTCGTTCCAACAAGAAGACCATTTGAGGGAGGTGGAGGGTTGTCGGGTGTGCTTTCGCTTGTAGCAAGACCTCCACCGACTGCTTGAATAATTAGGGCTATTATATCGCTGGGTATAAAGAAGGCAGTGTAGAAATTTGGACTGATATCGAAGCAACCTTGGCCTAAGGTAGTGGCGACGTGCTTGAGGGAAATGTATATCCTACCATACGAGTCAGCATGAAATGCATTTCACGCCGAGGAGAATAGGGAACGTACCCTGCAGTAATGAAAACAGGAGCCAAAGTTAGAAGGGTGAATTGGATCGAGAAATAGTTTACGTCGAACGGATCAGCCCACCCAAGATCGCGAGACAGGTAGCCAACGAACTCAACAAGGGCTCCGAGCGCAACGACAACACTATAAACGATCCATCTGCGCGTGCAAATCGCGGCAATGATTGCCCATAGAGCTGCCAGACCGAATATGATAGTGAAGAATATGTTTATGCCTAAATTTGGTCTGTAACCATATACGGTGAACGACTCCGGACACGTATCTAGAGTACACTGTTGGGTCGCCATAGGTAGCTATCTCCTAGCTCGACATATATAGTGCTCTATTTGTGATGGCTATGTCGAAGATTGAAGCTGAAACGAAGATAGGGGTAGATTTGGATGAGGAAATAAAATTATTTAGCATGATGACAGGGACGACATAAAATACTTATACCAAAACATCGCTAATAGCCGTTTTTCTCATGGAGTGTTGGTTCTAAGAGGCTTGGGGCTGAGTTAGGTTGTGCCGCTCCCGAATTCCGTCTATTGTGCCGAGTTGTCATTTTTATCCTATCTCTGGGTCATGAGTAAGAGCAATGCCACGAAATACCAAGAAGGCTATGATCAATTGAATTATTGGGTGTAAGAAAATAATCAACTCATTGGATAGGTACTGGTTGACATCCGGGATATATCAGGAATTAAATCTCGTAATGCATATGAATTAAAATTAACTTAGGTGCTCACATTAAAAAAAGGACTCCTAATTTTGCCTTCGGTAGGATATAACAAGTTGGTAGCTACGATATCGAAATGTATTTTCCAATAATACTTTCTTGCGTATACATACATCCCCGAATATTATACTCTTAGTAGGCTCCTCAAGTTATGTAGTGAAAGGCAACTAGAACCTGTTAGAGCCGACAGGAACAATTAATCTGACTTTGACAGTGTGGGGTGAAATTTCTCCGCGTCTTTCTTTTTATTATAGAGAGGACTCGGAGCCCCGAAGAACCGACGTCTTGGAGTCCGGAGCTTGGCAGGGGCTTAGAAGCCGGCGGACAGCAACGAAAAGTAAAAATGGCAACATGAATGTCACGATAGGTGTAATAATAGCAGATTACCCTTGAGATAAAATTTTCTATTCCGTGCATCTTTTCATCATCCCTTTTGCACGGGACCCCCTATTACCATACCATACTTCGGTGCCTAGGTAGGTTAGCAGGTAGGTACGTATTAGTAGAGTACCAGCTTATTCCAATATCTTTGGGGGAATTAACACTCGATTGCTAAACTACCTGACATGACTATGAATCAAATAACTAAGAGGTACTTATATATCGTAAAGTTGCTGATTTTATATACGTTATATCATATTTACAAGGCATTTTGATTTTGATTTAATCATTTGTTATTTGGTTCTAACTAGTTAATATTTGAATATTTAACTATAGGCTCTTTTCTCATTTTTCTTCAAACGATCGTAGAGGGCGGAACTTCCACAGAAGCATCATTTTTACTATGGCTTATGGACTCGGCGAAGGGTGAACGTTTCCGCATCGACGGCCCCTTGTAGTAGATGACGAATGTAGCGACTACAAGAATCAATCCGATACCTGCAAGCACGGTATTCGCTACCTGAAGACCGTAATCAAAATCAAACGCGTCGTAATATGGTGCTGCAACCCATGTCAATACTCCAGCCAAGAAGTCACGAGCAAAACCGTTGCCTCCCGTTGCAGAGGCCGAGTAAGGACCGTACGCTTTCACCATATAGTCGATAGTAGTCATGTAGATGGTATAGTTAGCGATGCCGATGAAGAGGCACCCGATCATCGGGGCAATCCAATGTACCTCAGGCGTGCTTGTCCATGCAAATATCATTAATCCGATGGGGAGAAGTGGTGCGGTAAAGAGAAGCCACCATAATCGTGATTCGAATTGAGCGTGCTCACTAAGAGGATTCTTCGCCCGTAGTGCCCGGTTACGGTATATAGATGGAATGAATAGTAGATACCCCAGGATATAAGCAATTCCAAACGGGATAAAAGACTAGTGGCGGTATTAGCAAACATGCCGTGATCTAACGGGAGTATTAATATAACCTACAAGCCCTATCTGTATGTTGGTAAAATTCCACCGCTCGAATACGCGACGCAGGGACTGAATTTGCATGAATATTAGGGCATCGCTAAACCCGGACAGCAAAGATAGCACCAAGACGATTTTCTCCTTGTAGAGCATCTGGAAAGGACGCGTCCATATAGCGAAAACTTCCTTTGGTACCAGATAGTCTTTGAACGGTTTCAACTCGAAGGGCCCGTAGACGTTACTGTTTTCACCGGTCGCTTCGAATTTAGCCTCCCTCATCTTCTTCGCATACCTATTGACTAGAATGGCGGAACGAGTTTCTGGAACGAATACTAAATGTAGTATCTGGACAAAGAGCCCGAAGATGAGTTGAATCCAGATCGTCCACGTCCAGTGGAGATTTTGTTCGATAAATCCGCCGATGATGGGTCCGATGATAGAGCCACCTACGGAAGAGAGGACAATATATGCCAGCGGGAGTTCTTGCTCATCGGCGATAAACATGTCCGCAACAACTCCCAGCGTAACACTGCCGCCGGCGGAGAAAAGGCCTCCAAGCGCACGTCCGACAAGAATACCAGCGAATGACCGATGGATATTGGCGAGACCAACAGGGATACAACACAAATTGACCATGAGAAGTGAGTACTGAAGAACGGGTTTTCTTCCGAATTCTTCAGACCAAGGTGCCCATCTATGGGAGAGTTTAATATATGAGAGGCCGGGATGGAGAGTGTATTGGTTAGGCTTACAGCTCACATCCAAACGCATATAGGACAAGAAACACGGCAGCACCGCTAACTGCGGCTTGGTTACTAACACCGAAGTCCTTGACAATACCACTCTGGCCGTTCGCATATAAGGAAGCGTTCAAGTTCACTAGAGAATCAAAATTAGGATCCGCGTTTCAGTAAGGTATATAGGAATTTGAAGCAGGGAGAATATAGGCTGTGTAGTGACATAAGCATAAAAAGAAACGTACTAGAGATTTGGACGAGAAAAATGATGGTAAGTGTCACCCATTTTTTCCACATGGGCCATGCGTAAGCCAGGGCTTCCGGACAGTCATTTTCCGTAAGGATGCTGGGGCCTGAGCCTGCTTGCATTAATGCAGCTTCATCGTGTGATGCAGTGTGCTTGGGTATAGTTCCCCGCGATATTGTAGATTGTGCTGAGAAGCTTTCACCAGTACTACCTTGGACAGGTGAAGCAGGTTGGTTGACCATTTGAGAATCTTCCCTAATATTATTCGGAGAAACTTCCATAATGTTACTTGAAAAGGGAAGTAGGTGAGTGTAGATAGCCAGGTGATTTTATGGAAAAAGGTAGGGAATGAGAGTATAGATATAGACTTTCCATGGCACCTCCGAGTATGGGCACATACGGGGAGTTGTCTCATCTCATTTAGGATTTACCATACTATCCCATCATAAGAAGACAGGAAACGCCACTTTAGGAGCCGGACCGGAACTAATCACTTGAGGATGGTCTCGTGGACAGGGCATAACTTACATATTCGTTACTTCATGTTGCTTTACGTTTCTAGTAAAACACCGAACTTGGAGTACTTATCTAACATGTGTCTTATGAAAACTAGCAGAGCTGGTGATATGGTACGACAACAACATGGTGTTTTTTCGCAACTTTTCCAAACTCGGACCTTTGTTGCGGGGAAACGCTCGGTGATTCAAGTAAGTTTATATCTCAATTCTTAATAGTAGTTGGGTACCTATTGAGGGGGTATTGACCGGCCCGCGGGGAAGGTAAATGTGGTAAGGGTAAACATGGTTCACGAGAAGGCGAATTGTCTATTATAAATTATGGCTCTATTGTGACTAAATGATTTCTAGTCTGATCATGGGGCTTCTATATGGAAATTTGGGATTTGTTGGTCTCGTTAGACGTCGTGGCTAGTATGCATCGTGGTTTGCTGGGATAATTGATTGTTGATATGTATTGATAGAAGAAGACAAATAGGAGAGAGTCCGCGATGTTTTGTTTAGAAAATTAGGAGTTTGAACCGCCGGGCTTAAACCCAAATTCCATCATTGAAGTTAAAATGGATCCCGGGCCATTGGCTTGGGCGACGGACCCCACGGGGGAAATAAGGGAGACCCTGTTTAGTTACATTATCAATTATGTACCTCTTAATGTTATACTATATGCTTTTAAAAGGATATTCCTTATTAAAATTTCCTAACTAGGTCCTGATCCCGCTAATATCGCCACCATCAGCCACATATTAAACTAATGCAGCCTCACCTGATAGATAAGATCTTTAGACCCACTATGATTCAACTTTAAGCTACGGACGCCTCAAATTTCCAATTTGTCGCGACAACTTCAATAATATTAAAACTTTAACCACTTTTTCTCAAAACATGCCGCCTCAAATAAAACAAGACCTGAATCGATCAGGCTGGGAGTCAACTGACTTTCCATCCGTATGCGAGAATTGTCTACCGCCGAATCCATATGTTAAGATGTTAAAGGAGGACTACGGTGCCGAATGCAAGATCTGTACGCGACCTTATACCATCTTCTCTTGGGCAGCCGACCGTGCCCACGGCCGCAAGAAACGCACAAACGTGTGTCTTACATGTGCACGCATGAAAAACTGCTGTCAATGCTGCATGCTCGACTTACAGTTTGGTCTACCCATTCAACTTCGTGATGCCGCCCTTAAAATGGTTGCACCTGGACCCCAGAGCGAAGTCAACCGCGAATACTTCGCGCAGAACAACGAGAAGGCTCTTGAAGAGGGAAGAGGTACCGAGGAATATGAGAAAACAGACGAGAAGGCGCGCGAGCTATTACGACGACTAGCAAACAGCAAACCGTATTTCAGAAAGGGACGGGCAATTGAGGATGGAAGCGCAACCGAGTCGAAACCTACTGGGAGTTCAAGAGGAGGCAGCCCATCGGTAGGAGCTGGTATTGGTGGACCGGGCCCGATACGCACTCGCGACTCCAGAGCAGCGGCGGCAGCAGGTGCTGGTACAGGTCCGAGACCAGGAAGAGGAGGAAGACCGTTCCCCAGTGCATCCCAATTACCACCCGGTCCTAAAGATTGGATGCCTCCTTCCGACAAATCTATCATGAGTCTATTCGTTACCGGTGTCGAAGACGATTTACCTGAGTACAAAATTCGAGACTTTTTTAAGGAACACGGTAAGATCAAGTCGTTGATCTGTAGTCATATGTCACACTGCGCATTCATCAACTACGAGACACGAGAGGCCGCCGAGAAAGCATCCGAGGCTTGCCAGGGCCGAGCGGTAATTGCAGGCTGCCCGCTTCGAGTGCGCTGGAGTTTACCTAAGGCAATCGGGACGATGAATAAGGAGGAAAGAGCCTCTATGGCTCGCGATGGTCGATCGGCATTTCCAGACCAACGACGAGGAAATGGTGGTCCCAAAGCGATCGGAGCACCACCGTCTCAGGGAGGACCAAGCCAGACCGGAACAGCACAGGATATTGATAACATGGCTATGGTAGCACCGCCACCAGGGGCAGCAGACGTCAACTATGCCAGCTTGGCTGGAGACTAAAAAAGGAGATATGACTTAATGCATGGGCGGCGTTTGAGCATTGCGATTACAATAGGGTTTCAGTGAGATATCTATCATAAAGGATGCGCAACCACTTAATAGTGGTTATGATGTTTGTTGGTACACTATGGGTATCATGATATAATACAAGACTTCGAGAATTTAGCCTCATTGTCTGTGTCACCTATCGGCACACGTCTTTCCGTCAATTTTAGCTGTCTGGCCATTCGGGAACTTGACCGTATCGTTGTCGCCACGTTCCGTATCCTCGTGTATCCGTAGCTCTAGATGTTCTGTTAGGGACATATGTTACCTTGACCAAATCTATATTCAGTTGAAAACGTACTGTATCTTTCGCCAACTTTCTTCCCCTGTACTATATTCTGTCGTAAAATGGCAGCAACTTCTTCAGCATGCTTGATGGCGCCTGGTAATTCGGGATCCGTAGACTCTAGGGAGGCATTGACGCGGAAACTTTCACGTATAGAGGCCCGTGCTGCAGTTAAGACTCGTTCATCGCCTAAAAATACAGCGTCAACAATTATCATTTATACAAGTCAGGTTTGAATTCATATATTCCTACCTTGAAAAGCTACCCTCGCCGCTCGGAGGAGACCTCTATAGGCTTGTAACGCCATTTTGACACACTGACCACTAACGAATATACTTTATTTGGAAGCGAAAATATTAAATCAAGAACATTAATATCAAATAGGTAGGTTGGTTTATTGTATAGCAGTTATGCAGAAACATTGGTAATTATTCCGTATCTACGAAGAAAGTTTCTGGAGTGGAATTGACAGAAAAAGATTGTGGCTTGAGTAGGTACTTAATGCATAAAAGCTGTGGCTGCTAATCCCCACCAGCCATATACCCAAGGTAGGGCATCATGTGCATAAATCGGTATTAATGCAAGAGACCCCTGCAATAAATTTCCACTATAGGAATCATAAAAGTTCTAGATAAGGATAAAAAAATTAATTCTTTTAACCCCACGAAGGTACCTAACAACTTTTCGTCCCTTCAACCCATCGGACTTGTACAAAGCAACGAGCGACAATGGCTACATCAACCATAGTAGCACGACCGCTACCCGCACTGCCGGAAGGTTGGTCTGCAGAGAAAGACTTCAAACCAATTGGTTCTATTACTGCATCAACTCAGCGTACTATTGAACCTGTCGGCCCTCATTTCCTTGCCCATGCCCGTCGTGCTCGCCATAAGCGCACATTTTCCGAAGATGATCGAATTCAAGCACAGGAGAGCGCCAAGAAAATCGAGAAGGACGATGAGAGCGATGTTAGCGAACCTGAGGATCCTTTAATGCTTCAGCGGGAAGCCAAGGACTGGAAGGTAAGAATATTTAAAATATTCGTTAAATATTTACAATTATTCATAAATTGTACTAACGTCTTTATATAGTCGCAAGATCACTACCAAGTACTAGGTCTATCAAAGTACCGATGGAAGGCAACGGAGGAACAGATCAAGCGTGCTCACCGTAAGAAGGTCCTAAAGCACCACCCGGACAAGAAGGCGGCCCAGGGCAGTACTGAGGACGACAACTTCTTCAAGTGTATCCAAAAAGCTACTGAGGTCCTACTTGACCCTGTTAAGCGCCGACAGTTCGACTCTGTTGACGAGAAGGCCGATGTCGACCCGCCCACCAAGAAGGAGCAGGCCAAGGGCAATTACTACAAGCTCTGGAGCCGCGTCTTCAAGTCCGAAGCCCGCTTCTCCAAGCAGCAGCCCGTGCCCACCTTCGGGGATGAGAAGTCGGCCAAGGAAGAAGTCGAGAACTTCTATAATTTCTGGTACAACTTCGACTCGTGGCGCTCGTTTGAATACCTAGACGAGGATGTACCAGACGACAACGAGAACCGCGACCAAAAGCGTCACATGGAGCGCAAGAACGCCAACGCCCGCAAAAAGAAGAAGGCCGAGGACAACGCGCGCCTGCGCAAGCTTCTAGACGACTGCTCCGCCAGCGATGAGCGTATCAAGAAGTTCCGCCAGGAAGCCAACGCCGCCAAGAACAAGAAGCGTCTCGACAAGGAAGCCGCCGAGAAGAAGGCCAAGGAGGACGCCCGCCTGAAGAAGGAAGCAGAAGAGAAGGCCGCCAAGGAGGCCGAAGAGAAAGCTAAGACGGAGCGCGAAGCCAACAAGAAGGCCAAGGAGGCCGCCAAGAACGCTGTCAAGAAGAACAAGCGTGTGCTGCGTGGTTCCATCAAAGACGCCAACTACTTTGCCGGTGCTGCCGACGCTAGCCCCGCCCAGATCGATGCCGTGCTGAATGACGTCGATCTCGTGCAGGGCAAGATAGATCCCGACGAGATCGCAGCTCTGGCTAGCAAGCTAGGCGGCCTCAAGGTCGCGGACGAGATCAAGGGCGTGTGGAGCGAGGAGGTCAAGAGACTAGTCGCTGCTGGCAAGCTAAAGGATGGTGAGGCCAAGGCATTGGTGTAGATAGACTTATAACTTGTCCACAAGATATAATTACCTTTAGATCCTCTAGCTCGTCTACATATTGTGCTGTCTCCTAATGTATTGGGCAAGTACCTACGTATGTATTATTAGGTAGGCTAGGGAAGATTAGAAGGCTTACCCTACGCATATAAGTAGAATTAGACACAAGGATGACTTTTTATAACAGTTAGGTAGACGTTTGCTTGACGTGAATTGTCAAGACGTGAACACTTTACCAAGAAGGCTATATCTCATTTTCTATTTTTATGAACTTGAATGAAACCCCAATATAGCCATGTTAAGCCATCGCCGCCTATTAGTAGGTCATGATGCAATAAAATATTCCTCCAGCTGGTGGATTCATATTCACCCCCTCTCTTCTGGTCCATTCGTTTTCTGTCTGATTACCGTAGATCCCTTCCCGTATTGCGTCCAACCCTTCTCTATGTGATTGTAAAGTTACTAAAGGATTAAGTCGCGTCCAAATGATTAGCGCCGGAAACTGACCCCTTGGCCAACCGTACAAGGTCTCATAACTCTCGAGAATCAATTAAAATATACCTAGTCATCGATATCAGTTGAGTAGTTCGCTGTAGAAGCAATGAATTAGTCTAGGACAATGATATCTTCCGCATTGTCCTTCTTTTTGAATATTCCATAAGCCTTGGACTGTCGAGCCCTCCAGGACTTCCGATCCTTACGTGGTAATGGGCCGTACCAGGCAATCTTGAACTTGCGATTAACTACCTTGATCTGATTTTCGTCTCCAAGTATCTGTGCTAGATCCCTGTGCGAACTTAAGGCTTCCTGAAAGATTGCATTCTCTTTCTCTGAAAGTTCCTTGCATATTACACTGAACATGCCCCTATTCTTATCTACGTCTCGTTCTGAGAGTTTGCATTGGAATGAGATATCATTTTTGCATGACCAATCTTCAAGCCAGTCTTCCCACTGCTCGCCGCGGCCTCCTAATATTCTATATTCGACGCGAAGCTCTCTAAGCGCAGATGTCTGTGCTCCAGATTTTGTCTGTAAGAAGTACTTGAAAAGCTGCTGGATAGTCGATATAGTCATGAAAGGGGTGAAAAACTTGCGTACAGTGTCGTCTCTGATAGATAGGTCGAGCACAGAATGACCATCCTCCGTATAAAGCAATGGGTCAAGCTCGAAGTGCAACTCCAAAGTATGTAACTTCGGGAATGAGGTTAGAATGTTCAACGTGTCCTCTGTCCACATTGTAGGGTGGCTTATCCTTAAGGCCAACTCCTCAAGGTGCGGGCAGCTATCTTTTATGCATTGTAAATCGCCCGCATCCATCGATGAGTTTGGCCCTGAGGGCAGCGATGCAAAGCTATATCTCAGATATATGTGGAGTATACGAAGTTTACTCCCATGTCTCAAAATGCCTTCTATACCGATTACACCGATGAAAGGAACCTTGATACTTTCTAGTGTAGACGGAACCAGTGCAAAAAAACGTTTCGCAGCTCTTAGGTCATCGTCGTAAGGATTCAGGGTTATTTCTTTGAGTGAAGTGAATTTGTGCAAGCATCGTGAGATTATTCCAGTGTAAATAGTCCGAAGTCGCTTCATTTCCGACCAGTCGAAACTGTCAGCCCAGTCGTATTCTTCTTGGTCTCTGAAAGGGTAACCGTCCAGTTCCAGTATCTCAAGTGCCGGAGGCCGTTCATTATTAATGAACCCCAAACCGCAGTTCCGGATATCGGGATCTTCGAACGTAGAAATATTAAGCTTGAGATGGCGGAGTTGAGGGCATGTAAGAAGTATTGTCTTCAAAGCCTTCGTTACTTTGTCACAGTTCGCATACTCGTCATCAAACTCTACGCTTATTGAATATAGTTTGGAATTGTTCTGTAATAGCGCGAGTATGCTCTCTTTCGAAGGTGTATCGTCAAACATTACGTTCGCATATAGCCGTATACCGGGTTGATGTTCGAGTGCCTCAAGTAAGTCTCTGCCGACGTAGTTTCCAATAAAATCGACCTTGACATCTCGGAGCCCTGTCATTTTAGGCAGTGACTTGTATAGATGACGCCATGTCGTATCTCCATACCTTCCATCCGTCTTTTCTATTCCTTTAACTCTTATGCACCGGATTGCGCGCCACATATAGTTATCTTCAATATTCTTCAATCGCGTATTCACGTGATGAGTATCAAATGTACTTGTATGGTATTGGCTGTAGGCCACTGCTTTACAGAAGTCGGCGCTTAATTCGGAAAGTGAATATAGAGTTTTAGGGCTGGATTGTTGAATCAGATCAACAATTTGGGCGATGATTTCAGGTGACAAGTCCAGGATGGAAGGCATCTTGTTAACTGAAGAGAAAGAAAACTTCTTGGCTATTGATGTATAGGGCTTGTCGACTGGTATATTTGATGCTGTCTATTTGAAGGACGTAGAGCGGCAGCTTCTTGCAGAGTGGTAACATGTAGATGTTGAAGATGGTAATATTAGGAGGAACTTTTGGAAAGTATGAATATTGCAGTTAGACAAAGTTGTAAAGTACATGTAGATAAGTTCTGTGATAATCGTGCCTGCCTAAGTACCTAAGGTAAGTACGTAAACTAGAAGGCGTATATGAATTATATATAGGTTTGGTAGGTGCAGACTAGGAAGCTTTATTAACTAGCAACCGCCTTCAAGTTACCTCTAGTCTAAGGCAACTACCTCCTAAGCTAAGATAAATTCATTTCTCCAAAGCATCAGGCCTTAAAAGCCTAATTCTAGGTTTACATGTAATACCTAGGTACTTAGGCCTTATGTAAAGAGTGGTTATTTATTATCTATTTTCTTTACTTATGGAGCGCATAGTATTTTAATTTGTCATTCCCTTAATTTAGAGCAAAGCATATTTAACTTGGGTACTGAACAAGATATCCGTCATATCATTTACTCCCTTTTGCTATATCCTACCGTCACACGTTGACTTCTACTACCTTAACTTAAGTCTAGAATCTTGCCAAGATTACATAGCTGACTGCTTAAAGCATGATAGTCTTAAGTACTTAATGTATAACCATTTTATCAACTTTCCCAATCGGATCCAATTGCTAATGTGACTCTGAAGACTACCTCTTGATATATGGATCTAGATTTTAATTCAGTGCCGAGGTAGGTATAAAGGGGGATAATAATACAAAGACCATACCTCCGCATATAATTACTTGGACCCCTGCTAGACTAAGTAGTCGTAAGTATCCTTAATATTCTTCGTTGATATAATTAGGCTTATTTTGCATTGTAACCAAAGCCAGCTGCGGAGCAAGATACCCCTTTTTTATGCCAAGAGAGCTATTTCATGCCTAACTTATCCCGGTTGCGACTTGACTTTCGGATTGGTGCGTTAATAAAGATATAGACATTGGCACCGACAACATATCGTGGAATCGATTACTCCGGTGCAATGTCGCCAAGCTTGTAAGTAACCAAATTGCCCCTGGCACTCCGGTGGAAGGATATGCAGTAATTTCATAAATTAGGCCGTTTACTATTCAGTTGGTCTATAAAAACGGCCCCGTAACCGCACTTAGAAGCATGAAGGAACTATAATCCTAGTCTGCTTCTTCATCTTTATAAACACAAGAAATTTTATCATGGCTCGATCTTTTATCATCGCGGCGACGCTCGCATTTGTTGCTGTTGTTCAGGCACAGTGCGGTTCTGGCACTCCGGATGCTACCGTGACCGGTTCTGGCAACTCTTTCAAGGCCACTAAAGGCTCAAGTTCAGTATACTCTGGCTCTGACTACCGCGCGGCGGTTCAGGCCGCTGTGGATTCGATAAGCAGCGGTCAACGTGTCTCTGTCATGGCCTCGGGATCGATTGGTGCCAATACTATCACCATTAGTAGTGGAAAGATATTCGAGGGCTGCGGCACTATCAACGTTGGAAACCGGGCCGGACACGGTGCAATCGAGTCGTTGGACACCTCTGGTGTTCAAATTCCGTACCTTACTATGACCGGCAATCCGTACTTTGGCTTGCGGTTTTATGGCACCAAGAACCTAGTTCTTGGGAAAATCACGATGAATCTTAGCGGCGGTTTGGGCATCCGCTTCGACAGAGACGCAGCTGCAAACTCAAATGTGAAGATGGATGTCATCAAAGTTACCGGTGCTGGCAGTCATGCTGTAGAGACCTGGAATATTGATGGTCTTGAAATCAACCAAGTCATCGCGAAAGATGTCGGCGAGTGTGGATTACTACTCCAGAAAACCACCAACGCCAATGTTAAACTCGTCGATGGTGACAACGTCGCCAAAGGTAACGGGTACGCAACATTTCGCATGGCAAATAACAACGGCCAAAATCCCAACGGAAATTACAACACCAATGTTCATGTTGACAAAGTTGTATCTCGTGGTGGTGGTCGCGGCATCTTCTGCGTTTCACAATCCGGAGCAACAGTCATCGAGAGCGTCGACCTCTCTAGCAACGGAAATAATGCTATACTCATTGAGAACTGCTACAATCTATCGATCCGCGGAGGCACTGTCAATGGAGGTGGAGAAGTACGTCTTGCGGCCCGCGACGAGTTTCCCAATAACCGCGACATTTGGATCACCTTAACAGTAAACAATAACTCCGTCCGTGAGTCTCCTTGCGGTGAAAATACCAATTGGACAATCGAAGGTAATGCCAGCAAGAATATTTGCTAGGCACGCAAAGGCTTGAAAGCAATAGACATTAAATGAAATATATTTCATGGAGAACATAAAATCAAATTAAGTTGTATACATGTAACATGCCTTCTAGATGGAACAGACCAATAGTATTGACTACTGCAATTTCGGTCAAATCTTCTGGTTTCTTTCGCCGTAGTTTTACTACAATTATGCCGTGTGACCACAACCTCCCTTTTTAACTGGTCACTTGAACTTTGATGCCTAATGGATAAATCATTACGACGTTATTAAATCCCTATTATCGTCCAAGTTCTTCACAGGATATTGCATTTTCATCTAGTTTCATTCCTCACATAGTTCTCATTTATCAAAAATGACAAAGTTCAAACCAAACCCGTCTGCCTTCGATTTCAAGCCAAACAGAGAACATCATAGGAGTCATTCCATTCCTATTCTTCAAGAGCCTAATCAAAGGCTGGTGGTGTCAAACGACTCACGATCCCGGATACAATGCCGATTTTTCCAGCAAGGCCGGTGTCGAAATGGCGATTCTTGCCCATATATACACGAGAATAATGCCACATCTGATGATTCTCTTCAAAGAATTCCGAATGAGGTAAGGCTAGTAAAGGGGGGATATTTCCTAGCTGATGACTATTTTAGATCCATACGACCTCAACACAAGACAAAATCACTCGCACTATTCGCGGTGCCTTAGTTCACTTTGAGAAAGGCGCTACTATCGAGGAGATATCATTGCCATCAGACTTTTCTATCATTCAAATCAGCCAACTCCCACAAGATAGTACCAGAGATGACATATTAGATCTCCTTCGGTCACACAATATCAATACGCCGAATGAAACGGAAGTACGGATCACTCACGAACGGGATAGTTGGAGTGCCGTAGTAAAAGTCAAAGATCCCGAATTCGCTAAGATCGCTGCGAGAAAACTCAACCCACAGAGAGCTTCCCACCCAGTCCAAAAACTGCAGCCAACAGCTACTCCAATAGCGAACCCTATACAGTCAGATTCGAATACTCTTCGTGTTGATTGCTGCAAGGTCCATATATCTTGGCACAAACCATTCAGGACGGTGTGGCTCAATTTTGGCAATAAGGAGATTGCCGAGCGCGTACACAAAAACTTTCAGGATGGAAGATACAAAATTTTGAACCAATGCGTGCACTGTAATGATCTGACCCGTGGGGAAGGTCGTCGTAATCCTCTTGCATGGACGGTGTGCCTAACGGAAGTGCCTGGTTCTGCAACAGAGTCCGATGTCGAGAGGTCTGTTTATCATCAAAACAGCAAGCCTCGACGGATCGAGCTTGGAAGTCCTACATATACCGCCGATGATGAGACATGTTCGACAGAGATCCAATCCCTATTTACTTCTATTGGACCATTGGACTGGTGGGAGCTTACTCCCGACACTACTGGTAAGCGCATGAAAGCAAGTGCGCGATTCCAAAATGAAGATGATGCCAGAGAAGCCGAAAAATCACTCGACAAAAAGGAGCTTCCTTTTCATGTAACTGCCAAGCTTACTGTACGGTTGGTTCATACAGCAAAGTTTAAGGTACATGTAAAGATCTATGAAGCAGTCCAAAACCAACTCAAAGCCAATATTAGAACTTGGAAGGCTTCACATTTGACTTACGTAGCTTACGAAAACTCCAACCCGCCTAAATGGTATCTGGTGTTAAAACTTGAGGGTGAGGCAGAAAAGGAGGTGGCCTCGGCACAAAAGACTATCGAGAGAATCATATCTGGTATGGTGGCCAGAGATAACTCTTCCATCCTGTGGCATCCAGCCTTACGCAAGAATGGAGCACTTTACGATCAGGTTAGGCAGATAGAAAAGAGGAATGGGATTGCCATTGTTCGGAACAAAGTTAAATCACAGCTTCAGCTATATGGGCCGGAAAAGGCCTGCCAGATTAGCCAATCTGAGATTACTAGACTGCTGCAAGATGAGACATCCCAGCATTTCGATATCCAACTTGAGGACCATGAGTTCTCGTGGGCACTTCAAGGGGGGTTGAAAAATATAGAGAAAAGGCTGGGTTCCGAGAAGATCGTGTTTGATATCACATCAACGCCAAAACGTATCACGATAATCGGCACTACTGGAGACTACGATACAGCAACTTCTCTAATCAAGGACAAAGAGGAAACAAAAAGGGATATAAGCATCCAGAATGGCCAAGATTGCTCTGTATGCTGGAACGAAGTCGAAGATCCAATTTGCACGCAATGTAGTCACGTCTACTGCCTCGACTGCTTTGAGAACCTATGCCTTTCAGCTACGACACAGGCCACGGCCACCCGTATCTCCTGTGTCGGAAGCCTCGGAGGTTGTTCCAAGATACTAGAGCTCTCGGAGTTACAAGAACATCTCTCATCAAGCTCATTTGAGGAGTTATTGGGGAAATCTCTTGATTCATATATACAACACAATCCAGATATGTTTAGTTATTGCCCATCTCCGGATTGTGGATATATCTATCGGGTCAACGCCATACCCAATCCCCAGATGTGTCCCAGCTGCCATATACTCGTATGCACAGCATGCAAAGCTCAGCATGGATATATGACGTGCGAAGACTACAAGGATATTTCAACTGGCGGGTTTGAAGCTCTTAAAAGATATAAACAGACTGCTGGTATCAAAGACTGTCCCAGGTGTAAGGCTCCTATGGAGAAGATTGATGGGTGTAACCACATGACCTGCAGATGTGGTGTCCATATCTGCTGGGTTTGTTTAAAAACCTTCACGGCACCTAATGATTGCTACGACCATTTGCATAGTGCACATGGTGGAATTGGGTTGAATCATCTTCAGGAGAGGTTTGGCTAAAATGATAAGTAGGATTTTACTGGAACTTGAGCTTCTAAGTATCATAGAAACATAGCATATATCAAATAGCACACCACCTCCTTTAACTCTGGGTGGTCACACTTAGCTGAACCATACCTATTACACTATATTGTTATGACATATTGCCGTGATGAAGTCAATGGATATTCTATGTTGTCGAAATATGTTATATATAGTATACCTAGATCGTAAGGTATGATCGAAGGTATGATATGACCAAGCTGTATTATTCAACATTCTAAACATTACTTAATAGAAAGACTATGATTTCAACTATAACCTCATTATTGGTACCTTAGGCACGTAGGCATGCACCAAGGTAGCTTTTACAAGTAAACACATCTCCACTTACATAAATTATTAACGTACCTATGTACCTACTTGAAGTGCCTACCTCTTACATACATCACGGGTATGTATGTACCTAAGTAGCACGATAGGTAGGTTAAGCAAGTACTTACTCTGGTACCCAATGATGGTACGTTAGGTAGGTACATAATGGACAAGGCAGCAAGGCTACAAAGTTGAGGCTCCTAAGGATCAGGAGAGAATCAGACTTGAAATTAGTTGATTGGTTGATTTAGCAACAGCAACCTGAGAGTACCTTAGGTATCTAAGGTATGTAGGTACCTAGGTACGTAATCGAAATCACAAATATCAATAAACCAAAAATAATTACCTAAGGTGATCTGTTTAAATATTTATTCGGTCTATTTTTTATTGAGTCGAGCTGATTAGGAGTTTAGTAGAACTTGTTAAACTGAATCACGGATATTATTGGCTCGAAAATCTGATCTAGAAGATTTAATAAGAGGTGACTAGGCTGATTCATACACAAATTAAATCTAGTAAGGAACTTAGGTACGTCCATATTCTTGATCAAAAGGAAATAACTAGGGGTACATAGCGTATGTACAGCTGTAAATATCAAACAGAATGTATGCTTTAAGGTACGTACTTAAAATAATTCCACTATTAGTCACTTAGGTTGCCGTAACTACATGAATCACTATGTAGGTACCTGAGGTACGACGACCTAAGTTACGATGATCTAAGGTACGTAAAAAGAAGGTACGGAGGAAGGTACGAATCACTTCGGACTTTCAAATCAGAAATTCAGAATCAGCCGCCTGAAATCTTTTTCTATATAAACATAGCCAGTCCCTCCCCGTCTTCTTCTTCCAATCTTCCTTTCTCACACCAACAACAACAACACATTACAATAACACACTACAACAACAACTGCTACAACAACAATTACAACAGCAATTACAATAACAATAACAACTTTTACTACCTTTTCAAACAATAGTAAGCAATTAATCTATTTCATCTCATCCTCCCCTCAAGTTTCCATCCAACCCTATGCACTTTGCAACTTCGCACTACCTTTGTTTGCTTCTAAAAACACTTCCTTTACTACATTTATCCTACACCTTTACTCACTTTTACATTTCCCCTACATCATCACTTCGCATCAAACATGCAACCTCATTGAGAATATTCAACTACGCCTTTCTAGGCATCTCTCTTTCCAATTACTGCCCCATCTCGGCTTTTGCTCTTACTTTGGTAACTTCTCACTTGTCGCACACTTCCACTATCAAACTCCCAACATTACATAACTTATTATTTCGCCCTCTTTCATTCCTAACCTAGCAAACTGATACGTACATGCGAAGCAACTAAAATTTACCAATCTAGTTCAACATGCGACCTACCAGTTCCAACAGCAACGAACTATAGGCTCCTCTTTCCTTCAGGTGGCGGCCTTGTGCCCATGTGGATAAACTACGTGCCGCTGGCCTGGATCTACTCTTAAGTGGCTTTGCCATTTATGGGGAGGGGAGCCTCCTCGCCTCAGGAAATCATCGACATACCCCTCTAGCCCCAATCAAACCCATGGCTGGCCCTGCAAATTATTAAAAAATTAAAAAAAAAAATTTGTAAGCGCAGTAGCATCGTCAACACTAGTAACATCACTAACCGTCATGGCGAGCAGAAACAGCAAAAAAAAAAAAAATACAACAATATTATCATTAACAACAACAAAACTACAAATCAACTTGGGTCGGTCGGGTCCCTGGACCTTCGCAGGAGTCAGGCGAAGAGATAAGGGCAGAGAAGTTCTATACCGTGCTCCGTGTTGCCAAGCTAGTACTTGCTGGGACGGTGCCAACGTAGGTTTTATTTTACAGCATCGGGCTGGCCGCAAACGTTGGTGCTATCGACATTGTGATGCTTCGGCGTCCTTGTCGTGTCCGCCTGCCTAGGGGGACGTGCCCTGGGATGGCGGCGTTCCTCGACGTGCAAGGGGGTCCTTGCAGTGTCTCCGTGGAGGACGGAGGGGGCACTGCTCACGTTACACACCTCACTCCCATTGCTGCGGCACCCTGGCGAACATCTTCTTAATTGGGATGGCGGCACTTCGTTCTCTTATACAACTAGAGGCGGGTGTTATTTAAGTAGCTGGGGCCGGGGAGACAAGCCCCGATGGAGAGCCGCTCCGTCCGGTGGAGAGGTTTTCCAGCGCCGCGAAGGATTTCGAGCCATAGTGCAGTTAGAAAGGTCAGGCATCGGGGACTGCCCAAGGGAGTTAGGTGTCCTATGTCAAGCAGTCTCTGGGTATTTTTCCTGAGGTGGGTGAGGGCAGGTACGTACATCCTAGCCCCTTTTGTGGTATCATTAATCCGCAGGCATACATTTGTGACATTGTCACTCAATAGTGAAAGTAACTTTTTCTACTTCACTTATTTTTGGAACATTTTCAGCTCTGCTGAGTCAACTCAACCCCCCTTTTTTTTCATTGCAAGCTCTGGCTGGACCAGCATTGTGAAGAAGAAACAGTCTTCAGGGTGGAATTGTGGCGCTAGAACAACACTTAAAGAGAATTGAAATGTATAAACTTACTTCAACATTTTCATAAGACGTGTTGCTTAAGATTTGACATTTTCTTCTTCTGGTGCTCTTTTCTTATCTCAACTTTCCTTTCCCCTATTCCGTACTACCTAGGTACATTATTTATATGTTTACCCAAAGGGGCAGGTGGTTAAATAGGTATGTATATAGGTTCGCCAGGCAACGGACCAATCGATCGGAATCTCCCGTCGATACGGAATGATACACTCCCGAGATACGACATCAGGAACCGATCTTAAGCCTCAAATCTAATCCTTAAATTTGGAGATCACTAGAAGTAATGTCTATCTTGCATTAAATAGTAGCCACTGCCATTCAGGAAGAACAACTTGAGCTTGAGTGACTAGGCACCTAAGATAAATTAATGATGCGGGGTCCCATAGTGCTGTTCACTTATCTGCTTAACAGCTGGACTCTTTGCGCCATCGTACGAGCGCATGTTGGAACGGCCCCTGGGAAAACACCACAGGTCCAGGCGCTACCCTCTCTACGGGAACAAGCGAAATTGTTAGACAGATGGACTGAAGAGCGTAAGGCTCTTATCCCAGGGCTACTACGCAAAAATGGTGTTGATGCTTGGCTGGTACGTTGAGTTTCTCACTTTTCATGCAGTACCCGACAGATAGTATTATCTCATTTACGTTATGTCCTCTTCAGCAGCGCGCCTGACAAACATAATAGATGAGCCAACGCGAATATGCCGAGGACACTGTGTTTTGGGCTCTCAAAGAAGCCACGCAGTTCTCTGCTAGGCGACGAACTACACATCTCTTCCTGGCCGACCCAGTCGACGGGGCGCCGTCTAGCTATTCATGGATCGAGAACACGGAAGCAGTATGGACAGAGCTGCGGCAGATTCTGGCGACGCAACAGCCGCGTTCCATTGCGCTGAACACGCATTCGGAAATCGCATTCTCGGGAGGTTTGCATGCTGGTGAACTCGATGCTGTCGTGAAAGGCGTAGGAGAGGAGTGGAAAGACCGCTTTGTGTTGGAGCCTATGCTAGGTGTCGAACTAGTCGCGACGATGGTTAAGACTAGACTCCCGTGGTACCAGAAGATGATGGAAACGGCCTGGGCTATCATAGAGGAGGGGTTTAGCGAGAAGACCATCGTGCCTGGGAAGTCTACAAGCTGGGTAAGTTTATATCCATTAAGTTCCGCATGAGCATAGGGAAATTAAGCTAAGAATATCGCCTCTCTAGGATATCGAATGGTGGATGCGAGAAAAGATACAATCCTTGAATTACACCACCTGGTTCCAGCCCAGTGTTTTCATCTTAACAGGAAAAGGATTCCCTGCTGCAGATGACCCTTCCGTTTCAATGGACGACCCTCGGGCACCCGACCGCCCTATTGAGTACGGAGATTTAATCCATACAGATTTTGGCGTATCGGCTCTTGGTTTAAACACCGACACTCAGCACATAGGCTACGTTCTATATCCAGGAGAGACTGAGGCCGACGTGCCCAAGGGGATGATTGAAGGGTTGAAGAAGGTTAACCGTTTGCAAGATATCGTGAAGAGCAATATGAAAATCGGGATGACAGGTAACGAGATCTTAAAGGCGTCAATAGAGCAGATGAGCAGCGAAGGTATACAAGGCAAGATATATTGTCACGCTACTGGGGAATGGGGCCACTCGGCAGGGACAGTAATCGGTAAGCATCGTGTTTTCATACGCCCCGGTTCATTGCTGCTCGTCGTGTTACTAACTTTCCGTAGGTATGACGAATCTTCAAGAGAAAGTCCCGGTTCTTGGAGATCTTCCCTTATTAAAGAACACATATTATAGCATCGAACTTTTCGCGGAACATTTCGTCCCCGAAAGGAATCGGACTATTGTCTTCCCTCAGGAAGAAGATGTGTACTGGGATGACGCAACTAACAGCTGGCAATGGGTCTACGGGAGACAGGAGGAACTTTTATTAATAAGAACACCTGCTATAGATGGTATGGAAGCGCCGACGGAATTGTGAAGGAAAATGAAGGTCATCGTGTAAATATACTTTATGTGTCTTCCCTCTTTACTGTGAAGGATAAGAGTAAATCATAGAAACACAGACAATGAATCGCATATCTTGTGGTAGTATCAAACTTTGAATGTGTGTAGGTATGAGATGCTTTAGATTCTCGGAAGAGGCGCGGAAGCAATCGGGGGTTTCGGCAAGGACATTATATCCGATTTCCGGATCTGCCCCGGCAGGCCAACACCTGGCATCGGTGGAAATTTTCTTACCTCAGCAAGGGGGCAAAAGCTTGGCCTTTCCCAAGCGCCAGGTTCTTATCCAATGAAGAAGTAGGTGATGATGCAATAACGCCTCAAGTCAATTGAGGTAGAAGTGGAGGATTTCCGCCCTACTATAGGTCAGACAGGAAAAAAAGATTTACGAGCTTCCGAGGCATGTTAGGTATATATATTTAACCCAGTACATTATTAATCCAGTAGCTATTTTTCTATGTAATAGACATACTTACCTATAGTATAACTAACTATGTATAAAATACTAGGTAGATATGAAATTTTCGAAGCTATATTCTCATGCCGCACGTCGTCTAGTTTGGGAGGATCATGACCCGGAATGACGAAATAGCAATTTACTCAGCCGTAACATAATGTGGACGCGTGAATTAAAGTCGGTGCATAAATAACTCGTCGACATGGCAGAGGCTAGATTCTAGAAAGGTTAGGAAGAGAGACGACACGGGGCTGTGTTAGTTGAGCCCCCTGATAGATGGTAGATAGTTCAGATTAACTATGTAGGTCTTGTTTCTCCTGCAGAATGCTGCCGGGTTGCCCGATTAGATGGGGCCGAACGCTTGTAGATACCCAACGCGGGGGTAGGATCGACAAATAGGAATATAACATATGCGAACGATACGTCAATTGTTAATACTATTCGATGAGAATAAGTATAAATATAAGTATTTAACTAGGTAAGGGTAAAATGAGAATATTAACTTTACTCTGTAAGTAAGGAGTTATAAAGATAGAGCAACAGTTCCACCTCGAGGACTCGTATTCCTCGACTCGATGAAGCTACGAGTTACATTATGGGGCTGGGGGGGTCTATTGACATTATGTCAGCAAAGGTGTCGGTGTAATTACATAATTACAAGGCCCCAACATCGTGTCAAGACTATGTTAACAGGTCGATATAATGTCTGCAAGGCTTGTTGTACCGATTCCATTACAGGTACTTACAAATCAGTACTAATCAACAGTATGTTAAGGTATTTATTATGTCAGAGATACTATCTATTTCGCCATAATTACCAGGCCTATTGACGATATCCAGGTAGTCAGTATATCCACCACGATGTCAGGAATTCAACACAATGTCAGGCCAGGACACAATGTCAGCCCCGGATATATACCCGGGTATAGTCAAATTAAATAAAGGCTTTATATACTGCAATAAAATAAATTTTAATCGTATTCGTAAACTTTGTAGTGTAATAGTAAAATGCGTAGCCTATAATCTCGTGATATTTCAACGTAATTTTTTCAATTGACTTTTATATATGCCTATGCCATATGCCTAGGTATATATATATCTTTAAGGTCCTGTAATTTGATATAAGGCCATTTATTCTTTTATTTTATTTTAATATATTACCTACCTGGGCTAACATCGTGTCTTGGCCTGACATAGTCTCGTACGTGACATATATCGATTAGGTGACCGTGACTACCCTTGGTGACAATATCTAAAAAGGCACTCTTTCCTAATATATCAGTATTTTGAAAGCAATACTATTACAAGAAGGTATAATCGTGTACGTAAGGTAGCTATTTCAGACCTGGTCATCCTTATATTTTGGATATCATTACCCCTAAGGGTGACCATATTAGATTTATTAGCCAATCACAGTAGTAACAGTCATTTGACAAGCGCATGGCCGACATTATGTCCACCCCTTATCATGATTGCTGACACCATGTCAATAGACCCCCCCAGCCCCATAATGTAGGTAACACTTTGTGCTGTCCCTTGTGCTGCTCGTGCTGCTTGCTGAGGTCATACACCTTTCCTTGATTACTGATTTAGGAGGATGATCCAGCTATTCGTCCCACAGTAAAGTATCCGCAATCGAGGCTTGGCGCATGGTTTCGTGCTGTTCTAAAAGCATATCGACCTAAGGCAGGTAATTGAGCCTGGAACATAATAATATATATGAAATTTGGTCATTGGGAGACGGGGAATTTAAATATGTGACAATTAGATGAAGTACTCGATATTTGGATATTATTGGTAGGCTTTTGTTGCATGTATTACTTTATCAGGGTCTTCTGCCCCTCTGCCCCTCCACCCCTCTATACTCATCAGGTAATATGTTATTAACATCAAGTAAAAACAACAAGTTGCAATTGTTTTTCTTTAGTTTCCTTGTGTTCGAGATCGGGACATGTTATGTTATATTAGTTAGTTATTATTATGAGAAATCATTATATCTGATTAATTTACATCTTCTTTATTAATCAGTTAAACTGGCAAGTTGAATTGGGTCTCTTAAGTGTAGATGCACATTAACTCTTAATAATGTGAAAAGACCAAGAAGGTGTAACTAGCAATATTTAATCATCCATCCTATGACGTGGGAAATTCAAGTTTTTGCGACAAGACAATTATAGTGCAAGTGCCATACACCGTACACCTGCCTACGTACTTCCCTACCAACGGGCAGGTAGGTACCTACATACCTGCTTCCCTCCCCGATAACTTTACTTATGTACCTACACACTGACCCTCCTAATCATTTGGCCTTTCAAACTTCTAACCTCGTAATAATAAATCTCAACCTACCTACCTGAGTCTGGAAGGAAGAAGAGAGCAGAAGAAAAAATAGAAGAAAAAAAACATCTTCGTTTTGCTACTATTCTCTTTTACTCTTCCTATCTATTTAATTGCACCTAGCAGTTATTATGCTGTCGTAATTCGTTCTTGTCGCGCACAATTTTTATCGCTTTACCTTTCTTGATAACAACCTCATCATCAAAGATCGTCAAGGATCTATCAAGTACAAAGTTAAAGTATTGATAATTTTTGCGCATCATACAAAAAGACTAAGAGGAAGTACGGCCGCATTCCTATTTGTATATCGCGTCGTATCGCATCTATCCTATCAACAGCATTATATCAACTTGCATCGCCTCACACCGAATCGCATTGTTTTGCATCCTTATTAATTCATCCTCTTCTTCCCCATCTTTTGTCTCTGTCTGCAAATGCGACCCGCGACCGCGCCACCTCGACCTCGACCTTGACCTTGACCTTGACCTCGATCTCCTCTACTCAACCCACCACCACCGTTTTTAGCAAAGCAACAACATTTGCACTTTTCTCTAAACGCGCAACTCAATTCTCATCTGATAGCTTAACTAGCCACATAAACGCGACTTTTGTTTACCGGGCTTCCGCCAAGTGTAACCCATACCTCAATTTGCGACTGTGCGCTCCTCACATTTCCCCCCGAAACAATGAACGGTGCCAAGGACGCGACAGCAGACACTTCCACTGCTTACTCTTCGACGACACAAGGATCGACATCTCCTTCGAGTACAATCCCAATGATGGCCGGTGCGAACGGTAACGGTACAAATTCTACAACCATAACAACAAACATCGCAAGCCCAACACTCCTCAACAAGAAGAGAAAGAAGGACGGCTTGAAACCCATTATCACTACAGAAGGACCAGCACCAGGGTAAGATTATACTGTTATTTTTGGAATTATCTCCGCGACTTTGGCCGAGTCACCTTTTTTTCTTTTTCTTTTTTGATTTTAATTTCTTTTCTTTTTGCTTTGCCTTTCCCCCTCCCCCTACCTACTGCATATGCACATCACCTTATAGCGCACAGCACAATTCATTGTTTTGTTGCACGAGGTTGTGGATAGAGATGTAGGTACTTGACATCTTGCAGCCCATACCAGTGTAAGCCAAGCAAGCAAGCAATAAACCAGGTATCATGAGAGAGATCCCAAGATATCCAACGGAAATCCCCCCCAGGATGGATGGAATTTAGACCACGAGCAAAGAAACCAATACAGGAAAATACAGGACAAATCACAAACCTTACGCGATGGCAGCGGCAACAACAGAAACAAGCTTCTTCCACATATCGGGACAATGATACCTGAATTGTCTTCTCTTATCGGTCATATGCCATCCCATATTGACCCATATTGACCCATGCTGGCCCGGGTATCTGCATACATAACACAGACGGCACACGCACCCGCACACATCCTATCTCAAGGTGTTGTGCTATACCAGGCCAGATTTATAACAGCAACAACAAATCAGTATGCTATTAAGGTATATAAACAGTACTTATATATCTATCATCTGCTCCTTTATGGCGGGGCTGAGCCGAGCCGACCGTCAGTTGGAGTTGCACCATCCAATCCCTCTTCCCCATCTATCATCCATTCCCCCCCTTTGGCCCGCCCCTCGGCCCCCCTGAAAAGGGTCAAGCGCTATTCCAACTGCGGAGCGTCGTTAATGGAGGGGCTTCCCTGTACGGGTCCCAGCCCTGTTAGGATCGGGACTCGACCGAAAAGAAGCTCCAAAGTTCCCAAGTGCTTTGAACGTTTAGCGCCCACAGCTTCTTTCTCACCGTGCAAACCTGGTCATCCTCTCCATAATCAGAGCCGATCTATTAAATAACCACATTCCGTCACGCCTCTACATACTCGCATATTCGCATACTCACATACGGTCCATCCACCGGGTCAACTCGACTCGACTTGACCGGGGGGACTGACTGGAACCACGAAGGGGGAGAGAGGGGTGATTTGATTATTACCATCTATCTTTCTCAACACGCAAGCGCACTACTTGACGAAGACTACTACACATCTTTTGATTTACCTCACCTCTATCCTCACTCTACCTATACTCTATCTTCGGTTGAGTTGTGTGTTGTGTGTTGTGTGTAGTGCGACGCGGTGCTATCCAGCGCTGTGATGCGCCGTGGTGCGATTTATCACGCATTCACCCAATTCTCTCAACTCACCTGAACTCCTCTTGTCCTACATAATTTTTGACGAGCTTGGTGGTTCATTTTATTCATATTTTCCTCCCTTTTAGCGCTTGTTGATTCCAAATTCATCTGCATCGTCTATCAATTTTCTTGGCATTTTTCTTATATGCTTTTCGAAGTCACTTGAGAATTTATCTTATTACCTATTCTCTCTTGCTCCTGGCTGTCAAATACATCCTCCTTTCGCCTATAAAACCGCGCGACATTGGACACTATGGCTACCATGAAAAAAAGGTTACTGTTTACCATCTACTACTATTACTACTAACTGTGGCTTGGAACCCCCCTTCGACTTCACTACATCTTCCTCTCGCACACCCCCACCGCCACTATCAAAGTTATGGCAACTGGGTCGGGTCTACCCAGTCTACCCAGTCTGGGCGAGGTATCTTGATGGAATTTTTACCCAAACCCGCCTTTTCATTGGTACTTCTAGTTTCGGGCCGCCAGGGTACCGCTCACATAGCCAAACAACCAGGGTCAATGAGCCTGCAGCCCGCCGCCACATTGCCAACCTCACTCTTCCCGAGCTTGCTTGCGCTGGCTATACTTTACTTTTCATTGTTGCTACTACAAACTTTATATTTTAAATCGCGCTGTTACCCCTGATATATCTTTTTAACATTTTCTTTCTTTTTTGGATGATTAGCTACTAACATTACTTAAAATAGACCGCCGCACCTATCTAATATGAATCAAAATTCCCCCACGTCGTCATCCGGTCCAGAAGACGCTGCCGAAAACACTGCGGACGAGGAGGATTCTGAAGATTATTGCAAAGGTGGATATCACCCTGTCCAAATTGGCGAGAAATTCAAGGATGGAAAATATACGGTTGTGCGAAAACTAGGATGGGGCCATTTTTCGACCGTCTGGCTCTCTCGAGACAACACGAATGGCAAGCATGTCGCATTAAAGGTCGTGCGATCCGCTAGTCACTACACGGAAACCGCCATCGATGAAATTAAGTTGCTCCAGAGAATCGTACAAGCGAATCCTAACCACCCAGGCCGAAAGTACGTTGTCAGCCTACTTGACTCGTTCGAACACAAGGGACCGAATGGAGTGCATGTATGCATGGTGTTCGAGGTTCTTGGGGAAAATCTTCTAGGATTGATCAAGAAGTGGCAACATAGGGGCATTCCTCGAGATCTTGTCATGCAAATCACAAAGCAGGTGTTAATGGGCCTGGACTACCTGCATAGAGAATGCGGCATCATTCATACAGATCTCAAACCCGAAAACGTTCTGATAGAGATAGGCGACGTCGAGCAGGTGGTAAAGAAGGTGGTGAAGAACGAGAATTCAGACAAGGAGAATAACAGGAACGGAAGACGAAGAAGACGAACATTGATCACTGGCAGCCAGCCGTTACCGTCACCTCTGAACGCGAACTTTAATCGCGACAATCTATTCCCATCGACTAAATCCCACAGCAGCCTCAATGCTATGTTACACGATGGTATGTACCTACATAAGCTTCTATTATCTATCTTTCTTGCGCCCATAGGGGTCATCTTATTATGCCGCTTGTCATGCCACTACCCTCCCCGCATGAGCGATATTCGGACCCCGCCAAATTTGCAATCTCTTCTATTATATCTCTCTTTATACTTTGATATAGTATGCTGACAGGCTTTTCTATTTTTAGCAGCAACGCCAAGTTCATCTACCAGCGATAAGCAGGGACAGAGGGAAAAGACAGCGTGAGTTTGTCCCATAAATTTATTGTCGTAGTAGCTTACTAAATGCGCGTCACTCTATAGTGAACTCCTTACCAAAGAAGTATCTGGTATTTCTCTTGATAAGTCCGCTACTGGCAGCACTGCGTCTACCAGCGAGAAGAAAAAGAGAAAGCGAAAGGGGCCAATTATTAACGTCAAGATTGCGGATTTGGGAAATGCTTGTTGGGTCTCTCACCACTTCACAAACGACATCCAGACAAGACAATATCGATCGCCAGAGGTTATTTTGGGCGCGAAATGGGGTGCGAGCACCGATGTTTGGAGTATGGCCGCAATGGTAAGTTGCCCCTTCTCCACCTATCACACTTGTCTTCTTGGTTTTACAAGGGGGAAAAGGTCTAGGAGCTAATTAGTGTTTATTTAGGTATTCGAACTAATCACTGGCGATTACCTTTTCGATCCCCAGTCAGGAACCAAGTATGGCAAAGACGACGACCATATCGCACAGATTATCGAGCTTCTTGGCCCCTTCCCTAAGGAACTATGGAAGACTGGTCGCTGGTCCCAAGAGATCTTCAATAAGCGAGGAGAACTGCGTAATATCCATCGCTTGCGGCATTGGGCGCTACCTGACGTCCTACGTGAGAAGTACCACTTTAAGGACTATAAGGATCTGCCACCGAAGGAGCGGGAAGAGAAGGAGAAGGCTCGGAGGGAACGAGCCGAGGCCAAGGTCAAGGCTAAGATGGAAGCAAGGAAAAACGGTGAGGATGAGGACGCTGTAGAGGACCTCTTCCCGGACGATGAACCCACCCTCGAGTACCAGCCTTCTGAGGTATCTGAATTCCTCCTACCGATGCTCGAGCTACTACCGGAAAAGCGTGCGAATGCTGGCGGCATGTCGAATCATCCGTGGTTAGATGACACGCCGGGTATGGAGGACATAAAAATAGAAGGACTCATACCTGGAGGCAAAGGCGAGGGTATTGAAGGCTGGGCCTGCGAGGTGAAGAAGCGGTAGAGTTTCTGGTTACATGTCGCTTGCTCTCGGTAATGGTTATAATGATTCTCGGGGTTCGTCCATAGCGCTACTCGTAGGAGAAAGACATGATCAGTCCTTCCTTTTTTATCGAGGAAAGAGAAAGAAAGAATCCAGCATAGAAACGGGCTTCGATCCAATGATTTACGATTCCGCTTGCGGGAGCAGAGGAGAGAAGAGAAGCAAAGAGAATTTGTAAAAAAAAAAAACGAGGGCAATAAAGTTCTAGGAGTAATGTGTTCGTTATAGTAGAACCCGGAACGTTTTCCCTTTTTTAGGGTCTTCTTTTCCCGACACCCTTTAACTGGTTGCTTTTTTTCTATATTAGAACCATATTACTGTAAGTAATGAATGTAACAAGTCGATGGATTTGAGAGGATAAATGCACATGTCAACGTAGAATGTTATATCCAATATCTTGTACTCTAGAGAAAATATTCAAAGTAGCACAGCTAGGTCTGCTTATCGACAAATATCCAAGCTTATAGAGCTGCAATATCATTTTACGCCTACGTGTCCGCGTTGGCGTCTCCGTCCCCTAAATAGGAAGCGAGCAACTTATTACTTGTCGATGAAGAGATTTAGGTATTTACTTTAGCAAAATCTGAAGTTGAGTAGTTTATAGACTTATATCTTTAACCCTTGGAATTATATAGACCTACCTACCTAAGGTACCTTACCTAGGTAATCAGTTGAAACTACATACTAATAACAAAATAGTATATGATAATTATCTCCCCTACGTCACATCACCTGGATAATTACCTGTACTTGATACTTGTTTTTCGGTACCAAGATAAGTACATACATAGTAGCTGTAGTCATGCTTAGTATAAGGTGGGTAGGTATATTAACGACAATGATGAGCAACAACAAATAGCAAGAGAACGAATTAAGGGCGAGCCAAGTCCGGTTTAAATCCGCAAACGAATGTCAGTCACACGCGGATAATTCGTATTAAGAGATGTCCAATAAGTCAGAAATGACCCAACTTGCATATGTATATCATGAACACGGCAATATTCGACGAGAACAAAGGTAGAACAGAGTTTATCCATCAAGCTCAGTATGTGTTAACTCCATAAAACACTGTAATACCACACCCGGGTTAGGCTATCTAATAGTCTTAAACCTGTATGTCTTTTTTACTAAGATAGAAGCCTACCTAAGCTATCTGTTATCAAAGCATAGTAGAACACGTAGGGGTTACTTTGGCGTGCTGAGATGAAGAGACGTGTAAACCTAAACTCCAAGTACATGCACACATAATAGCATGCAAGAACCTCCGCCCGGCATAATTCCAATTTGACAAATTCTAGGAGGATTATATAGCTATAAACCTTAGCCCTTCTTCTTCCCTTTCTGAGTCATCTTGCGGAACGCTTCAATTCCGCTGGCACCGATTGGTCGATAGTCTGGGGCGCGTGTGGGATCAAAAGTACTACGCGGGGCGATTGTATACGTCGAGGGAAGACCCATAACCCGCGCACGACTAACATCTCTTGCAGGAGCCAGCATGCGTGCGCGCTCCTCTTCCGCAAGGCTTTGTGTAGTGTGGCGCTGGTTAAGCGTCAACTGACTACTCGTGGCGACCTGTCGAAGCTTCGCCGCTCTATTTAGAGTGTTAGCAAGAAATCATTTAGGAGAAGACGGGAAATAGATTAGACGTACTGGTAATCAAAGTCTCGCGTCTCGATATGACGCTTCTTGTAGTCGTCAGTACGCTTGAGAATAGGTCTACTCCACTCGCCCAGTAGACGCTCAGCCATTCGCTTAATACTAATCTCAGGCTTCTTGCTCTTCGTATAGAACAGGACAACTTTGCCGATGCCACTTGATCGCAGAGTCTCTTTCTCAATAGGGAGCCGCGTTAGGGCTTGGAAGATATCGCGCTGAATATTGTAGGCAGGTAATGAACCGTCGTTAAGGGGTTCGAGGAAGAATTTTACGTGTTGTAGGAAGTTGGTATCCGGGTCGACAACCGCTGCTTGATTGGTGTTACGATTAAGCAGCGCCATCACCTCGGGGAGAAGCTTCAACTTGTGTAGAGCTGGTTGGCCTGCTTCACGCGCTTGGTTGTCTGCCTGGCAGGCATTCTCCATGCGAACTTTAAGGTCCGCGATTCGCTCATCCAACTCATCTTCCAAATCCTAGAGATATAGATATTAGCAAATACAACAATAAACCAAACTGTCCTTCCGTAACACATACAACTTCATCCTTCTTCTTTCGTCTGACACCCTTTGGCTTCGATTGATTTCTGGCGGCGCGCTCGATAGCTCGACGCCTTCTCTCTTCGGGAGTTAGATTCTCTTCATTTTCATGCTCCGATTCCTGCTCCGGAACATCTGCTCCAGGGATCTTGCGGACACGTTTAGTATGTAGAATCTCGCCATCTGCTCCGTCATTATCATCGTCGCGTGATCGCTTCTTCGCGCGCCTTCCTTCTTTAGGTTTCTTCGTAGCTGTTCCCTTTCGCTTTCCAGCCTTTAGCGTACGTGCCGCGTCTTCGTCGATAACCTGGGGTTCAGGTCGTTTCTCGTCAACACGAGCGGTAGCGGGGTCATAGTCGTCGAATTGATCTTCGTCGATGTCGGATAGGGCGTCTGAATCTTTATCTGAGTCGCCAGCACGGGCAATGTCATAGTCTCCTGATCCTTCATGAGTCTCGTCGTTCTCTTCCTCGTGGAGGCTCTCGGCAGGCGAACCCGCATCAGACATTTCGACTAAGATAGTGGGGAAAAGAAAGTCGAAGTCGGTAAAGAATTTCAAGGTTGGAAAACAGGAGTGAAGGAGATGAAAAGTTGCGAAGGCTGTGATGGACTTTTGTCGACTAGCTGAGATCTAATTGTTTGTAGAAGAAGCAAGAAAAAGAAGGTACAAATGGAGAGAACTCTTTATAATCGGACGAATTAAAATAGAATATAAAAAAGAGGCGATTCATAAATTCTTCAATAGAAGTTATCAACACGTAAGTGACGAATTGATGAAGTTGTCGGAAAGGTTAAAAGTCGAAGCAGCAATTGTTTAATTCAAAAAAGTATTAGAAACAGCAAACAGATTTAGGTACAAAAAGGTAAGAGGCACGCTACGAGGTTCCTTCTTAGGTACACATGTACATATCTAACTGTGTGGTCCATGCATGGATTACATAAAGTAGATACATCATACATGTACTTACATGCTACTAAGGTACACAGTATTAAAAATTGAACCGTTCAAAGTTGCTAATTAACATAACTAGCGCATATTGAAATGGTCATTAATTTTTTTTTGTTTACTTTATCGCTAATCGTTGCCAACAGAAACTACCGATTCTCATCAGCCTCAAAAAAAGGGATCTACATACGAATCAACGACTGCATTGAAGGTTTCCTAAGAAATTCCTAATTGACTACCTAGTACTTAAGCTTTCCTTTTAATACTACATTATTTTTCCCTTCGGACAACTACAGCGTCGTATCTTTTTTTTTTTGTCAATATTTACTCGACCGAGGCCGAATGGACCGGCGAACCTATGAATCTCCCATGGACTGGGAGTACCAGAACAATGCTCCTGTAGACCCGACAAGTCCGTTTGTACAGTCCGTTAAAAGACTACAACCTAAAAGTATGTTGATCATGCACTATAACCTCAGCCTTAGCTTCAGCTTCGCTCCCAACGATAGAAATAGCTATGGCAACAATCGCCTAGAAGTATCGCAAGCAAGCAGTCAAAGCTAATGTTTCGTGATTGTTCTAGCTTCTATCTTCGGCTCTTCGAGTCTCATCAACAACAAAAACAACTCTCAGAACGCCTTCGGTCAGAATCCGTTTGAACGCACGCAAAGCACCCCATCTTCCCAAAAAGCGCCACCTCTCACGTCTCATCCACCGTCCATCTTCCCTACATCTACATCTGCTCTCCAAAGAACAGCTACCGCGCCGCCCTTTCGAAATCCTGCCTTTACAACACCAAGGAAACCCATCGATTCTGATGCGCTATCCGAGATCTCGCCTGCCGAATCCAGTCCTGCCGTTACTGACGTCTCTGACTATCCCGACACCCCCGAGTATGAACGTTCATCTAACCTTGGGCATATGACTATTACACCTGCAAATATGAATAAATTCAGAACGCTTTCACCAAAAAAGACATCCGGTAGAGGTGAAATAGCTAGGACTATATTTGCTTCACGAGATAAGGTGCGCAAAAGGAAGCGGTACAATGCCGATAGAGATGTCAGCGGATATCGTCTACCTTATCTCCAGCAGGATGAATGCGAAGAATCCGATTATGAGTCAGATGAAAGCACGTTCCAGCCGAGCAAATCTCGTAAGGATCAAATAAACCGCAGCAAGGATGGGTGGTTCGGCGCTTTTCTAGCCACTGTTCAGAGACATCCATATGCCCCAAGCATTCTTGGCTATTGGCTGACTTTCGCATTCAACCTATTCTGCGTATCGGCCACATGTTGGGTTGGCTGGGCCGTCATCGACGGTCTGCGCCAGGACTTCTCTACCGAGAGACAAGCGCTAAGGGCTGATATTCTTGCCGAGATTGATAAGTGCTCAAGCGATTATCGGGAGAACAAATGCTTTCCGGTAGAGAAACGGTTACCAGCCATGTATGAACTATGTGACCAATGGTTCGCCTGCATGAATCAAAACCCGGATAACGTCAAGCAGGTATCAAGCAGTGCTAAGGAGATGGCCAAAATTCTCAACGAGATTGTTGAGACGATGTCCTACAAAACTATAGTAAGCTTATCCTATATAAGATATAGAGATGATGGACACAGCCGGCTAATTTGAAATCAGGCCTTGTTGCTTGTTTTGTTCACGATATTCGCATACAGCGGCAGGTCGCTATATAGGAGTGCTAACGCATTCACGGATATTCCCCCATCTCATCCACCAGCCCCGTTCCCATCGCATCAAGCAGGTGATCAACACCTAAGACCTCTCTCCCAGCAAGTATACTGGCAGGCAATACAACCTCAAACACCACGACACACGAGTAATCGACACATCTTAGTCAACGATGAGACTCCCGACACGGATGAGGTACCGAGATACGGGCTTCCACCCCCTGAGACACCTATGTCACGTCGGAGTCCATCTAAAGGCGAGCGAGGTAGAAGCCCTACCAAGAGTAGAAGTCCAGTTAAGCGATATTGAGGCCAAGTAGAGAGTAATGTGTACTATAGTAATAGAATGCTCGAACTCGACCATGAGCAGTTATCAAGTTAACAAGAACTACTAAAAAGTCAATCGAACAGGGGGGATAGTAGCCGGGCCATAGCGGGTTCAGAGGACTTATAGATAAATGGATCCGTGAAGTGTTCAAGCGAAATTCGAAACCAACTATCTAATACCTGACGGACCTCCTTGTAATCTGTATATTATATTCCCTTGGAGATACGCTTTTGGGAGGTTACCTAATATACCAATGCTATCATCCTAGACATGATTGCTCACCCCCTACTGATAAGAATAAGATATGAATTGAGTATCTACGCTTAGTGATTGAAACGAAACACAGTTATTAGACACGAGGAGTTGATCATTTTAATAGTAAAAAGGAAAGTATTGTTACCTAGTGTATAATAACAACTACCTGGTTAAACCCAACCCCTTCCCAAGAAAGGCGCTCTTCCGAGTAATCACAGCTTAACTGTTAGAGAATAAACAAGCACTACCCCTAGAGGACTATGTCAGTCTAACAAGAGGATTTATATTGCGAGATATACATGGATATTTCACTGTAGTCAATTATGAATCATCACCGCGGTTCAAGATAGACGATCGTCGGTTCTGAAGAAGATTTCGGTATATACCTATTTGGATGGTATAAAATAGCAGGTTGACTACATCAGAGATCACCTTAGAATACGATGTGCGTTTTTTTATAAATAATAGCGATCAAGTACCTAGGTAGGTAGTTATGCCAAATTGATAATATCATTAAACTGCTACTAGGTACTTAAAAGTTGCGTGACTTGCTTTTTCGAGACTTGGAATCTTTATCCGCATAAGTAGACACATATGTACCATAGTTCTAGAGACTTTTAAAGTTATTATGACTTATGTTCCCATGGACTTCTATCAACGTGCTATTGCTAAGAGGAATCTAGATGGAACTATCTTATGTATTGTTAAGGGGCATAGGAATTCTCTTACCATCCAGGCGAAGTCTCTCTTTAGTTTAATATTTGGCCGGCGCCTGTTTTATATGTGAATAGATAGATAGGCAATCTACGATTGGTTCATCCCGACGCCCCTGTAATTATGTAGAAAATTGCTGGGTTAAGCAATGATTGGTTAGAAGCCCATAATTGCAAATGTGGTAGGTCCCTGTAATAACTAACCGCCTAAGAAGATTCTGGGGATCTAAACATTAGACGAATTTCCTACGAAACTATGACGTATTTACGAATTGTATTGGATTGTTGGATATGATACTTAATATTTTTATTAAGCTGTAACCTAGGTATATATATAGACTTACACGGGGATGACATGATGTACGATTTACCGTCAGGATACTTTCGCAGATCATACAACTTAAGGTGCCTATGTACCTGAGGTATAGGAGGCGGCTGAAAGCCACCTCACTGCCTCTTTACACAGGTAATTTTCACATCTGATAATTCTTAATGGGATTTTAAGAACGGGAGCATTTGTTCCCTAAGTCCCACATCATAGCATCATACTAAACTTATTCCGGCTTTCTAACCACGAGTAAGTCGACATCGAACCCCACTTGATACTACCTAACATCTGTTATGTACAATATAAGTCCCTTGTTCTCGGTTAGGTGCCCCTCGTAGCTTGTAAGTACTTTGATAGTACGAACTTCTTAGCTACATGTAGTTACCAACTGTGAGATGAGATTCGCTCATCTAAACAGGTAACTATTATAAAGCATAGTACTTAATATTGGTACATGTGTATAGACTTAACTGCATTACGTAGGAGGTACATATTTATCTAACTTTAGGTAGGTTAGTTAGAAAGGCGTCAAAATAATTAGCACACTTAAACATATGGGAATTTCAGAATCCCTTTACTATTTTTTCCCCGCTCTTCCGTTTATGTTCATGTTTAAGTACCCGCTTATGGTCTGTTTTATCTAAGGTCGGTGCTATTAGAACTATATAATTAGCAGAAATGTAAAACGTACCTAATATTGGAAGCATGCACCAGGCTTTCTACATATTACACAACATACATGTAGCTATTGAGATCCGTGATGTACTAGCATTGTACTTCATACATGTAGGTATGTATTAGGTACCTTAGGTACTTGATTGGTAGGTAGGTTATGTATGCAAAGATGAAGCCTGGGCAAGTGCTACTACCTTAGCTACCACCTTAGCTACTACCTTAGCAGTAGCTAACTCCTATGTATGCAGACAAACTAGCGCGAAAGCTGTCATCCTTGAAATCCCAAACTTAATTCTGAACAATTCAATGCCTTTTTCCTTTACATATACAAATACATACAACAGTACATATATGGATAGATATTATTTTCATGCATCTATTCTATTCGATCGAATACGGAGCATTTGTATAGTGCGATAATGCAATATTAAACTTGCCTTTCTCCTGCTTATCCAAAGTCATACTGCCCCGCGCGTTTCCCACGTTCGTTCGTATATTGGTTTGGATATTGTGAGAGAATCTCTTCGGATCGCACTCGTCGCTATATCTCACTTCACTACCTCACTTCCTCACTTCCTCACTTAATCTAGTGCTCTAGTCCAAGTACGCCTTCTCCCGAGGTAGGTCGCACGCACGCGCGACGCGCCTCTTGAAATTATCCATCCTTGTCCTCCGGCTGGCAGGAGGTGTGTTTACTCGTGTATCCCCCATCTCTCTCATCTGAGCATGCCCTCCTGCTAGCCTTGAACCCGCTACGATGGAGGGGGATCCAGGTAGCGGACCATCCACCGGCCAGACGTCTTCTTCGTCCAAACCTACCCCCAAACATGAAGCTTCTGTACCCTCTGGCGCTTCCGGAACTGGCAGTACTCCGAATGCGCAGCTGTCTAAACGGAGGAGGGGTCTCGGCGTTGTCACACCTAATGCCTGTACCGAGTGCCGGAAAAAGCGGGCTAAGTGCGACGGCCAAAAGCCATGCGGTCGATGCAAATCGCAGAAGGATGTCGAATGCATATACGAGATTCCCGTGCGACAATCCAAGGAAAATCTACGCCACGAGATCGAATCACTGCGACGTCAACAGCGCCAAAGCGATTCGGTCTTCTCCGCTCTCGTCCGCCCTGATTTAGTCGAGGAGGTCTTACAGAGACTGCGGCAGGGGCAGTCTGTCGAAGGGATATCGGAATGGTTAGGTGGTGGTACTGCCTTAGCTTCTGCTGGGCCTGGGTTCGCACGGCCAGGGGAAACTAGGGGCGGAGGTACTCTACCTCCTCTTTCAACTTATGGCGGTACGCTTGCCGGCCCCGGAGGTTATAATGCCATAGGAATGAGCCCTGCGACGGGCCAAGCGCACACTATGAGCCAGGATTTCGATCAAAATAGCCCTTGGAACTTCTCATCGCACAGTCAGACCGTGTCCACCCGTAGCGACTCTCATCCTGATATCATGCAGTGGAACTCTGAGGCGCCCCCGCGGTCCCGTGTGGGGACCTGGCTCCAAGAGCAGTCATCGACGGCGGAAGGACCCCGATATCGTGGAGTAGACCAAATTCTTGCGCCATTAGATTCTCCCGAAGTGAAAGTTCCACCTGGCACGTGGACCACAGTCACCGGAGACAATGGCTTAGTATCGCATCTTTTGGCGCTCTATTTCTGCTGGGAATACCCGACGTTTGCGTCTCTAAGCAAGGAGCATTTCATGAAAGACTTTATTAGTGGAAGGGACCGATATTGCTCGTCGATACTAGTGAACGCATTGCTAGCTCTCGGCTGTCGCTTCTCGACGCAACCGAATACGCGGGCAAATCCGAACGACCCGCGCACCGCGGGCGACCACTTCTTCAAAGAGTCTCTGAGACTTTTTTATCGGGAAAACGACCATCATACTTTGACTACTATTCAGGCGTTAGGGATAATGTCTATTCGGGAGGCGAGTTGCGGGAGAGATTCGGAATCCTGGTATTATGCGGGACAAAGCATACGGTTAGCCATCGAAATGGGACTCCACCGCTTACAGAACGATGGCGACGAGGATGAGATCGCCGTACAGGCCGCGACGTTTTGGGGTGCGTTTGCCTTAGACCAGTAAGCGTATCACCGATTGTCTCCAGTGCTCCAGCTAACATATATAAAGTGCATGGTCCCTAGCGACCGGTTCTCTGCCGCAATGTTCTTGCTTTCCGCATTTGCCACCAAAGCCTGGCATTATTGATGATATAGAAGCCTCTCTGTGGGTCCCTTATACGGACGATGGTAAGTCAAATGAACAGATACTTTTGCCAGGCTTTTTTCGCGGCATAGGCGGTATCGTGCGTAGTCTAACCAATTGTATAGGCGCCCCCCTGCAGCGATCTTGCGAGCAGCCTTCGAATGTAAGGTCTGTTTATACATGCTTCTGCGAGCTTAGTGAGCTTGTTCATCAGTCGCTATATGTATTACACTCTCCTGGCAAACCGATTACAAGCAGAGACCTGCTCAGCATTTATACGCAATACTTGAATTGGTATGATAGGATTCCCGAGGTTTTACGATTAGGGCATAACTTTACGCCTGCGGTCCTTTTCGCCCAGTAAGTCTTTCTATGCGCTTATACTATCCAATTTAGCTCATCAGTCTATTAGTATGTACTATCACTTCGCCATTTTGCTTCTTTTTCGGCCTTTGATCAAGCTACGAATTATTGGTTCAGGCATACTTCCTCGCGATGTCTGTGCTCAAGCCGCTGATGCCATCCAAGGCCTACTTCGTTCATACTCCCAACTCTATACACTTCGCCGTACACCGTCATTTGTGCCATACTTTGTACTTACATCCTCTATCATGCATCTTGCTGTAGGTGCCGAGGCATCTAAGGCACCGTCCACCTCTCCAGCGGAAATGTCGAACCCTTCGACAGTGAAACCTGAAGAGACCGAGACCGAGCATGGTCGTAGGCGATTGTCTTCTAGCAACAGAGATGAACTAGAACCGATCTCGCCTTCGAGCACGATCACTGCAAAATTGAGCCCCAGGGTAGCTGAAGCTCTAAACCAAGGCATAGCACACTTAACTGAGATGGCACCATGTCATCATTTCGCTCATCAAGCACTAAACATTTTACAATTCCTTGCGAAAAAGTGGGGGATTGAGGTGAATATACCGCCCAGTACGGGTGTATCAGAAGAAATTGATAACTCGGTTCGACCGACGACTAGCAGCCTAAATTTCTTTGCACCCAACGTCAGCGAAGACGACTTCCTTTGTTCTTGGAACACGCGAGATATTGGCGGTCCTGGGGGCGCACAAGGAAGGCACGGTTCACCCACACCGCAAACACATTTCAATCGTGGGGAGAAAATGGAGGGCATCATAGAGGATAGTCAAGATAAGGGGGCGTCCGAACAAGATCAAATCCCCAGTTTTCGACCTAGGGGCGCCACTGGTCCGGTGGCGCATACCACTAAAAACCTAGAGAATCCATTGTTTTGGCCATTTCCTATGCAGGGTCGTCCAATGCTACCAGAGGGTAAACAGCTCGAAGATGCCGGATTTCGCCCTCTGTAGGTAGCTTGGCAGGGGAGATCTAATGCGAGCTAGAAGCTATTAGAAACATAAATGAGCTTATGGGCTAGCTATATCACTTCAACTTACATCGCCGACCTCCAGGGTAAGAGTTTGCGATAGATACACTTGATATTACCAACATTAGGACATCGAGCCCTAGGTCTATAGGTATGCCAACCTAGAGACAGCGGCATTCAAGCCTTACTAAATATGAAAATATAGTATATGCTAAGTGAGACACCGTCGACAGCTGAGCGAAGGAAAAGAGGAAATTTCGCGGTACGATAAAGGCTTTAGGATTTGACGTGACAGGGTTGGTAAAAGTTTTATGATAATGACGATGATGGAAAAGGTTTAAGATGCAAGTAGATGATACCCCCGACATACGAACGCGCTTGTCTTAAACCTAGCCCTAGGAAATGAGCTCGTAGCTCTGGAACCCCTCTCTGGATTGTGTTTAGATAGGTGACGACGAATTGGTTATTGAGGTATATATATAAAAAAGGCGTTAATCGAAAATTATATCGTAAACCTCTATCTTAGCTATTTGGCTTGGACAGAGTATACACATAGTAGACGGCCAGACGCCAAGCATCACTACTCAAACCCCCTTTGCTCATGTGAAAACTCGAATTGAAATGCTTAACGCCGACTCCTGCTCTTCCTACCTAAGATATGATCATTCCCTATGTTCAAATCGCCGAAATCCGCGACAGAATCCGCCGTGGCCTATAATTAATACTCGGTGATCTATTCGTGATAATGACCTCTTATGGAATATGGACAGTTTCAACTTTAGCAATTGCCGTGCAGCAAGCCTTTTGATCATATGAAGGAAATATCGCTGCCTGAATCAGGTTGCTATACCGATTGCAAGTTAAGAATATCATTTTTTGTCAATTGGCCAATTAAGAATCTTCAAATAGTAGATCTAGAAAACATTTATCGACCGGGATATGGAACTCGGTTCAGGGGGCCACGACTGTATCATGTAGATTCGATCTAGCTGAGTAATTGAAAATAATTATGTCAAAATTATGGGATGGGATTAGGTCTTTATCAAGTTTGAGACTATTCTCAGTGTCAATAATTCGGGTGCCTATTTATCGTTAGATCCCACAGACCCCAACTTCGGCTTCTCAGCTGACTGACTATATTGGTTTCTGGGCAGCTGGGTTATAATAATTACTATGTAGGAATAGAATTCAACTTTTTAAAGAGCCGCGAGATGGGCTCGGGTGAAAGAATAAGAGGGTTTCAACCCGCTAGAAACGGGAGTCTAGATGAGCGAACCCATGTTCCATTTTTCCTCCGCTCGGACATAGTCTAACGGGGTCTCCAGGCCGTGTCCGCTACCGCATGACGCCTATATGTATGCTCAGTTATGCGTTGTTTAGTCTAATATCTGATATATTCGAGACTCGGGGAACTCGGGAGGTTTCAAGACATTATGGAATTACTACTACGAATTTAGTAACACCCACGAGACGTTATATTACCTATAGTTCAACGATTAGTCCTAATCTTTTTTGTACCGTCAGTAGAATCAAAAGTCCGGGTTTATTTCGATGCCTAGGATGGATTGGATCTTCACTGCCCAGTCCTTGGGATGGACTTTATCAGCCAATCGCAACTAATAAACCCTGGTTAAGATGATCTCACCAAGTCCCATCAGATCTTAATACAGCTTTACGATTGGCTAAAATATCTTTAATGCGGCTGGCCAAGAATACTTCGCGCCGGTTACCCAATAGAGTAAATGCTTAAGAGGCTTCGTCGCAGGTAGTTTTGATGTTGTAAGATTTAGAACTTGAGGCTAAGGTCGATCCCTTTGCACTGAGCCATGCAAAAGATTTATGCATTGTTACTTGTTACGCCGTGTTCTAGATGATTACATAAATTAGAGGATCATTACCGCTTTCGTCGGATATGTTCTTGGACTGGGGCTTCTTTTATTCTTCGATCTGATACACACTATACATACACCTCCTATGCTGGTCAAACCTCCACCGATCCTATAATCTAGTGTAGATCTATATGAATTCTCAGCCCTATATTCCCTCATAGAGTAAAGTCTATTTCGTGGGAAGGTTTCCTACTCCTATGCTAAGAATGGCTAAGAATGGAATGGCGGGATTTATTAGAATCATGACATCCTAGCAAGGGTCATGTTCGACCCGCACCCGGTAACATGAGAGAGCACAGCTACATAGTTCACATCCTGATACAGAGTAGGTGATAGGTGATGCTTAGAATAACCCTTGATCACCATGAATAGAGCATGTGTCTTGATAGCTTTATTTAAACAATGCCGAAACATGCCTCAGGAAGTTGCCTCCTTAAAAGGCCTCGTCTGCCGATTATGGAATCTAAAATCACTAAAAACTTATCTTAGAAGTCATCTCATCAAGAGTACGCCTTTTCCTCCATACCATTCTTTCAGCTACGTACGGTTCTTTCAAGAAAAATGTCAAGCTCTCCTCCGGCAATAAGAGTTGCCATCATAGGCGGAGGGTTGGCTGGCGCCGCACTTTTGCGCGGGCTTTTGCGGTATCCTCACCTTACTGTTGACATGTACGAATCACGGCCTACGTTTAGAGATGAGGGGCCGGGGCTCGCTTTCACATCAAGAGTACAAAATATTCTAGCTGCTATCGATCCGGAGTTAGAATATTGCCTCGACCGTGCCGGTGCCGTACTTACCACAACTGAGACACGAGTGGCTGCTGGTCCTCATGTTGGAAAGGAGATAAAGATAAACGGCTTCGGGGAGAGCTGTAAGAAGAGTGTCAGCCGTCAATCTTTTCTAGCAGAGATGCTTGATTGTGTACCGCCGCATATGATGCACCCCGGCACGCGGATAGCATCCGTCACGGAACCGCCCTCAAGGCAAGGACTATTACTCACTTTTGCGGATGGATCAACAAAGAAATACGACATCGTAATCGGTGCGGACGGTACTCATGGCTTTACGCGACAGCTTGTTCTCGGTACCGACGAATCACTGGTTAAGCCGCATTCTACAGGGTTTTGGGGATTACCTATTAAAGTACCTCTTCAGAGGGCACAGCAGCTAATGGGCACGCAGTCTCTTGACCCAAGAAACCCCCGTCATGTAGGTTGGATTGGAGATGGAACTACTATCATCTATGATTTGCTTGATAATGGCAACGAAGTCCAGATCGTTGTGTTCGGTAAAGCGGATGACGTTGGGGAGGAAGATGGGCTTTCAGAACCGTCATGGGCAAAGCTGTTCACCCCTGACGAGTTTCGGGAGGCCTTCTCAAGCAATCGAGTACCAGTCTGTCAGGGCACGATCGATGTAAGTGGAGTTTATCCCGTAAGAAGATATGTGTCTTAACTAACATCTTTCCAGCTTATCTTGAGCGTATATACTGTACAAGTAGCCGCTCTTTGCTTGCTCGAACACCAGCCGGCACCAACTTACGTGACTGAGAACATCTGTCTAATCGGAGACTCTGCCCATAGCATGTTGCCATTCCAGGATGCTAGCATAAGCCTTTCCATCGAGGAGGCTTTACTCCTTAGCACATTAATAGGTCGATTGCCGTCGAAAGCTGCGATTCCGGCTGCGCTCCGGGCTTTTGACCAGGTATGCCGGCCCCGAGCCGAACAAGCTACGCGACTGAGTGCAGAGACGGGCTTGCTCATCACGGGTCGCGCACCGGGGATCGGGCTTAATGCGGATCTGCTTCAGCAGCATTTGCGGCACAAGTTCGAGTTCCTTCTGAATGTCGATATTGAAGCGCACCGGACTGCTGCTGTTAGTATTATGGATCAGTTATTAGGAGTTGGAGCAGCATGGCCTTGATGAGTGTTGGCAATATCATGATTACTTGGGTTGGGCTTTCGCGCCCCTTTCTTCATTTATCACTTTATTTCCTTATCCCGTTTCAACCACGTGGAGGTGGGAACATGTAGCTTTATATCGGATATTGTGCATAGCGATCGGTTAGGTGCCTAAGCATTGGGCTGGAGGCGTATATATGTGGAAATGGGCATTTACAGAGCATGGAGGTTAGACATCAGAGGGTAGATTGTATTATAACTTTATCGTTCCTGCTTGTAACTAGTATCTTTAACTACTTCTTGATTCTTCTATGCACAGTTGTATTTCGGAATACCATGAGTGCTGTGCCTGGAGCTACATTGAGGAGCAAAGAGCTACATTTATCTAGGAGAGCAACTAAGGAGATAATCAAAGCACAGTGGCTATTCATAATATGGTAATAGCTACGTGAGTTAACCGCGACTTATCAGATATCCTATCCGGCTAATAATCGACCAAATATAAGGTATCTTATAGTTTCCTGTGGCTGTCAAAATTGATCACAGCCCAAACAACCACCATTCTTGAAACCCCGCAATACTATTTCTATACTTATGTACCTACCTAGTTATTGACACTGGAGGGCACCAGTGACTTGAAAAGGAAAATTTCCCTTGGGCGTTTAGAGATCGTAATTGAGACTTGCGTATATGTATCCGGTAGTTATGGTAGAATAGCCATAGGCCAATGAACAGTTCTCTAGGTTACATCTGTTTATACCCTGAGAACTAGAACTAGGATTAGAGTGGCTGGTATCATATTGGCAATTAATGTATATTACTGCCATATAGTGATATCAAAGAGCATAAAGCCGGCATGTGTTTATGATGTATCGAGCAACTTTTAGCTTATTATGGCTTATGTTTCAACAATGTGGTTTGCATTACTATCTCCTACTTAGACATGCTCGCTCATCTTTCCCTCATAGAAGGTGCTCCATCGTATTTTTTGGTTTGTTTGGACGAGTCACAATGTTTTGGTCTACACTGCTATCCTTTGCGGCGTTCGTTGATGCGGCGCCGCAGGTAACTCCGATAAAAGGACCCGGAGCCAATAGCCTTGTTCGATTCGGATGTTCCCAGGTTGTTATTGAGCGTCTTGACCCGTAAGATACGAGTTCTTTAGGGTCAGTTCCGCGAATAACGACTGA